CCCCCTCAACCTGTCATCCGCAGTAACCTGCCAAGTCGCAAGGCTTCGTTGGAGTTGCGCGTGCGGCCTGCAGCCTGGCTGTTTGCGGTTCAGGGTTTAGGCTGTAGGGCTGCGTGGGGGGTTTAGGGTTCTTGGGGCTCAGGACTGTTGGCTTCTGATTTAGGTCTCTTGGGTCACTGTGCTTCTCATTAGGTCCTGTTTGGGGTTTCGTTGCTCCCCGCGAAAGCAAACCTCCAAAACCTAGGCAAACAAAGCTTATGATTCAACCCTGCCTGGTTTTGGGTTTAGACTTGGAATTTTAGGGCCTTGGCCTTTTTTGTACCAAACCTCAGCGTCGCTAGAGGAGGGAAGATGGTTTACGGGTAAAACCACGAGAGGCGCCTCCTGCAGCACGGCATGGAGGCCATGCGAGTAGACGAACATGGCCCGATAGACTCGGTCCGCCGACTGGCCGGGGTGAGGAACTGAGGAACTTGGGGGGGGGGGGGGGGGGGGTTTAGGGTGGTGGAGCGTTTCGTGGTGGGGGTTATGCGTTTCGTTGCGATTTGGCTTTCGGTCCTGCCTCTTGCCCCCCGAACCTAGGAACTCTCAAAACTCCAAACTCTGAACCCCAAACCGTGTAAGCCCTACACCCTTGGGCCCAGAGCTCCAAACCCAGCTTCGAACCTGCACCCGACATCCTCACGCATTCAAGCCCCTAAGCTCTTCACCGAGTACGGGGCTTAGGGGGCCAGACGGAGATCTGAGTGCTTTTTGGGCTGAGAGGGGCATGGGCTCATGTGGCATACGGGGGTTGACGCGGTTTGAACATTAGGCCCTTGCGTATTTAGGGCTTGAGGCTTGAATCAGCAGCTGATACGGTGCCTGGCTGTTACGTCCTGCATCATGCGCCCGGCCATGGATCCCGGCAAGAATTCCGGGGGCTGTTAAGAACCGGTAAACCCTAAACCCCAAAACCCCAAACCCTAAAACCTACACCCCCTCTCCAGCACGAACGGCCTGCTGGTCGATACCCAGCTTCGCCAGCGCTGCGTTGTCAATGCCGAACTGGGCCAGGCCCTGGCAGTCTCGCGGACTTTCAAGCGGCTGTTTCTGTGCTAGAGTTTAGGGGTAAGAGCGGGTTTGGGGTTGTAGGGTTTAAAATTTAGGCCTCAAGTCTTGGGGGCTTTTGGGGCTTCGGTTCTACTTCGGGTTTGGGTGAGCCAGGGAAGGTGCAGAGTTTAGGCGGGGTGAGGCCTTCTGTCGAAGCGTTCGTCGTGGTGAACGTTGTGGAAGACCCGCCCCGGGCCCTCCACGCGCAATCTGCAGAACTGTGCACCTAACCCCAGTGCTAGAAGCATTGTTCTGAAATTATCGTGGGCCCTTGTAGGGTTCAGAGCTTGAGGGTCCCCGAAAGGCCTAGCCTAAACCCTAAACCCTAAACCATAAACCCTACCTCAACACTCCAAGCCTGTGCCGGCTTCATGCTGCCACCCGCTGCGGCGTTCTCGGACTTCTGCGTTGCCTGCAGGTGCCGCTTCGTACCCTAAGGACCCTATAAGCCCTAAGTTGTTGGGCTCATGGTTCAACCCTTTAGGGTTTCGGGTTTCGGGTTTAGGGTTTCGGGTTTCGGGCTTAGGGTAACAGAAGTTGTGCAGTCTAGCAGAAGTTGGGTCGGGGCATTCAATCCCTCGGTTTCCTGTTGCAGAGGTTCTGCCAGTTGCTTAAGAACCCCCCCCCCCAAAAAAAAAATCTTCCTTGTAAGAGTACTACAGGGATTGTTCTTCAAAGTTTTTGGGGGGGTTCTTAAGCAAATAGTAGGGTTGAGAGTTGAGGCTTCAGCGCTTGGGTTTCGGGTTTTGGTGTCTTCATAGGGCTCCTGGGCTCTTTTCGTGCATGTCAAGTGGAACAGGTGACCAGAACTCCAGCCCCCCTAAACCCAAACCCCAACACCACAAGTCCACAAGTCCGGTGTGCTGATATTGCTGTTGCTGTTATTGCTGTTGCTGCTGCTGCTGCTGTTGCTGCTGCTGCTGTTGCTGCTGCTGCTGCTGTTGTTGAAAAATCCTTAATTTCTGTTCTACAAGCAGAAGCAATACTTTCGCAGGAGAGTATTCGGGGTGTCCCCAGGCCGGGGACGAAGCTCAACCTAGCCCTTCAACAGGACCCGAACAACCTGAGAAAGGGTTTAGGGTCTAGGGTTTCGCAGAGGTTAAAAGGGAAAGCGGAGGCAGCACGAACTCCTAGCCGGTGTCCTACGTTCAGCCCGAAATTTCACATCAGCTGCCTGGCCAAGGGTGTGATTCAGCCAGTTCTTGATGGTCACGCCTGGTCAGACGTGGGGCTGGAGGCGTTGGGGCTTCGGGGTGCTTTGGAACCTAAGCCTAAGCTGCAGTGCGTGCGGTTTCAGGTTGTTCTGAGACACCCCTAGCGGGAGGAAAAATAGTTCCTCTTGACGTGGTGTTGCTTCCGCATCATAGGCGTATCTTGATCGCACTGTGCCAGAAGCAACGGAAACCTGGAGCACACTCAAGTACGCGCTCCTAAAGCACGGCTTTCAAACATGATTCAAGTGGTTCAATCTGCAGTTATGCGCAAGTCAGCTGTAAAAGATCTGCTGGTTGACTCCAACATACGAGTGATGCTCTCAAGATCTGATGAAACCATGCCTCCACCTTATAGCTGCTGCACGCTAAGATCTCAGTGAGAAAGGTGCCTTTCATGTTCGGCGCTGCCGGCTTCTTCACCGGCGCTGCCTCCGGAGGCTCTGCGCTGGGACCTCGACAGCGAGGCTTCTGAGTGTGCAGATGGGTGTGGGGTTTAGGGTTTAGGGTTTAGGGTTCAGGGTTCAGGGTTCAGGGTTTAGGGTTTAGGGTTTAGGGTTTACGGTTTAGGGTTTAGGGTTTAGGGTTTAGGGTTTGGGGTTTAGGGTTTAGGGGTGAGGGGTGAAGAGGGGAGGGGGGAGGTGAGGGGGGTCGTGAGGCGAGGGTGAGGTGGGTTTCGGGCTTCCGGAGGGTTGTGGCGACTTCTGGTGCACGAACAGGTTTACAGTAACCCTTTAGGGCGCAGGGGAGCGGGGGTGGCTGTGCTGTGGTTCGGAAAATACATCCGATGGTTCTCAAACTCCTCAAAAAGTCGTAAACATCCCACGCCCAAGTCAACGCTAAAAGCCCCACGCTCCCGAGAAGCCGCCAAAAGCCCGCGGCACCACCCCGCAACCCTTGCGCAAGGTTTAGGGCTTAGGGCCTCTGGATGGCCTGAAACCTGAGCTGAAACCTGAAACCCCACCCATCCCGGAGCCCGAAACTTGCAGGGGACCCCGGCTGTCCATGCCCGAGCCAACTCCTGGCTCGAGATGCAAGGCCAGGCCAACAACGGCCCTCAACCCTGCACCCTAAACCCTAAACCCTAAAATCCTAGACTCTAGACCCTAGAAACCCGAAACCTTAAAGCCAAACATCAAGAAACAGGCGCCTGGCTCCTCATCAGCGGGCTCCTGCGGCTGGGTTTCAGGGTTGCGAAAATGTTCGGGCGCGAGGGGCCCTACATAGCCACCGGAAGCTCTCAATAATAGCCTTTGGAATTCAAGGCTCCGGAATCCTAAGCCCTGAAACCCCCAAGACGCTAAAACCCTGAAGCCCTTGTTTAGGGTTTAGGGTTTCGGGTTTAGGGTTTTTAGGCTCTTGTGCCTGGCAGCGACCCGAACATCCCCGAAGACCTCGTTCTGCGAGCCTCCTCGGGAAGCTTGCCGTCGTTCTCCTTGGCCTCCGCAGACGGTCGCTTGGGCTGCAGGGCTTCAAAGACGGCTTACACTAACATTCCTGAATATGATCCTCATATAAACTTACTTTAGGGAAATACAAGATATCCCAAGCACCTACCCGGTAGAGGTTTCTAGAGGAACTGGGTGGGGGGGTTGAATTGGCTTCTGAAAGCACTTGGGCTTTATGGTCCGGCTTAGGGAAACATAACCTAGTAAAAGCGACTGTAGCAATAGTACGAAAAAGCTAGAGCAGTCAGAAGAATAAATAAAACGAATACCAATAGAAGTATGAAAAAGAATAGCAATAACAATAAGAACAGCAGAGGAGGGGCGGGGGTCCTGGAAAGCTCTATCAGATCCTTGAGCGCCATGTTTGAGGGAAATAACCCCAAACCCTAAACCCTAAACCCTAAAAACCCAAAATCATAAACCCTAAACCCAGACCAGTCACTCAAGCGGGGGGAGGTCACAAGGGACCCTCGTGGTAAGGCTTCCCGAAAAGACTGGTGGCCATAATGCCATGAGGGGACCGCCAACTTCTAGATTCTGTCCGATTCCATCCGCAAGCCGCAGGCAGCACGCCACAACTCTCGCGCGACTCAGTCATCAGATTTCTCTTTCAGCCCCACATGCGCAACTTCAGAAGAGGCGTTAACAGCACCTGTTGAGAAAAGCTGCGCTGACAGAAGAGAACGGAGCAAAAAACAAATTAACATCCACAACCCAGAAGGTTCGACGTCGTGATTTGGGTGGCTCATTGGCCTTCTCCTGTGCCAGCTTTACGACGTCGGCGAGCGTCACGGGTATCGGTAGCCCAAACCTGGGCGAAGAAGGGTGGCGCTTTGGGGAAACTATTTCAGATGCCGTGTGAAGAAAGGCATGCAGCACGCACATTGTTCGGGGTGGCGGAAGTTTGGAGTGAAGGCTGGGACAGTTGCAGTGCGTCTTCCTCAGTTCCCCACTAGCTTGTATACGAGAACCCAACCTGGAAAACGCCGCTGCGGGGCGGGGGGGGGGGCTTAGTCATTCAACAGATTGACAGTTCAACTTGTTGGTTCTCAGTACGGAATTGGGGAACGACCTGCTTCCCTCCCATCCCTATTCACAACCATACCACCAGCACGGCTCCTGCACGAGCTCAGTGTGCTAGCCCGCGCAGACACCGAGCCGGGGCAGATGCACCCGGCATGGGAGGTCCCTAAAACCCTAAACCCTAAACCCTAAAATTCTAAACCTTAAGCCCTAAACCCGAGCTGTGACGCTGAGTGGTTCAGTAATTCCCGGCACCTTGTGGAATCTGCGTGAAGAAGCAAGTGCGCGGATTGCAGTGCAACACACAGCAGCCCCGGAAGCCCAGAGAGAGGCGGAGCGTGTGGAACACTAACCACGAGTGGGGTTTGGGGTTTAGAAAATTTAGGGTATTTAGGGTTTAGGGCTACCCTAACTTCCGTTCACTGACATTTTCATCACACCTGGATTTCCAGGACTATGAGCCCCTTTTGTTTTCACCACTTTAAAGGAACCAAGGAGCCCCAAACCACCCTAAACCCTAAACCCTAAACCCTACGAATTTTGAGCAACTCCTTCCCTTCTGTGCTCGGGCCCCCGCGGCGACGGCTGCGGAAGAGCCCCGGCTTTTTGTGAAGCTGCCTGAGGGCCGCTGGGATTGCACGCTCAGCGTTTGGGAGTTATAAGCACCAAAGACCTAAAACCCCCAAACCGGAAACCCTGGCCGGGCTCCATGCCCCCAAAGGGGCGGCGCCGTACGCCTTGAAGGGGGGGGGGGGGGCGGGTTTTAGGGTTTAGGGTTTAGGGTTTAGGGTTTAGGGTTTAGGGCTTAGGGCTCAGGGCTCAGGGCTTAGTGTTTAGGGCTTAGGGTTCCGAAGTTCAAGGGTTCATAGGCTTCTAGGGCTTGTGGGGCCTGCATGGGACTCACAGGGATGATGTAGGGCCTACCGGGTCCATAAGGGTCAAGAACTCAACAGCTAAGCCTCAAAAACCCTAAACCCAACATCGCCGGGTTTTTTGTTCTCGCTGGTTTATGGCGGTGGCTGGGGCTTGTTCATGGTCCATGGTGCTGGTGCAAGCTGAAGGGTTCAGGGTTGAATTTTCGTATCTTACTTCCCCCTACAAGCCTATAACGGGACTTTTGAGGGCTTGGGGTCGAATTATCATACAACAGCTTGCAACAGACCGACCAGGCATTCGTGGTGGGGAAGGGGGGCTTGCGACGTATTCTCTCACTGACACAGACGAAGCGACTCGTTTAAAGTTTGAACCCTCACCAAACTCCTTTCAACTTGGGGGTTTCCGAAATTAAGGGGATACCTTATTGGGGCCCTTCTTATAAGGGGATCCTACTATTTGGGGATCCATTGTGGGGGTCCCCTATCTTCGTAAACCCCCCATTTCGAAACTGATCAAGGCTAGGGCAGATGGCATCCCGTGGTCCCTTTCCACGAAGGGGCTCCGCTGGGACTCTGAAACTTCATTCGGTTGCGCAAGCTGTCTGCGAGAGTTTCGTTCATGGGGTGTTATAATGCCCTCGCCTCTTCTCACCCTACCCATGAATGAGGCCCTCAGAATCAGAACCCTGTAACGAAGGTGTTTTGGGCTTTGTTTCGAGTTGGCGGGGGCACTAAAGCCTAAACCCTATAACCCTACAACCCTTTCACCCTATTCCCCTATAACCCTACAACCGTACAACCCTACAACCCTACAACCCTAAGCCCTAAACGCCTCAGCCCTAAGCCTTAATGAGCTCCCATGATTGATGGCGAGTAGCCCAGTGGGCGAGCTTCTCATCCGAGCGTTTTCGGGGAGACCCTGGCCCATTGCTTGGAGTTGGGGAGTCAGTTTAAGCGAGGATTCTTGGTTTGGGGGTTCATAGGGTTGAAGGCTGTGTGTCGTCTTTAGGGCGCATTCCTCTTCATGTCGAGTTCATCACTGCTGCAGAAAAGCAAAGCGAGAATTGGTACTTGCACGAGGTACGTACAGGACCCGGACAGGAAGTCCTGAAGACCTGCTGCGCCATCTGAACAACAAAGGCGTGACTGTTCCGATAAACGGCCGGAAACCAGAGATAGGCGCGGCTCTTAGTGCTTAGGGTTCAGGGCTTAGTGTTTAGGGTTAAGGGTTTTGGGTTGAAGAAACAGTAAGTTCTGGGGCCCAAGAACGTCCCCCGAAGCCCCAAACACCCGCGTAACTGCAAACCCCTTCAATCCCACGACAAAAACAGGCCCGAGGAAAAGGGCCTGCATCCTATCCTCTTTGGTCCCCCAAAATCCTCCCTGGCCCCTTTTTGAACCCTAAGCCCTAAACCCTCAACGCTAAACACCAAACCCCAAACCCTAGCCGTAGCCCTAAACCCTAGCCCTAAACCCTAAACCCTTTGAAGCTCCAAACCCTTAGCCCTGAACCGCAGGCCCTGCGGCGCACGCCGCGGGGGCGACTTCCGCCGACTCAATGCCGGCTTTCGCTCTGTTATCGTCCAGCCTGGCTAAGAAGTATAAGGCCTAGGGTTTAGGGTTTAGGGTTTAGGGTTTAGGTTTAGGGTTTACGGTTTAGGGCTTTTGGGCACTGTAATCCGAGAACCCTCTGACGCCCAAGCCCGCGAAGCGAACCACAAACCTCGCGGCGAGCCTTCGCCATCCGTGGTCACCTGTCGCAGCGAGGCAGAAGTACGCCACTCAAATAGGGGTTTCCGAAAATGGAGGACCCGAAAATGGACTCCCAAATAGTAGGATCCCCTTAAAATAAGGACCCCCACAAGGTAACAGCCCCAAATGGATAATGTCAGCCCACATAGAAGCTGAATTCTAAGCCCCCGAAACCCGCAGCCCCCAAACCCGAATGCACCCTGACCTGTACACCGAGGGACTTCGACTTTGGCTTTAGTGTAACCAGCCCGGAGCCTGCCACCCCAAAACCCCTAGCACTGCTTCGGACTAGACTTGCAACGTTTATGGTACCTTTGAAAACATGCAAGTGGGAAAAGCAACGGCCATGTGCAAGAGAAGGCCGTTAGTGAAGTAGAGAAGCTGGGCCGGCCTCGAGGGGACTGATCGGAGGCAAAGCTTGCGACGCCTGGTGGCCCAGAATCACGGCGGAGGGTTTAAGGCTTATACTGTTTATACAGGACGAGAGTCTGGGGCTGAAGGCTTAGGGTGTTGGACTTGGATCAGAGTTTACAGTTGAAGGGAGGGAGAGAGAGAGAGAGCGAGAGAGAGAGAGAGAGAAAGAGGAGAGAGACAAAGAGAAAGCAGACAAGAAGAAAAAGAGAGACAAGGCTTTTTAGGAGGCTCAGACTTCCTCCGGAACCAGCTTGCACAAAGCTGGATGAGAATAGGCATGATAGGGCAAACCCTAAACCCTATCTAAACCCTAAACCCTGCACCTAAACGCAGAACCCTTACTCGGACACGCTACAACCATGATTAACATTCCACGCAATTAAAATAAAACTACACAACCAATATTTCTAGAATCATAATCAACTTAATGAGCTCGATTCACAGGAATTAATACAGGTGAAATGCACCAAGATGATACACTAAGGATAATAGTTTAGTATGAACCTATTCAAGTGGTTATCGAATGACCAATCCTACAACTAGGAAGAACAGTTAAAATACGACTAGGAATATCTACAATACATGATGAAAAGAATGTTCCACCAGCATCGGTAATTCCTCTAAAGTCGAGTCTTTCACGCAGACTATGTAGCTAAAAGAGCTCTTTTGTATAATTATTCTTCGTTAATGCCCCACAATATAGTAATTACGTCCCATTAATGAAACTAATAAAAGGAATTGTGTTGAAGACTGAACCATGGGATAAAGAAGACAGTAGTAGAACAAGCTGAAATCACTTGAACAGTTTTTTGGCTTGGGGAGGCACAGCAAGTATGAGCGCTGGGGCTCAGTATTTACGGATTAGGGCTTCCTAAAGCCCAAGATTTTACTTTTCAATCTTCCTAACCCAATCCCTAACCAGCTCACACCTCGCCGTTGGCTTAGGTTTTAGGGTTTAGGGTTTCGGGTTTAGGGTTTAGGGTTTAGGGTCAGTTAGGCCTAAACCCTAAACCGTTCGGACTTTGGAGATTCGAATTTAGTGCTCAGGCAATGTGCTCGAAACTGGGGTCCCTGCTGGCACATTTACGCGAAGCCTCGGACGCACAGCCAAGAGCAGCGCGCGCTTCTCCAACGCACGCCGACCCGAACACTCCTAAACCCTAAACCCAGACCCTCGAGACCCTCGACAACCTCGAGAACCTCGAAAACCTCGGAAACCTCGAAAGCCTCGAAACTCTCTTCTTCATGGCATGAGGTGTGCATCTACGCCCCATAGGACTAAGGAGCTTCGAGTTCGAGGTATGGAGCTGATCAGGCGAAGCTGTTTTTTGTGGCTGGTAGGGGGTGATCCGGGTCTTCGGGGTGAGGGTTTGCTTCATCTTGATCAGCGCAGGAACCTCTCCAATCACCTGTAAACACGTGTCCAAAGGCGTGGAACAGGAGGGGTTTACGAGCTTCCGGTTGAACACGACAGCGCATCGGAGACATTATAGGTGAGGATCTTGGGACAAAGGGAGTATATAAAACCAAAACCCCCTCAAGAACCCAAACCTCTTTTTGGGTAGGTTGCCTGAGAACCTGCGGAATCCCATAAAGGGTGTTTTGGTAGTAGCCAACAAGACAGCAGGCTTTACGCCTCTCAAAGTACATCCTAAACCCTCACCTAAACCCTCAGCCCATCTAAAACCCCTCCCCTGCTCATCTCACGAGGACAGAGCATTCCGGCCGCTAGCCAGGCACGCCCAGTCCCATGGCCAGTTTGGGTTTAGGGGTTTAGGGTTTAGGGTTCAGGGTTCAGGGTTTCGGGTTCAGGCTTGTAGGGTTGAGGGGTTGAGGGCGTTTGGGCTTTCGGGCTTTAGAGGTCCAGGGCGGTACAGCTCCCGAAGCCCCGAAACCCTCAAGCCCTGTACAAGGTCCAGGGCTTCGGATTTCAGGGCTCTGAAAGGCAAGTCCCCCATCCCAGAAGTAGGGTTTCTTAAGGGTTCGGGGTTCAGGGTTTTTAGGGTTTGTAGGGTTTGTAGGGTTTACAGGGTTTACAGGGTTTGTAGTTTGCAGGGTTTGCAGGGTTTGCTAGGGTGAGTAGGGTTTACAGGGTTTATAGGGTTTGGGGCATAGGGGGCCTGGCCCCGTCTTCCACCAGGAATCCAGCCGAGAATGGCGTGCAAGGACCTATGGTTCCTTGGTTCCTGGAATAGGTTTAGGGTTCGGGTTTAGGGTTTAGGGTTTCGGGTTTTAGGGTTCAGGGCCTACTTCTTTCCATCGTTCCCGTGCTAGGTTTGGGGGGTTGAGGCTCAGGGTTTGGGGTTTTGGGGGCCTCAAATAAAGACGCGTTCCCCGTGAAAACCCTCTCAAACGCAGTGAGGGACAGCAAAGGCTCCTGTAGTGCACAATAGGGGCCTATTTAATTTCAGTGGGCATTCTGGGCTGCTTCTGGTATACCAGTATCAGGGTTATGAGCGGGGAATCTTGGCTATCTCTAGGCTCTTGCAGCGTACCATGGCATGCTAGTCAGCGTGCTGACCAGGGTCTCGTGCCTTGATGTTTGGGATTTCCAGATGCTGCCTGACTGATCGGCTCCTCTTGTTCATCGGGAAGCTCAGAACGTAGCTTTTTGGTGCCTTGCGCAGGCTTTCCACCAGCATACTTGTGGCTCCAACCGGCTCAAAGCCTGGGGTGGTTGCGGGTGAACTCCCTGAACGCTACACCTCCCTGCTGCCCTCTCATACGTGACAAGCTGTTCGTGATGGTGCATGGGCTTGACACTAGCCAGTGCGAGAGAGCATGACGAACGCCTGGCAAAAAGTTGCGGCAGAGGCCACGAGGGAGAGCAAAAAAACGGCAGCCCATCGACCGGCTCAGGTCTCAAGCAAGCCCGTGGTCGCCCAAGATAAATAATCAGAAGACTTGGGCATCCTAGTTTTTGTAAACCCACTGGGGCCATCCAGTGCCCGCAGGAAATGTGGAATCTGGGCATTGTCTGCCCGAGTTGGAAGTAAGGCCATCTCGCCAAAAACCGTATGCCACAAGCCCCACATGACAGCCTCCCATGCGCGCCCCACGCATTCAAGTGATGTTGCCAGGGCCCGCCAGGCTGCCCGAACACGTGCCAGCGATGCTGATATACGATCTGCGCTGGCAACAAAGCGGGGCGCTTCATATCCGCTTGCATGACCACTAATGCCGAGCTCTGACAGAACAGCTCGCTGACAGGAATCGAGTGCTTTGGGTGATGATCGTGACATGCCTAGCTGCACAAACTCTGCACGAAGTGTTCTCCTCGCCAAGCTCTTGAAAAGTAAACTGTAGAGCTGCTTCTCAGACTCCACCGGTTCACTCGATGGCAAGTAGAGAAGAAACGCCGCACTATCAAGTCCATACTCGAGCACGTGCCGGAAGATAAGCTCAACTGGGCAGTCCGCGGCACTCTTCGGAGCGCTCGGTCGAGAAACATCTCCATCTGGCTCCAGCGCATATCTTTCCGTGAAGTTTGAAGCAGGCAAGACTTCGGGAAGGCCCACTGGTAGCTGGCAGGTATTGTAAAGATATATCTGAACACTGTCAGGGATCAGCTCGGCAATCCAGGCCAGGTCTTGGCCACAGCGGCATATCACGATATCTGCCTGGATTCCCTCGCGGGGGTCGGACTCAACGGCCGCAGACTCTGAGAGGAACGCTTCCTCGAAACGTCGCATCGCAACATCCATCGGCCAAGTGCGCCCAAGGGCTTCCAGGACTTCGCGCGGCACCTTTCGGGTCTGTGACACAGCGTAAGCCATCATAGCAGCAGACTCACCCAGCCTGGATGGTCCATCCATAACCAACAACGCCTCCGCATACAGGACGCTCGCCAAGATTTGCATGGGCGGACATTCTGAGAGCGTCCGGCTCTGGAAGTGTTCAGGCGAGGTGAGTAGCCACATGGCTTCTTCTAGTGGCGGCCGCCCCCCTTCCACGTAGTGCCTGGTGACCAGCCGCTGAAAGTCCGACCCCATCAAGCGAAAATCTTCGTTGCAGCGGCCAGCCTCCATCTCCTTCTGGGCTTCTGCCGGGCCTAAGCTGACGTCGCAGATCACGTACCCGACGCGGTATGTGAAGTAACACGCATTCGCAAGCTCGTTCTTTGCGGGCAGCGTCCGACTCCTGGCCAATTGGAATAAAGCGCCAGCAAGTAAACTCAGAAGGGACATGTCGAAGTCCTCCCCCCCCCCAAAGCTGGCCAAGCTTGATGCTTCTTGAAGCTCACCGCGCATGCAGGCTCCCAACCCAAATACCGAAATGCCTATGAAACCTGTGCAAGTGATCTTGCAATGGCCCTGAGCTCTCTAAACCTTGCAGACCACCAGAAGGGGGAGGACTTCCGCAGAAGGCTTAGGATGTGGGTCTTAGGTCTGAGGTCCTTAAGCCATCTCAACACTGACACACCTTAACAGCTGATGTCTCCCCATTTTGGTCACCCGAAACCCTGACACTTCGCCTAGAACGCGAACCGTAATACCCCAAACCGTACCGCAGCTTTCGCATGCAGCTTAGCATCCTCTCGGCTTCTTTGTAAGGGAGATAATATAAGGGCCTTAATGATTATAGTTGGTATTTGGGGGGTTATTGTAGTACTATATAAGGACCATAAGGGAATACTATTAGTACTTTTTCCGACCCCTAAATAAACAACCCCGAGTCCTGCCCCCCAAGCACCTCAGAATTTCACACCCTGATGTAGGGTGCATTTTCCCGAGACAAGCCTCCCTTAACCTCAACAACCTGAAGACACTTAGTCTTTGGTTCCCCCGAATGTCCTAAAACTCTGCGTAGGCAGGCGCAAGACAAAGGATAAGAGTCCAAGATCGATAGCAGCTTAAGGGTTTGTAGGGGTGGTAGGGTGTGGGCTTAGGGTTTAGGGTTTAGGTTTTAGGGTTTAGGGTTTAGGGTTTAGGGTTTAGGGTTAGGGTGGCTTCGTTTTTCCAGCAGCTCACTCCAGCCCTTTCGCCGGGATCAGACCACATCGTAGCCAAGGTCCGCGATGCGGTTCATGAGCTCCTCGGGAAGGTGGGGGGGGGGGGGGGGGGGGGGGGCTGGGACACAAAAGCCTCCTAAAACCCTAAACACCAGAACCCTAAACCCTAAACCTTAAACACCAGAACCCTAAACCCTAAACCCTAAGCCCCTAAGCCCTAAATTCCTAAACCCTAGACCGCGAGGTCCGGCTCTCATTCGGTTCAGTGGGGGGGGGGCGGGGGTTGGTTTGCTTGTTTTAGCAAGCCTGGGTTCGCGGCTTTGCGTTTAGGGTCATGGCCATGGGCTATACGGCAAAAAGTCCCAGAGGTAGGGACTAGGGTTTAAGGGTTTAGGGTTTAGGGTTTTGGGTCTGGGGTTTAGGGTTTAGGGTTTTGGGTCTGGGGTTTAGGGTTTAGGGCTTAGGGCTTTGGGTTTAGGGTCTAGGGCTTAGGGCTTAGGGTTTAGGGTTTAGGGTTCTGGTGTTTAAGGTTTAGGGTTTAGGGTTTAGGGTTTAGGGGCATCGCTCTTTAGCCAAGCGGCCTCCGCGAGTCCTACAAACCCTCAGCATGCCCTAAACCTCAACTCGTACACATCAAAGCCGCGCACGCCTCGAAACGAAGCCTCAACTCGTCTATTCCCAAGTTCGAGAATCCCCTCCCCGAATATTGAAAGCACCCGAAAATGGTGACCCGATCGGCGTCTTCTCAAACAAACTCGGTGCTTTTCCCCCACCCTCGGCGTGAGGCTGTCAGATCGGGATGCCCCCCCTTATACGAATAGTCCTTAATAGGGACTCTCGTACTCCCGATTACAATCCCGATTAAGGACTGATAGTATAAGGGGGAACATCCCAACTGTCAGATATTCTCCTGTACTCCCCGCATCTACCTTCACAGAAAAAAAGCCCTAGCGCAATCCGGAGTGCCCAACCCCCAAAGAACTCTGCCTCTGCCACTCATCATCCGAAACCCCAAACCCTAAACCACCGAGAGGCTCCCACAGAGAATGCCGCAGAGTACCCACCCCTCCGGAGAACGCCCCGGAGTCTCCCGTGAGTTCCCACTACGGTAGAAAATCGCGCAAGGATCCTGCAGTTCCCAGTTGCAAAGTACTCCGCGAGTGCCCCACCCTCGGAGAGTATCGCAGAGCATCCATGGAGTCACAAACAAGCCCGCCCCAAAGAATTCTGCAGAGAATCCCTGGAAAACTCCCGCCACAGCTCCGACTCCGGAGCCTCATGTCTTGGAGTTTAGGAGTTTAGAGGTAAGGGAGTACTCCAAAAGCCCCTAAACCCTAAACCCTAAACCCTAAACCCTAAACCCTAAACCCTAAACCCCCCCTCCCCAGCCCGTCCCAGGCCGTCCGAGAGAGTCCTGCTCGTTGTGAATTCCAGGCGCGTTTTTGTTCGGAGGATCCCGGATGAACCTTTGGTCACTAGAGCTCACTGTCAATTGAAACCTTACAGCTGCCCAAAAGGAGGGGTCCCTATAGTGGTACGGTCTGCTGGCACTTTAGGGTTTACGGGGTTTAGGAGTTAAGGGTACCAGACGCTGCCCTTGCCAAGGGCCCAGGTAAGGAAAGGAGGATCACAGCTACATCGATGCCATCGAAACAAGAGTTGGCGCCAAGCTGTTGGAGTTCTGGATTGTAAAGCGGAGGCGCAAAACACACAAATAGGGATTTCGGGTTTATAGGGTGTAGGGTTTAGGCCGGGTTCGTCGGACGTAGGGCTTAGAGATGATTCAGGGCTTAGCTGAGGGCTTCAAGTCTAGCGTTTATAGGGTTTGAGTGTACCTTGGGGTATAAGACGTACGGTTCGATGGATGCGTTCCAGTTGGCAATGAGAGTAGCATAAACCCTGTTTCACATCTTGCGGATATGCGTCGTACCTTAGAAGCGGTGTTTGGGCTTCAAAGAGCTCATGAAGGGGTGCAGGAGGAGTCATTCCCGCACACCGGCAGAATGAAATAGGACAACCAGACCTAAGTATGGGGCTTTGGGGTTTAGGGCTTGTAGTGTTTAGGGTGCATCCTGCGGCCAAGGTGCACATCCCGGAATTGCTCGCCGTTTGCTGCTACATGCATGGTGACCTCGGTTGGGAGGCGCTGCACAGGGTTTGCAGGTGCCCTCACCTTCAACCCTGAAACCCGGAAGCCGGAAACCAACCAACGCCGAATTCCCCCTTAACAATCCCGTGAGCCAGATCCGAAACCCTGAATCCCTAACCATTCTAATGACCTGTTTAGGGTTTAAGGTTTAGGGCTTAGGGTGAAAGGCTGCATCTGAGCGTCCACAGCGCTGCAGTCTTCAAGATCCTCCGGAGGACAGAAGGAATGGGCCTATTTGACCAAAACGGGTACTCTGCGGCACGTAAGTGCTCTTCTTGATAACCTCTGCATGCAGGGGTTGCAAGGGAGATAGCATGCGTTCATGCTTAGGTTCGACAACCGCCCAAACCCTTCAACCCTAAACCCTAAACCCTAAACCCTAAACCCCTACACCCCTAAACCCTAAACCCTAAACCCTAACCCCCAACCCAGTCCCTGAACTCAGGCCCCTCGAGGAAGCAGCCCCGCGAAACAGGGGAGGGCGGGCCTGGACCCTTAAACCAATTGAATCCTGAATTTGCTGAGCCCTAAAACCCTTAAGCCCATGAACGAACCTAAAAATTACTGAAGCCCGTTGAAGGCCCTAAGCCCATTAAGGAACAAACAATTACTAAACCCTCTGAGTCTAAACCCTAAACCCTAAACCCTAAACCCTAAACCCTAAACCCTAAACCCGCCTTAGAGCCCTTGGGCCCCTGAACCCAAGGCTCTGCTGGCCTCAGCCGGGAGAGTGTGCGACAGTACCGCGGTCTCCGAACTGTCACCTGTTGAAAGAAGAGGGCGCCACACAGCGTGCCTATTGAATTAGGGTGGGTAGTCCCCTAAGGTTTAGGGTAGATTTAGGGTTTCGGATTCATTTAGAGGAGTTTACGCTGCAGCTGTACAAAAATTGAGGGGATGAATTTTCGGACTTGCTTAGGTCCCTGCGTTTGTCGGCTAAGTACCTCAGGGTCTGGGCACTAGGGTTTTAGGAAGTTTGGGGGTTTAGGGTTTCAGGGTTTAGGGCTCTAGGGCTTTAGGGCTCTAGGGCTTTAGGGTCTTAGGGTTTCAGGGTTTTAGGGTTTTAGGTTTTTAGGGTTTTAGGTTTTTAGGGTTTTAGGGTTTTAGGATTTTAGGGTTTTTAGGTTTCAGGGTTTCAGGGTTTTTGGATTTGAGGGGTTTAGGGCTTGAGGGGCTGCAGGGGCTGCAGGGGCTACAGGGGCATTCCATGGTGCCCGCGACCAGACTCTTCTTAGAAGGGCTTGGAACGTAGCATCGGTTTTCTGTTCATCATCGGCTGCGGATACGACACTTTCAGGCTTTCGTGGGTCTCTGGGCGAAAAGGGGCGGTACAGCATCGATGTCTCTGTTCGCACAAGTAACGAGCGAGGAAATACCCTGAACCCTAAACCCTTGGATTTCGGAAAACATGTGAGGAAACACCCTGAACCCGAAACCCACAACATGTGAGGAAACACCCTAAGACCCATGGATGTCGGGGTTTCTGTCCGCCTTTGCTGCCCCTTCTCGACGAGCGGCGTGCCTGGGCTGCAGCTACAAGGTTTTGGGTTTTAGGGTGCAGGTGTCAAGGTGGGGGGGGGGGGGGGGGGGGGATGCGTATAGGGGTTCGGGCTTCATTGAGGGTTAAGGACCTTAGGGCCTTGGTTTTCGGTCGAAGGCTTGGACTATGTAAGGCCTGAGGATTCGACAGTTCTGTCTGTAAGAACAGGGCCGAAACCCTAAAAAGTCCAAAACTGTAAAACGCCTGAAGCCATTCAACCCTGAACCCTAGATATACAGGCGTCCCGAACCTTGCCACACTGAATCCTGAAGCGTTTAGGCCTCATGGGGTTTATCGGAAATCCTCTGACCCCGAAGCCACATGTGCGAAGTCTATGGCGGGCCTCGGCCGGTAGGCTGAGTGGTAGTTCCGTGGAGTCGGTGCCCTCGCCTCCAACAACCCCGGTTGGGATCATGGGGAGTGGGCTTCGTCCTTGACCGTAGGCTAACATCCCTCTGCCACGCCTTTGCTCCCCCTCCGACGCGACTGGCCGCTGGAGTGCGAGTCCTCCGCAGCAGAAAAAAAGTGATCAGGGTATGGGGGGTTCTGGACTTTGGAGGTTTTTCCTGCGTCGCTTGGGGAGTTCCAGCACCAATACGAGTTCAGGGTAGCCCCCCCCCCCCCATGAACCTTGTACTCTGATGATGTAGAGCTTTTTCTGTGATCCTGGTGACTCCCCCACTCCCCCTTATGCACCGGCAAGCCCTGCGTTTCGGGGCCAAAGTCCTAAACCACTAAAGCACTGACCCTATACCCTAAACCCTAAACCCCAAACCTTCTATAGAACCTATAGACCCGCAAGCCTAAACCCTCCCTACACCCTAAGCAACGGGCCTTGCTGAGCACGCTCAGGCGCGGCCCTTGCTCCGATTTGGGGCCTCTCGGCGTGACGGTTTCGGGTTCAAGTTACTAGTTCAAGGGGGGGGTTTTAAAAACTTAGATCCTATTCCTCATTGAGTTGTAAGATTTTACCTTACTATGACAAAGGCTAGGGCTTAGGGTCAGCTCCAAAACCCAAGGGCTGGAGACCCCATCGCTTCCCTGTTGGGGTACAACTAATATGTATGAATGCGCGAGATCAACTACCGGGCATGATAAGCTTGTGGCAAGACAGCCAGCAGGAGTCTATTGTAAAGGGCAATGTCATCATGCCTTTCATGTTTTGGTTAGACAAGACACTATCTCGCCAATGCCATAGATTCACGTAAGTTAGCATAAAGAAACGACTTAAAATCTTGAAGCTGCAACTCACTCAAAAGGTGATTCAACATTTCATTCTCTTGAAACTGCGACTTGCTCAAAAGGTGAGTCAACATGTACTTCAACTTACTCTGCTTTTGCTAAAATGTCTACATAACCGTATTCAGGGCTGATTTGTAGCGCGCGCGCGCGCGCGCGCGCGCGCGAAGCATGTCTGTTCACACAAGTAACGGGCGAGGAAATGCCCTACATCCTTGGAACACCCTAAAACCCTTCAATATCGGGGTTTCTGTCCGCCTTTGCTGCCCCTTCTCGAAGAGCCGTGCGCCTGGGCTGCAGCTGCACGGGTTTGGATTTTAGGGCTCAGGTGTCAAGGAGCGGGATAAAGGAAGTAGGGGCTAGGGCTTCATTCAGGGTTAGGGATTTTAGGGGTTTGGTTTTCGGTCGAAGGCCTGGATTAAGTACAGCCTGAGGCTTATTTATTGAAACCCCTGACACTCTTAAACCCTGCTTGGCCCACTCACTCACCGTACGGTTTAGGCCTCATGGGGTTTATCGGAAATCCTCTGACCCCGAAGCCACATGTGCGAAGTCTATGGCGGGCCTCGGCCGGTAGGCTGAGAGGTAGTTCCGTGGAGTCGGTGCCCTCGCCTCCAACAACCCCGGTTGGGATCATGGGGAGTGGGCTTCGTCCTTGACCGTAGGCTAACAATCCCTCTGCCACGCCTTTGCTCCCCCTCCGACGCGACTGGCCGCTGGAGTGCGAGTCCTCCGAAGCAGAGAAAAACAGTGATTAGGGTTTGGGGGGTGGGGGGGGTTCTGGAATTTGGGGTTATCACTGTGGCGCTTGGGAGTTCAGAACCAATACGAGTTCAGGGTAACTCCCTCAAAACCTTGTGCTCTGATGATGTAGAGCTTCAGACCTTGGGGCAGTAGGATTTTGGAGATTGCTACAGTTACTCACAACACCGGGTTTAGTGTTTAGGGTAGGGTTCCCAAGCCAACCGGTTCAGGGATTAGGTTGAACAGCCTCAGGGGCTTAGGCGAAGGTTGGGGACCCAGAATGGCAGAAGAAATGCACTAAGTACCCACGAAGATATGGACGTTAACGATCTAGGCCCGTCTCCCGAACCGCACTGTGATTTACGGGGGAGTGGTGGCGCGCATCCATTCTGCAATCCTGCTCTGCGTTTCGGGGCCAAAGCCCTAACGCACGGACCCTATAGAACCTATTGACCCTCAACCCTAAACCCTCCCAAAACCCTGAGCGACGCGCCTTGCTGTGCACGCTTAGGCGCGGTCCTCTCGGCCACAAGGGTTGCGTTGAAGGGTTCAATGTTTAGGGTTTAGGGTTTCAGGGTTTCAGGGCTTTGTAGGGTTTAGGGCTAGGGCGTTTGGGAAACCTTCACCCAGCACCCACACTTTTTCCGGGCTCGGTCTGAGCTTTCAGGGTTCGGGTTTCGGGGGGTTGTGGATATTGGGGCGTAGGGTCTTCTTGAGTTTTTTTGGGACCTGCTGCTGTGATGTTAGTGAGCTTGAGGGTCTCCAGGGTCAACCCTAGGCCCTAGGGCTTCTTCTCAGACCTGGGTGCCGTTGCACCACCAAACCCCCCCAAAATCCCAAAACACTCGGCTTCTGATCCCCACCCTCCCAATCAATGAACAGAGTTCCCTCGAGGCAAGTCCCACCAAACCCTTAACCCCCCCCCCCCCCAACGACCGGGCACAACAGGAGTTCTTCGGACCCCAAAAACCCTTGTTTCGGGTTTCGGGCTTAGAGGGTTTAGGGTTTAAACCTAAACCCCGAACCCTTAAATGGGCACCTTGTACGGACTGCCGCTTGCTGTAGCGGCGCCCTGGAGCCAGTGGCTCAGAAGACCTGGAGTGTGGGCTCTGTGTGATTTTAGGGCTCAGGATGCTTTGGGGTTTCTGGAGAGTCGGGGCTCAGAGCATTTGGGGCGCAAGGTCTAGAGTCCAGGAGAGCTACCAAAAGACCTGCCCCCACCGCCCCGGCCCGAGACCCACGGGCCTGTGGTTTTTAAATTGACCCCTATGCCCCTGCCGCAGGATTCGAAATGGGCCTGTTCAAGGAAGGGGGGTGGGGGGGGGGGGGAACAGACCCTGATCTTGGGTGAGTTTCAAAATCTACGGCCTCCTTTACGTAAGATTTCCACCAACCTTGTATGGGATGCTGGCAAGCAAAGCCGTGAACTCTACAAGGACAGGCTGGCGGGCAAGGCCTAAACCCTGCAACAAGATCCTGACCGGCAAACGGATGCAGCTTGTGGCTCTAGTCTTGAGGATTTGAACTCAAGGTTCGCGTCTTCCTTTGCTGGTCCCACATCATGTGAACCATTGGCATCTGCACCGGCTGCTATTCTTCATCCAGAAAAGCTAGTCGTATGTTCATTTCAGCTCAGGGCAACTAAGACAAAAACCCTAAATCCCCGAATCCCTAAACCCTAAACCCTAAACCCTAAACCCTAAACCCTAAACCCTAAACCTTGAAACTGCGGAGACCTGAGGCTCCGGGCTCCGGCCCACGGCGGGCCGATGTGGGGGGGGAGTGGCTGCCCTCTCCCTCCTTTCGAAGACGGTTGTGTCCGTAGCTTTTCTGGGTTTTGGGCCTTGGGGTTTAGGGGTTTAGGGTTTAGGGTTTAGGGTTTAGGGTTTAGGGTTTAGGGTTTCGGGTTTAGGGTTTAGGGTTTAGGGCCTTATGCATGACCGTGTAAGGGGAGGAGGGTTGCCTGAAGCCCCACCCTATCACGCCACATATACCCCTAAAAAGCATACCTACCTGCACTCCCTTCAGCAAACCCTAAACCCTCCCACACGCGCTTCACCTTCTCTCACTCGGCGAAAACCTAGAAAGTCTCGAACACCCTGCTAGTGAGCTCAGCTTGCTCCACACCCCACGCCCTAGAATCCGACAAAAACAAGCTTTGAGGATGTGACGGAACTTAGTCAGGAGAACTTCTCGGGCCCACGCCATAAGCTTCGTGAAGGTTCAAGGGGATTTTGGTATAAGGTTTCATGGTCTGGGGTTTCAGCTTCTGGGCTGGGGGCGGGATTTTTACGAACTCCTAAACCCTAAACCCTAAACCCTAAACCCACCACCCAAAAGAAACTGAAGTATCAAAGCAGCCGAGGTGCATCGGGGGCCTGAAGGCCCAAGTCGATAAGCAGGTAGTCCATGTCCGACCGCCTAGAAAGCTTTCAAACCCCCGGGAAGGAGCCCCTTTTTTCAAGGAGGTTGAAGAGGCTGTTCGGGGTTGCTGCACATGTACATTCTTGGTAGACCATGCATACATACTTTGCTTCCAACACGTTACATGCATGAAGCTCATACATCCATGTATGTCCGTATGCGTGAGGCATCGGAGATCACCAGGTCGCGATCCCCGCACAGGGGCACTCGCTGGCGCACGAATACCCCTAAACCCTAAACCCTAATTCTAAACTACTCCCGTGTGGCCCAATGCCTCCATGCCAAACCCTTCAACCCTGAACCTCTCAGCCCTGATTTCCCCCCTTTGCCAATGAGGCAAACCCGCCTGCGTCGACCTAGCCAGCGATGCGGCTGACCCAACCTGGGGTTTTTGGAGTCCCTAAACCCTAAACCCGAAACCCTAAACCCTAAACCCGAAGGTTCAGGTCTAAGGTTAGGGCTCATAGGCTTTTTCAGCATTGGTCCACATTCGCGGAGTGTAGGCTTTGGGGCAGTGGGACATCCTCCCTCAGCCCCCAACTACTAAGTGTACCAAGCTTCGGGGCTTCAGGCTTTAGGCTCTAGGCTTTAGGGTTTAGGGTTTAGGGTTCAGGGTTTTAGGGCCAAAACACCCTCCAGCCTTGACCTCGAGAGGTCACAGAAAGCATGGGTTCAGCAAGACCCTGAACCCGCAAACATCCCTCTGCATCCGGGCATGGCCATCGATCTTCCTTTAAGAAGTTCTGGAACGTTTGCTGCGCGTGCATGCATGTGCATGCTTAGCTAGATTCAACTATCAAGCTCTTCAAGCAAGCCCTCGCAAAGTTTTTGAATTCAACTCTCAACCCTAAACCCATAAACCCTAAACCCCTAAAGCCTAAACCCCTAAACCCCTAAACCCCTAAACCCTAAAGCCTAAAGCCCTAAACTCTCTGCTACCCAGTAAGTAAGGGAAGCCCTTCGAGGAGAAAGCAGCCACGAAACCTTTCGGTACTGGCGGCCTTGGTTGAGGCTCCAGGTTTTCCAGGGCTCGAAGGGCTTAGGGGGCTTGAACCCTAAACCCGAAACCCCAAACCCCAAACCCTAAACTAAACCCCATACCCCCAAATCTCCCCTAAACTCGATACCCCTCCGACTCGTCACCCTTCGATCCCTCGGTTTCGGGCTCAAGGTTTAGGATTCGCGGGTTTAGGGTTTAGGGTTTAGGGTTTAGGGTTTAGGGTTTAGGGTTTAGGGTTTAGGGCTTCGGGTTTAGGGTTGAGGGTTTATTGTTTAGGGCTTAGGCTTTAGGCTTTAGGGTTTAGGGTTTAGGGACTCACTTTAGGGTTTAGGGCTTAGGCTTTAGGGTTTAGGGTGTAGGGTTTAGGGTTTAGGGCTTCGGGTTTAGGGCTTAGGGTTTCCCCCCAGATCCACCAGGGAGCCCCTGTCTCCGCAGCAGCTCCGCCGGCGTGGTGCCATCCGGCGCTGGGGCCTCGAGATCGACGCCGAAGCGCGTGTACAGCCACCTGCTGTGGGCTGACTTGGGGCTTGGGGTCTCGGGTCATAGGGCCATAGGGTTTAGGGTTTAGGGCTTAGGGCATAGGGTTTAGGGTTCAGGGTTTCGGGTTTCGGGTCATAGGGTTTGGGGTTCAGGGTTTAGAGTTTAGGGTTTCGGGTTTAGGGTTCAGGGGCTGGACCAATTAAGAATTCGAGGCAGATTGGCCGCGGAGTTGGGGCTCCTGAACACTTCGAAGCGTCGGAGAGAACTCCTGTTGAAGCCCTAGGGCCGAGAGAGCCATGAAGAATCCTCAGCCCTCGACACCGTCCTAAATCCTAAACCCTCAACCCTGAACCCTAAACCCTAAACCCTAAACCCTACACCCTAAACCCTAAACCCGAATAGGGGGGGGTGGGCCTGATCAGCTCCAGGTGCAGCGGGTCGCATGCGTAGAAAAGCCTGAGCCACAGGTGAGGGGCCTGCAACTTTAGGGAGTCCGGGAGCTTTAGGGTTTGGGGTTTAGGGTTTGGGGTTTAGGGTTTAGGGCTTTTTAGGGTTTGGGGTTTAGGGTTTGGGGTTTGGGGTTTCGGGTTTTGGGTTTAGGGTTTAGAGTTTCGCCTTCTTCGCCCTAAGTACTCAGTGTCCCTGATCATTTGGGGGTATAAGCTTCGGCACCTCCCCTCACAACCCGAAACCCCCTTCCCAGTACGGACTGAAGATCTTCCGCGGCAGGGTTGAGAGCCACAGAAACTCTCTGAACCCTAAACCCGAAACCCTAAACCCGAAACGCTCAACCTTCAACGCCCCGCGGCAGGGACCAGCCGGAATTGTCCACGGCGTCCACCGCCGCGTGCCGGTGCACCAGGTGCCTGGTGGCGGCTTTCGGAGCACTGACCCTGCTGTGCCCTACTTGGAAGTTCATGGTACTTACTGACCAATTATAACTGTACTTATAACCATATTAGGGCACTTAAGGGACTTATAAGTGGGTTATAAGTACAGTTATAGTTGGCTAGTAAGTACCATGAACCTCCAAGTAGAGGGTGAGCATCTCTACACCATGGTACGTCACGCGTTGTACTGGTGAACATGTGCATGGCGCTCTAACTACTGTTGATTCGTACCAGCCTCACCGTGATGATTATTGTTATCAGTTGTCTGCTATGTATGTAGGTATGTATGCATGCGTGTAAGTATACATGTGTACATAATCCACGTGCATAAGCATCACCCATGCACGTGTGTAGGAAGATAAACAGATAGAACTTTGTTTGCATGTAAGATTCTTACTATCCGCATGTAACCTGTGCATGTATAAGGGTCGCCGATACAGCACATTCTTTGTTTTGCGGGCCCGCCATCGGAAGCTAGCAACGTCCGAAGGCACGAGCCGAAGTCCTAAATCTTCAACAAGCTTCCCAGCAAGCCCGGCTACCAGCCCCATAGGCCCCAAGACCCTAGACCCTAACCCCTGAACCCCAAACCCCAAACCCTAAACCCTAAACCCCTAAACCCTACTGAAGCCCTCAACCGCGGGGCACCTTACGAGCTTCATGTCTTCCGTTCCCACGAAGGCCTGTCAAGTCATCGAGCCCCGGACTGCCACTGTTAGGGTTTAGGGTTTAGGGTTTAGGGTTTGGGGTTTAGGGTTTAGGGTTTAGGGTTTAGGGTTTAGGGTTTAGGGTTTAGGGTGTAGGGTGTAGGGGCTAGGGTTTAGGGTTTAGGGTTTAGGGTTTAGGGTTTAGGGTTTAGGGTTTAGGGTTTAGGGTTTAGGGTTTAGGGTTTAGGGTTTAAGGTTTAGGGTTTCGGGTTTAGGGTTTAGGGTTTAGGGTTTAGGGTCCAGGGTTCAGGGTTTTGGGTTTAGCCCGACTCTCTCGGCAGTTGGGTGTTGACCTAGATTCTGCCCGCCTTCTTGTGACACCCAGAGATCCGAATTGGAGCGTAAGGCTTGGGGAGAAGGGTTGCGGAAGTTCCGGTTCCTGGGTCTTTGGGTTTAGGGTTTTCGGCTTTGGGTTTAGGGGGGTGCGGGGTGCTAAGGTTTGAGAAGGTCGTGGGTTTCATCCAACGTTCGAACTGAGGTTTGTTTGATCCAAGGCATGGGACCTGCTGAAATCCTACACTACCAGGAGCCAACTGTAGCAGAGACACACCGAAGGCGAGAACTTAAAGATCTAAGAGCAACAACCTCGATGTTCATGGTCAGTTCTGCGAATTAGGGGTCCCTGGGGCTGCCTCATACTAGGGACCCCTAAACCCTAAACCCTAAACTCTAAACCCAAATGTGACCATCTGTGAGAGAAGCGACCATTTTGGGGGTTTAGGATTCATGGGGCGGGCGCAATGCCGGGATGGCCCTCTGCATGTCAGTTTTGTGACTGAGCTGCCAGAATCTTGACCGGGTTTAGGGTTTAGGGTTTAGGGTTTAGGGTTTAGGGTTTAGGGTTTAGGGTTTAGGGTTTAGGGTGTTTGCCTGTTGACCGAACTCCCTCAACCCTAAACCCTGGAAGATCAGGAAGCGGAGGGCTGGAGGATTGGTGGCGGACTTAAACCCTAAGTGGCCGGGGAGCAGGTACGTTTGGGGTTTGGGATTTAGGGTTTAGGGTTTGGGGTTTGGGGCGCAACCAAAAATGCTCCCTTTTGCTGAGCCTCCCGACGCTTACCTCAGATGGATTTAGGTACCAAGGACCTCCTCATCGACCCCGTAATTAGGGCGAGCTGCCGGCCCATATGTTTCGAAGGGTTTAGAGTGCAGGGTCTCGGGTCTTGGGGCCCAGGGTCTTCCCAACGACTTGCGGCTAGCATCCCTAAACCCTAAACCCTAAACCCTAGATCCTAGACCCTACAGCCCCTCTAGCTGCGAGAGGCCCTGAGCCTGCATGAGGATGGTCTTTCCATCTGCCGCACGGCCTCTGGCAGCGGTCTTAGGGTTGAGGGTTTAGGGTTTAGGGCTTAGGGTTGAGGGTTTCGGGTTTAGGGTCTAGGGTTTGGGGTTTAGGGTTTAGGGTTTAGGGCTTCGTACTTTGGAGGGGCGTAGGGCTACCATCGCATGCTCCAATTTATCCTCAGGGCCTTGCTATTTTTGCCTACCTGGAGATCCTACTTGATCTGCAAGGATGGTAAGCTGTGGTAGGAAACGTCTGCGCAGCTGATGAGAACCGTTAGACTCGCAAACCCATCCCGAAACCAAACCGCTAGCATCTCACAGCTTGCGGATACCTCAGATTGTTGGGTTCTCGGCTTGGGAATCAGGGCTCTGGGCCCTGATCCCTGCCATGCAGTGGCCGGAAGGGGCCACCCCAATCCCTACATCGTGTCAAGCTCGTATGAACATGCCACCAGTACCCAAAGTCAGGCAGAAGACCCTAAGCCACAAAGCACTGAAGGCCCATATACCAAAATCGCCCGGAGGCGGTCTCTTCATGCCCGGGCACAGTGCAGGGAGGCCTTGGCCTCAAAGTGCGACATCGTGCTTTGGGGCTTTGGGGTCTCACCGCGCGAAGGTACTTTTAAGGCGGTTGAAAGGAAAAACTCTGTGGGATCTCGGGGATTTGCGGCCCCGGTGTCTGTGCTTGCAAACCTGGAGAGCATCGGCTTGAGTGGCTTGGGGGGCACGAGGTCTTGAGGTACAAGGAGGGGTCTACATTTCACAAACGCCAAGATCCAGCCGAAAGGGAAGGTCCACTGCAATTTTCCGTGCGTGATGAGCCCAGACCAGCACCAGATCATTGGGAAAACAAACAAAAACACATGGTTATTTCCCAAAATATAGAGACACCCTTTTTTTCCCCAAATAGAATAAGAGCCCCTGAAGGGGACCCCCAGAAAAGGGCACCCCCTATTTTCCGAAACCCCCCACATCCACGACTATTCTGCCTTACGTTGTGTGGGACAGCCCGCGCCGAGTTTCTTCCAGGAGGTGGTCGACAGTGGCGATGTTGTGGGAGCCGCAAGCGTGCATCAGAGGGGTCTGCCTGCTACCAGGCATCGCTTTGGTTTCTATTTTGGGGGTTTAGGGTTCAGGGTTTAGGGTTTGTGGGTTACGGCTTAGGGTTTAGAGTTAAAGGACTTAGGCTTTAGGCGAAGTCCCTGAAAGTATGTGCCTTGGGTCCTGGGCTTCGGATCAGGGTAACGATGGCTTTCAACTGCGCGGGAGATCCCTCACCACAGACCCTGCACGCAGTCACGGCTTGCATGCCTCAAAGGCCTCCCCTGCCAACGCTGGCATGCCCAACGGAAAGGAACTCGAAGTAGTTCAGCCGACCGGGCAAGAGTCCCCCAGTGAGCGCGTTAGCCCATTGCCCCACTGTCGTGCCGCAGCACGTTGGCCTCAAAAAGGACTCTCAGTAGAACCTCATGCAGCGTGCCCCGCACCCGGCCAGCGGTGCGAAAGCTGTTGAAGATTCAAGACTCCAACAGCCTGTGGGTGAGGCGCAGAGTTCGTAGAACGGCACAAGAAGTTCCCTTGGTAAACGATGCTCGTCCTCGGGAAGTACGACACCGGTTTGTACAAACGCATCACGCCGACAAGCACCAAGAGAACACCACGGAACTCTTTCCCTCGCTTAACCTGCAGCAACAGCCCGACATGCTTCTGAGTTTTTTGAGGAGGTATGGCCCGAAACAACCAGCGTTCAACACACGATGTTCTTCTCGGAAGGGCTGCAGAAGCTGCTCAAACATCCGAAGCAAATCCTTTAACATCTTACATCAGCCGTCGCCACAGTCACGGCTTGCATGCCTCACACAAAGGCCTCCCCTGCCAACGCTGCAGGCCCCAACGGAGAATTCGAATGAGTTCGCCGACCAAAGCTGTTGAAGCCTCAGCACTCCAACAGCCTGCGGGCGTCGCAAAGAATGCGTAGAATGGCACCAGAGGCTTCTTTGCCTGTAAACTACCAGTCTGCGCGCTCCTCTCTGGCATGCTGGCATCGATGTAACAGAGTACGCACGGCAGGGCTAAAAATCGAAGGTCCTACTCGTCAGGCCTGAGAGGAAGCACATAAGGCTCCACGCAAGTCGGCTCCATTCGCTCACTTGTTAGTTCTGAGTCCTTCACCTCCCACATGCTTGCCCGCGCCCGGCTGAGAAGCACAGGCAGTTCGGGTGTAGGCGGCACTGAAAAGGCTTCAGGCCCTTGTCGAAACATGATCAAAGACTCCCTGAGGCACTTGCCCGACCCCTGTTCACAGCCTACATCATGTCAAAAGGCTCGCGCAAGGGGCCTTCCAAGTCATGCACTGCGAGTCTCGACCCCAGAGGCAAGTCCCAGAAGAACAGTCGGGTTTAGGGTTTAGGGTTTAGGGTTTAGGGTTTAGGGTTTAGGGTTTAGGGTTTAGGGTTTAGGGTTTAGGGTTTAGGGTTTAGGGTTTAGGGTTTTATCGCTTAGGGTTGAGGGTTTAGGGTTTAGGGTTTAGGGCTTAGGGCTTAGGGCTTGTGGCAGGGAAGGCCCCCCCCCCCCACAGAGGTCCAGTAAACCCTGTAAACCCTCACCACTTAACCCAACCCTACTACCCTAAACCCCTAAAACCTTGAACGACCTGAGAAGCCTAAAGCCCCAAGCCCTAAAATGCAAGACCAGCCCTAAAACCTAAACCCTCCTCTCCTGAGATCCCCTTACCCTAAACCCTAAACCTAAACCCTAAACCCTCAAGCCTAAACCCTAATTCTTAGATCCCCAACTCTCAAACAGGTCCGGCAGCGTAGGGCCTCTTCTCATCGAGAGCGTCGACCTGCAAACGCAAGGCCCCATGAGAACTTGTCAACATGCCAGATGCATACGAAGACACATGAGAATGTGTATTCTACATCTACATGTATACGTATAAAACAAATAGACACATGACGAACATATGAAGATCTGTTTATTCATGGATAAATACATATACATAACTATGTATAACTATGCCCATAACTATACATCTGAAATGTTAGCAACAAATGAAGGACAACTAAATACTTTACATTTTTGGTAGGTCAGCTCTCAGATGATGGTCCTTCCTTTTGGGGGCAGTACCCTAAACATTAGGGGGCCGCCCTATACTAGTAGCCCCACAAAAGGGGGCCACTGTTGAGAGATGCGGCCCCTCTCATAGTCACTATATTCATATACAATAAACCCTTGAAGCCCTGGTCGAACTACTCAGGCCCCTCTAATATGTATTCAGATATATATATATATATACATACATACATACATACATAGCGAGAAAAAACACAAACAAACAAACACACACACACACACACACACACACACACACACACATCCCTCTGCGCCTGGGCCCGGGCTTCGAGAAGCATCGTGGCCAGCCTGGAGAACAAGCCGGGGAGCTTGGGGTTCCGGGTTGTCGGGCTTCAGGGGTTCGGGTTTGGGGTTTTTAGGGTTTAGGGTTCAGGGTTTAGGGTTTAGGGTGTTTAGGGTTTAGGGTTGCGGGCTTTTAGGGTTTAGGGTCAAGGGTTTTTTTGCTTTAGGGTTTAGGGTTTAGGGCTGGGGGCGTTTGGGTCTTGTGATTTCAATTGGCTTTGCTCACTTTTTGCTTTCACCTCTCCCTAGGATGTGATCAAGAAAGGGCTGTTGGTCAACAATAAGCCTAACTCTCCCCTGGCTAGAATCTCGCTGGGCTGGAACTTGCTCCTTTTAACTCCCGAACGGCTTTAGGGTGGTGTTTAGGAGCACCCTAAACCCTAAACCCTAAACCCTAAACCCTAAACCCTAAACCGGGCCCCTTGCACCTTGACTCCGCGGGCCCTCTGCGAACGTAAGCCGGGGAGCTGCAGGGACCCGTCGTGGCTGGCGGTGGCCGCAAGCATGAGGGGCGTCTGGCCCCGGAGGGTCCTGCTGGTGGAAGGTTGGGTTTAGGGTTTAGGGTTTAGGGTTTAGGGTTTAGGGTTTAGGGTTTAGGGTTTAGGGTTTGGGGTTTGGGGTTTGGGGTTTGGGGTTTGGGGTTTGGGGTCTGGGGTCTGGGGTTTGGGGTTTGGGGTTTGGGGTTTGGGTTTGGGGTCTAGGGTTAGGGGGCTCAGAGGGCTCAAGGATTGTAGGGATCGCAGCTTCAGAGCTGCTAGGGCTCCTGCATCGAATCCACACAAATATGAGAGAGAACCCTTGGCAGTCACACGCTTGCACGGGATGGCCGCTGGACTCCGACACTATCCGCTGTAGCAAGCTTCAAAATCCTCATTCACACGGGGCCCCCACATTACCCTTAATCAACTCGAACAAATGCCCATCGTGCCAGCCTGACTCCTGCACCCCACTCAACCCAAAAAAACTAGGGCCCAAAAGCCCTCAGGCCCTCGACCCCAAGTTCCCAAAACCACCCCCCAAATGCCCCTCAACCCCCCCCCCCCCTGCGATCACCCCCTACCCCCCGAAACCCTAAACCCTACAGCCCAAACCCTAAACCCACAATGGGGGGGAAAAACTCCTGCAGTCAGGAGCGGCTCCAGCTTGCAGCGCTCGTTCAGCCGCCTCGGCGTCGCCGTGGCGCACGGCGTGGAGGAGCTGAGCATCCAACTCCGTGATGCCTGGGTAGTTTCTTTTGGACTTCCGAGGGGTTTAGGGTTTCGGGTTTTGGGTTTAGGGGTTTGGGTTTAGGGTTTCAGGTTAGTATACCGTAATACTTGGTATGTCCCAACTCCGTGATGCCTGACATTTTTTGCCTGGTTCTGGGACTTTGAGGGGGCTTTGGGTTTGTTGAGTCTGTCTTCTTGGTTTGGGGGGGGGGGGGGTTTAGGGACTCTCACTGGAACACAAGGCCAACTCCTTTAGGGAGAATCCACCCCTAGACCCCAAGTTTTACACAAAAACCCTCAAGACCCTACACCCTAAACGCTAAACCCTAAACCCTAAACCCTAAACCCTAAACCCTAAACCCTAAACCCTAAACCCTAAACCCCAAACCCTAAACCCTAGGCCTGGGTGGAAGAACTCGCCGTGCGCATCTTGGGCCTCCTTGCTGCCGTGTCGGCTCCTGAGCTTTCAGGTTCGGGGGTTTCAGGGTTTCAGGGTTTCAGGGATTTAGGTTTTTAGGGTTTAGGGTTTAGGGTTTAGGGTTTAGGGTTTAGGGTTTAGGGTTTAGGGTTTAGGGGTTTAGGGGTTTAGGGTTCAGGGGTTCAGGGCTTAGGGTTTAGGGTTTAGGGTTTAGGGGTTCAGGGTTTAGGGTTCAGGGCTTGGAGTTTGGGGTTTAGGGCTTGGGCGGTTTGCTTTTTGAAGGGGTCATAGGGTTTAAGGCTTCGAGGGTTTTAGGGATTTAGTGGTTTGCTTCAGGAGTTTAAGGGATTTCGGGTTTAAGGCTTCTAGACATTTAGGGATTTAGGTTTAAGGTTCCTATGGTTTTAGGGATTTAGGGTTTAGGATACTTTTGCCTTAGAGGGGGTTCCCCAAAGGTCTAACATGGGGCTTCTGAAAGTGTTTAGGGCAGTTTAGGGTCTAGGGTCTAGGGTCTGGGGAAGCCGAAACCCAGTAGCCCCAAACCGGAAAACCCGAAGACTCAAGTGCAGAGCTGAGCCTCTTCCAGTGTCTCTGCTGACACCACGTTTCCGCATTGAGTAGCCCTAAACCCTAAACCCTAAACCCTAAACCCTAAACCTTAAACCCAGGGCACATAGCATTTGACTACTTGCTCCCTGGGCTCCCTTTGGACTGATCGCGCATACTAGGTAACTCAGCTCATCCTGCCTGTTCTGTGGTCCTTCGCCCCGTTTCGGGTGACTAAACCCTAAACCCTAAACCCTAAACCCTAAACCCTATACCCTAAACCCTGCTGTGGGAGTTGCCTGCACGTGCAGGGCATGTTGCCGGTAAACCCAACCCCGGATGGCCCTGAGCCCGGTCTGAACTTTACATAACTAAGCCTCATGAAGGGTTATTTAGGGGGGGGAACCTAGGGGGGGTGCCTATGTGCCTATGTTAAGCCTAATTAAGGGTATTTAGGGGGGGAACCTAAGGGGATAGCATGGGGGGGTGGGGGTGGTAGGGGAACCCATGATTCTAGAGTGCTAGGCTGCAACCGCGTCTCCCGGGCCGTTGGCGAGGACTGGTGGCGGCAGGACCCGAGGCGCCTCGACTGATACAGTAGGGACTTAGGGAGGTAGGGTACCCGACATGACCTCTTAAAGGGTAGTATAGGGAAAGAAGTCGTGCGCTCAAGCAATGTGGAGTGGGGTTGCGGTTTAGGGCTTCTTCAGTGCCGACTGCCCCCATAACCACCCTAAACCCTAAACCCTAAACCCTAAACCCTAAACCCTAAACCCTAAACCCTACAGTAAACCCTACCCCTACACTGACATTTGCCCGAGGCACGATGGTCATCAAAGTTCCTGGCAACGGGGTCCACTTCCGCGTATGGCTTGATGGGGTCTATGGTTTAGGGTCCAAGCATTGTTGGGGGTTTGCAGGTGCTTGGCGTGTTGCAAAGATCCAGCGGAACTCGAGCGAAATCGACTGTGCTCCCGCACCACACAGTCTCCCGATGGTTTCGCAAGAAAAGTGAGAATTCATTTTGACTCCTGGGCTGCTTTGCAAAACAGTCCCGAAAACCCTGGTTCAGTTTTCGTTCAAAGTGTCTTCCTGAACCACCTATACTGGCAACCCATCGACCCTTCTTCGCTGCTTCAGCCGCGCCGAGTTCCACGAAATTTCCACACAAGACTTGTAAACCCCGGCAGGAACATGCTGCGAACCCCGTGCAAAACAGGCCTCACATGCTGGCCCAGGAAACGCCTGGGGTCTGCTGGCTTTGATGGCTGGGCGCGGGCATTGTGCTCCCGGGGACCTTGGCTCGGATGCCACATATGAGAAGCCACTTCGGGAAGGGCTGGCATCAGGCAGATGCAACCCGAAAAAGGGGGTGCTCCCGGTGGGAAAACCTACAACCCGACACCCGAAACCCCAAACCGCTCGAGCGGAGAAGAGGAAACACTTCTGAAGGCCTAAACCCCATAGAAAGCCCTTGATGCTATATCCCCTAACCCTAAACACTAAACACTACACCCTGCACCCTGAACCCTAAACCCCATTCCCTAAACCCAAACCTTTGAAGCCCTGGACCTGAACCCTTGGTAGCCCGTTGACGCCCAACAAAATACCCCCAACCCTTAAGCTCAGTTACCTCCGACCCCCAAACCTCCAGCTTGACGTTTGAGCTTCAAAGTAGAGAGCGTTGCCAAAGCACGGGGAGGCTTCGGGTTCGGGGGGGGTTGGGGTCTTTCAAAGGTCTCACTCGCGTCAGAGGATTTACGTAGGGCTTCTGGAGGTCCCGACAGCTTCCTACCATCATCCCGTCACCTGGAAGCGGTGCTTTCGACATTGAAAGTTCCAGGGGCGAAAGACAAGGTCAAAGGCCCTTAGGCCATGAATGCCCCTTGAACTATTGCCAAAAAAGTGCTGGGTTTTTGGTTTAGGGCTTCGGGCTTCGGGCTTAGGGCTTAGGGCTTAGGGCTTAGGGCTTAGGGCTTAGGGCTTAGGGCTTAGGGTTTAGGGTTTAGGGTTTAGGGTTTAGGGTTTGGGGTTTCGGTCGAAGCCCAGACCAAGCAGCCATGATGGTCCGGCGGGGGGTCCTGGCACAAGATGCTTCTGCTCAGGCTTGGGCTCCACCAAACTCAACTTCCAAAGCTTGTTCAGCCGCTCAAAACCCTAAACCCGCGGACGTCAAAACCCAAGCACCTGAACCCTAAGCTCAGGCACCCCAAACCCAAAATCCCGAGACCCCTACACTCCTGCACTCCTTAGACACCTCAAACCTAAACTAAACCCGGGACCCGAACAAGATCTGCTCCTGGGAGGCCCCTGCCAGGGAGAGCTCGCTGCCTGGTGCTGAGTCGCTACCCCCTAACTGCCCCTAACCCCAAACCGTCTTTTTCCTGCACCCCAAATGCCCATGAAACCTCAATGGGGGGTTAGAGGGCTCCTTCTAAAACTCTTGAGGCCCCGAAACACACAGCCCAAACCCTACAGCGCTAACTCTTGACTCTGGACTATCTCATACTCCCCTTCCGTTGCGGCAGGCCACTAAAATTCACCAAAACTGACGAAGCAAGCACCAGCCATACTGTTTTCACTCCAATGCAGCGCGCCGAAAGGCAGATCCATGCCAGCGAACTGCCGAGGCCAACCAAGAAATCCGCTTCCAAGTGAACCAGAGACCTTTGAAGCACATGCTTGCGAGCTGTCAAGCAAGAAGATGCCCAGGGCGAGCGCAGGGTGGGATCCCAGAAGCAGCCAGCAGCGGGAGGACTGGAGCCCCAGAAGCAGCCAGCAGCGCCAGGACTGGAGCCCCGGATCAGCACAGCATGTGTGCTTGCACCAGAGTTAGGCATCGAAGCATTCGACTTTGTTTGGGGGGACAGCTGACGTCTGCTATCACCTCCCCAAAAACGCCTCGCAAGCATGCTACCCTCAATCCCGAAGCCCGAGCCCCACAACCAAAACAAACTGAAACCCGGGGACCCTTGAACCCTAAGACCCTAACTGGCTTAAAACAAAAACATCACGAAAGCCCCTACAACCCCCCCCCCCAGCCATAAAACCCCTCAAACACTAAACCCTAAACCTTAAACCACCTGGCCCTACACCTCAAACACTCAACCCTAAACCTGAAAGAAAAAACAAAACCAACTGGCCCTCAACCCAAAACCCTAAACCCTGTAACCCTCCCCCCCCGCTCTCTGACGCTGAGTTACAGCAGGAGGCCGCCCCCATGTCAAGGTGTGGGTGTGGTTTTCTTTTTAGGGTAGGTTGGGGTGTTCCAAGGTTTCGGGAGTTTTGGGGGCTTCGGGAAGTTGAGGGGCTTTCGGGAGTCTTGGCGGGGGGGTTTGGGAAGTTTAGGGGGTCTCGGGGGCTTTGGGGGGGTTTGGGAAGTTTAGAGGGTGCAGGGAGTTGAGGGGGTGACGAACTTGAGTTTAGTTAGGTGAAGCCTGAGGGTTGCTACGCGTCAAAAGAAGGCCTCTGTAGCCAAGAGCCCACAAAGCGCGCGAGCTCGCTCTGCATCATTGGCAACCGAAATGGGGGTTCCGAAATTCGGGGTACCTTTTTGGGGTCCCTTTTTATAAGGGAATCCTAAGGGCTCTATATTCGGGGTCCCCTAATTTCGTAAACCCCCAAATCCCAGGCTCCTTCACAAGGGGACCTCTCTTTAGAGCAACACCCCGCATGGCTTCGAGGGTGTCAGCGAAAGCAAGACCCGTGCCCCTCGCGCACCATGCTTAATTACCGCCGAACTCGCAAGAAGATTGTGACGGCATTCAAGGAGCACCAACACGTACCTCTTTATATGTATATATATATATATATATACTTTTTTGACTTTATTCATTTTTTATTTGGCTATGCATAGGCCAAATACACACCAACATGAGGCCCTTAAAACCCCATGTTGAAACGGAATCTAAACTACCCCAAGCTACCATGCAACTTTTTCCGTCGGCCCGAAACCCCAAACCCTACACCCTAAACCCCAAAACCCTAAACCCCAAAACCTAAACTCCAAGCCCTATATAACCTCTGAAGCGCTTAGGGCTGTTTAGGGTTGCAGATCACCTTGAACGGGTCGCAAAAGCTACCTGCCTCCAGAAGATGGGTTTAGGATTTCAAAAAGTTCGGGTCTAGGGTTTGGGGTTTAGGGATTGGGTGGGTCAAGGGTTTTCTGACCTGCTCCTTCCTAAGTTGGGGGGGGGGGGGGGGGGGGGGGGGGGGGGGGCGGGGGTGGCAAAAGCGGCATCCACGGGATGGCAGAAAAGAGGTTTTTCGTGCTTGAGGTCTAGGGTTTAGGGTTTAGGGTTCAGGGTTTAGGGTTTAGGATTTAGGGTTTAGGGTCTCAAGGGTGCGAAAACAACATACCCTAGCCCTGCACCCAAACACGAAAGTCCAACCCCCCAGACCCGCAGCCCTCAAACCCTAAACCCCCCTAAACCCCCCTAAACCCCTAAACCCCCTAAACCCCCTAAACCCCTAAACCCCTATTTAACTATATAACCCCTAAGCCTTAAGCTAAGAACCCCTAAACCACGAAATCCCTAGAGCCCTAAACCCTAAACCCTCCCCCTTTTCACCGGCCGAAGTATCTCAAGGCTGTGTCCCGCCGGGCCTGCAGGATGGTTTAGGGTTTAGGGTTTAGGGTTTAGGGTTTAGGGTTTAGGGTTTAGGGCTTAGGGCTTAGGGTTTAGGGTTTAGGGTTTCGGGTTTAGGGTTTCCGCCATTAGGGTTTAGGGTTGAGGGTTGCGGGTTCAGCGTCTCAGGGTCTTAGGAACGTACGGTCTTAGGGTCCTAGGGTTTTTGGGGTCTTGGGGTCTTCGGGTCTTAGGGTCTTTGAGTTTAGGGGCTTCGTGTTTAAGGGTTAGGGTCTAGCGCTTAGAGTTCCAGTGTTTAGCGCTTCTGGCTCTGGGATCTGGTAGATCTGACCTCACAAGATCAACAATAGGGGCTTGAAATAAATACCAATAGTAGTATTCCCTTATGGTCCCTACATACACATACGATAAGAGCCCCCCCAAAACCCTTTTCTAATTCTTAAGGCCCCTATCTTGCATTCAACAGGCTTTGGATCTGTCAGGGAACCCCTAAACCTCTGCTCTTAATATTAAAAGGAATCCGGAGGCTCCTGCGAAGAGCACATGCCTTTGAAGCTCTGTGGCCAAGGGCTTTACGGACTTCGGAATGAGGGTGGCTTTTTCCTACAAAGGACGCACCTTTTCACGAGGGTGGGTTTAGGGCTTGAGGTTTAGGGCTTGGGGCTTAGTAGGTGCCTAGGGTTTAAAGTCTGCAGGGTTCAGGAGGTAAGGTTTAAATCCATCCTTGACAAGAACTGTAACACACGACTGCAACCCAATGCCCTCCCGACGCCCTCGATGCTGTGGCCCCTGACAGCCAGCGATGCCAACAGCAGGACCTGGGCAAATTGAGGGTCTAGGGTGCAGGGCTTTAGGGCACCACCCCCCGCCCCCCGAGAAGGCCCCACATCCCTGAACCCGCGCGTGTTTAGGGCATCCCTAAAACCCTAAACCCTAAAGCCTACCAGTAGAATTTACGGTCACATCCCGGAACCTTTCGTGATCGAGGTGCATGGAAGCAGGTGTCGTGGTAGTCCAAGGCCTTCGCCAGTAGGGGCAGGTGGCCTTAGAGTGGAAGTGGGAAGGCTCTAAAACCCTAGAGCATTTAAGAGGGTTGGAATTTCGCATGCTATTTCGAATACTTACCAACACTATCCCTCTAACCCCTACAGAATCATCATGCGAACTACCCAAATTACCGAGGCAGCTGCACACAGGCCTCATGTTGTATTTCCGACATTGTCTGCCAATGAGCAATGGCATACTCTTGCATTAACAGAGCCACGTTCACTTATGAGACCCTGTCCTTGGGCATGCCGTCAGTTGCGATTGGCATTCCAACTTGGTGCTGTTGAGGCCTTTGCTACACTCTGAGATTGACACTTGAAACAAACGTATGTGTGCACAGATAGATCACTCTTGTTTCACTTTCCATGCACAGCATAGGTTGCTTGTTCCACGGGAGTGTTAAAGTCTTCTATGAACCGAGGTGTTCGTGCGAGTTGCTACAGAAAACTTCTTTTGGCACCATGTTCACGAAAGGCATGAACGCTTGTGACAGCATGTCTTGTTCCAGAAACGTCAAGAAGAGGCAAAAGCGTGATACATACCAGTGCTTTGGGCATGTTCGGCAAAGGTATGAACACTTGTGACAGCATGTCTTGTTCGAGAAACGTCAAATATCCTTGTGCAGTATGCAAGGAGAAGCCGAAACACTGCGAAAATCCAGTGCTTTGGGCATGTTCGCCGCAAAGGCAAGAACCCTCAACCCTAAACCCTAAACCCTAAACCCTAAACCCTAAACCCTAAGAAACCCTGATCCCCAACTCTCTCTTTTCCATCGCCATTAGCTGTCTTCGTTCCTCGGCGCCTGGCCATTCCAAGGCACTTTGTCTTTGGAGAGCTTGAGCTGCAGAGGAACGCTAGGGTTGCCCTAAACCCTAAACCTCCGAAACCCAAGGTGTTCAGATCACTTGCAAGGCGTTGGCGAAAAAGTCCCGACTTCCTGTTGGCGGCTCTTTGCAGCGTGAACCGCCTGAGGCTTGTGAGAAGAAAGATGTTGCAGGTTCAGACGTCTGACATGCTTCAGAGCTATCACCTGCAACCTACATAGGCTACCCAGTTCTCACAATAGCTTTGCGTAAAGGAGGTCGGCATTGCTTGCAAGACTTTCCTGGCACCGTGACCTTGACCCCGAAAGTCTACTTTGTGCCAGAACTGACCTAAACCCTAAACCCTAAACCCTAGACCCTAAGCAGACGTCGGCGACTGAATTTCAGTGCCTCTCCCTCCGCATGCGCCTGCCGCCCCAACCAAATTTCTAATCTCTACACCCCTCCCCCTCCCCTCGAAACAAAAAATCTGCCCTAAACCCCATGAGCCGCCACAAACCCATAAACCCACAAATCCAATCCCAAGCCCCAAAAACACCAACCCCTCGAACACTAGTCACTAGCTTGATCCTTTGACAAAAAATCCTAGACGAAGACCCCCGTAAACCCCAAAGGCAAGAACTAAACCCGAATGCAGCCGTGAATGAAGGGGGGACTTCCAAAATGTCCCAAGGGACCCCCTAAACCCTAAACCCTAAAACCTAAACCCTAAACCCTACAAGGCCCTATATGGGACCCTCGGGGCGCCCCTCAGCACAGCGCCCGTCGGCGCTGGGCGCCGGGCGTGCGCCCCGCGGGCGGAGGGAAGGCGCCCTCGCGGCTGTGTTTGAGGTCTGGGGAGTAGGGTTTAGGGTTTAGGGTTTCGGGTTTCGGGTTTCGGGTTTCGGGTTTAGGGTTTAGGGTTTAGGGTTTAGGGTTTAGGGTTTAGGGTTTAGGGTTTAGGGTTTAGTTTAGAGAGCGGCCTGTCATGCTCAGAAATATGGTAGAAAAAAACGCAGGGCCCCATGGCAGGCCCTTCTGCTAGTTTAAAGGGTTCAGGGTTTGAGGGTTTAGGGTTTAGGGTTTAGGGTTTAGGGTTTAGGGTTTGAGGGTTTAGGGTTCAGCGTTTGGGGTTTTTGAAGGGCTGTAAGGGTCTAGGGAAGAGGGCTGAAAGTTCAAAAGTTTAGACAGGCCATGTCATGCCTTGAGGCCAAAGTTGGGGGCTTGTCGGGTTTAGGGTTTAGGGGTTTAGGGTTTAGGGGTTTGGGGTTTAGGGTTCGGGGTTTAGGGTTTAGGGTTTAGGGTTTAGGGTTTAGGGTTTAGGGTTTAGGGTTTAGGGTTTAGGGTTTAGGGTTTAGGGTTTAGGGTTTAGGGTTTAGGGTTTAGGGTTTAGGGTTTGCTGTGATAGGGCGTAGATGCTGTGAAGGTTAGGATGCAGCAGCGGCTCGAATGCCTCGGCAAATGCGCAGAGCAGCTCCTGGCCCGATATTGGAGGGCCATCAAAAACTTTTCTCCCACCCCACGCCGTCCTAGGCGGCAAAACCACCCAAACCTATTCCTTTTAGGGTTTAGGCCTAAACTCATGACAATCGCTTACTTTCAAAAAAAACATTCCCCAAGAATAAGGTTTGTAGCCAGGTCCCGGCTGACAGGGTTAGCGGGGGCCACAAGAGGTGGGCAGAAGGGCCAACGGGAGCCGGAAGCAGACAGGGGGCCAGACGGAGAGGGGGCCAAAACTGCCCAAAGTAAGGGGTGGGTTGAGCCTGTCAGAGGCCTGACAGAAGGGCCGAAAAGGGCCAAGGGTCAAGGGGGCCAAGAAGCCAGGCGTTAGGGGGCCCAGCTGCGTTAGGGGGTCAAAGGGCCAGCAAAAGGGCCAGGGCCAGGGGGGGCCGAGGGGGGCAAGGGGGTCAGGAGGGGGGTTAAGGGGGGGTCAGGGGGGGTCAGGGGGGGCCAGGGGGTGTCAGGGGCCAGGGAGGGCCAGGGGGGGGCCAGGGGGGGCGAGGGGGGGGGGCCATGGTTTTTTGAGCACCCGGTCTGCCGGGCCTGGACACGCTGCGGTGGGGGGCCAGGGGGGGCCAGGGGGGGCTAGGGGGGGCCAGGGGGGCCAGGGGGGCCCGGGGGGGGCCAGCACGGGGCAGGGGGCAAAAAAAGCCTTCGTCCTGCCTGGCCTGGCCTGACGCCCCCTGATCCCTGGACACGCTGCGGTGAGGGGTCCGGGTCCTCGTGGGGACACCGTGGGTGCTACCGACCCCCTGGCTGCAGGAGGTGGGCAAGCGACATAGAGGTCAAAGGGCTTAAGCGCCGCCCCCCTTCTGTAGGGGGGCGGCCAAGGCCCTGAGTTTAGGGTTTAGGGTTTAAGCCATACAGATTGGGGGTTGTGAAATTACCTTATTGGGTCCAAAATTACAGTGAATCCTACTCTTTGGGGGTTTACATCGGGGGTCCCTTATTTTCTTAACCCCCAGATAGCGTGCGTCTGAGTACTTCTCTTGAACCGAGTACGACCATGTCTGTTCAAGCCTTACTTTGCGCCAAAAGCTTCCCGAGAAGCTTGGTGGCTTGGCCACTTTGAGTTCTGTGTTATTGTTTTTCCCCAAACAGGAACCGTTTGGGGTCCTCTCCTCAGAAAGAAAAAGCGTCACGCGCTTGGCCAGATGGGTGTCACGCGCTTCGGGCCTGTGGTCTCCCATGGTCTCCGATCATGAACACAATTGGGGCCATTGGGGCCGGGTGGGTGTCACGCGCTCGGGCCTGCGGTCTCCCATGGTCTCCTATCATTGAGCGCAATTGGGGCCAATTGGGGCTGGGTGGGTGTCACGCGCTTCGGGGCCTGTGGCTCCCATGGTCTCCGATCATGAGCACAATTGGGGCCATTGGGGCCGGGTGGGTGTCACGCGCTTCGGGCCTGTGGTCTCCCATGGTCTCCGATCATGAGCTGGGTGGGTGTCACGCGCTCGGGCCTGTGGTCTCCCATGGTCTCCGATCATGAGCACAATTGGGGCTATTGGGGCCGGGTGGGTGTCACGCGCTCGGGCCTGCGGTCTCCCATGGTCTCCGATCATGAGCCCAATTGGGGCCAATTGGGGCCGGGCGGGTGTCACGCGCTTCGGGGCCTGTGGTCTCCCACGGTCTCCGATCATGAGCGCAATTGGGGCCATTGGGGCCAGGTGGGTGTCACGCGCTCGGGCCTGTGCTCTCCCACGTGGTCTCCGATCATGAGCACAATTGGGGCCAATTGGGGCCGGGTGGGTGTCACGCGCTTCGGGGCCTGTGGCTCCCATGGTCTCCGATCATGAGCACAATAGGGGCCAATTGGCGGGCGGGTGTCACGCTTCGGGCCTGTGGTCTCCCATGGTCTCCGATCATGAGCTGGGTGCGTGGCACGCGCTCGGGCCTGTGGTCGTGGGGTGTCACGCGTTTCGGACCTGCGGTCTCCCACGGTCTTCGATCATGAGCACAATTGGGGTCTCCCGTGGTCTCCGATCATGAGCCGGTGGGTGTCACGCGCTCGGGGGTGTCACGCGCTTCGGGCCTGTGGTCTCCCATGGTCTCCGATCATGAGCACAATTGGGGCTTGGGGCCGGGTGGGTGTCACGCGCTCGGGCCTGCGGTCTCCCATGGTCTCCGATCATGAGCACAATTGGGGCCAATTGGGGCCGGGTGGGTGTCACGCGCTCGGGCCTGTGCTCTCCCACGTGGTCTCCGATTATGAGCACAATTGGGGCCAATTGGGGCCGGGTGGGTGTCACGCGCTTCGGGGGGGGGGGGAGGGGGGTGGAGGGGGGGGACAAGAAAAAGCTTGTTTGACGCGCTCAACACAACCGCATCCAGTCACCCGCCCTGCAACGGGGGGAGGGGGGGGGGGGAAGGGGGGGGGATAAGAATAAGCTTGTTTGACGCCACACACCACACCCAGTCACCCGCCCTGGAAACGGGTGAGGGGAGGGGGGAGGGGGGGCAACACAACCACATCCAGTCAACCACATCCAGTCCTAACGGGTGAGGGAGGGGGGAGGGGGGTGGAGGGGGGGGACAAGAATAAGCTTGTTTGACGCGCTCAACACAACCGCATCCAGTCACCCGCCCTGCAACGGGGGGAGGGGGAAGGGGGGGGGGATAAGAATAAGCTTGTTTGACGCCACACACCACACCCAGTCACCCGCCCTGGAAACGGGTGAGGGGAGGGGGGATGGGGGGGGGTTTCGAGGGGCAAAAACGACTGTTGTTGACCAACGCGCCCTGCACGGTCAGCCGCAGGGGGAGCCCTGCACGGTCAGCCGCAGTGCTTGGGAGGGGGTGGAGGGGGAAGGGGGCGGCGGCGAGGGGGGGCTTGGGCGGGCTGGGCGTCTACAGACATCTGACCCAAGGGGAGCCTTCCACGCAAGGCCTCAGGTCAGTTGTTTCTGGGTCCAGGGTTCGGGTGCCGGGCGGGTGTCGCGCGGTTCGGGTCCGTGGTGAGCTACAGGCATTGAGAGGGCGTTCACGCGTTTGGGTCCGCGGGCTCCCACGGTCTCGGATCACGAGCGCGTGCAGTAGGGCTGGCGGGTGTCACGCGGTCCGGGTCCGTGGTCTCCCGTGATCTCCGATCATGAGCGACAGGGGTTGAGGGTGTCACGCGCTTGGGTTCGTGGTCTCCCATGGTCTCCGATCATGAGCGCAATGGGGCCGGGCGGGTGTCGCGCGGTTCGGGTCCGTGGTGAGCTACAGGCATTGGGAGGGCGTTCACACGTTTGGGTCCGCGGTCTCCCACGGTCTCCGATCATGAGCGCAACGGGGCTGGCGGGTGTCACGCGGTCCGGGTTCGTGGTCTTTCGTGATCTCCGATCATGAGCGACAGGGGTTGAGAGGGTGTCGTGCGCTTGGATTCGTGGTCTCCCATGGTATCCGACCATGAGCGCAATGGGCTGGGCGGGTGTCACGCGGTTCGGGGTCCGTGGTGAGCGACAGGGACTGGGGGGGTGTCACGCGCTTGGGTCCGTGGTCTCCGATGGTCTCTGAGCAGGCCGGGCGGGTGTCACGTGGTCCGGTTTCGTGGTCTGTCACCGATCATGAGTGACAGGGGTTGAGAGGGTGTCACGCGCATGGGTTCGTGGTCTCCCAACATCTCCGATCATGAGCGCAATGGGGCCGGGCGGGTGTCGCGCGGTTCGGGTCCGTGGTGAGCTACAGGCATTGAGAGGGCGTTCACGCGTTTGGGTCCGCGGGCTCCCACGGTCTCGGATCACGAGCGCGTGCAGTAGGGCTGGCGGGTGTCACGCGGTCCGGGTCCGTGGTCTCCCGTGATCTCCGATCATGAGCGACAGGGGTTGAGGGTGTCACGCGCTTGGGTTCGTGGTCTCCCATGGTCTCCGACCGTGAGCGCAATGGGGCCGGGCGGGTGTCACGCGGTTCGGGTCCGTGGTGAGCGACAGGGATTGGGGGGGTGTCACGCGCTTGGGTCCATGGTCTCCGATGGTCTCTGATCATGAGCGACAGGGGTTGAGAGGGGCGGAGGCAGGGTGGACCCAGAATCAGAAAGAGCATGCTCAGATGCATTTTTCAAATCGGGCAAAATGCATTCGCGCAGCTTGCTCCTTCCACAACCCACAATCGAATTGAGTTAAAAGCTGATCTTTTGTCGCAAAGACAGAGGCTGCGTACAGAAGAAGCCTCTGTCCAAATGCATTTCTCGCCCGTGCTTTAATGCATTCAGCTGTTTTCGCCTTCTAAAAAGTGCACAAAAAGAGCACAGCGTTGCAAGTGTGGCAAGCAAGACCAAATGCGTGTTTTAAGCCTGGCAAAATGCATTCGGGCAGCGCTTGGACATCCATGTCTATTGGTATTTTACGACCAACATTTCCCCGACATGCATCTGAGGGCAGTCCACATGCATTTTTCGTCGCCCAAAAAACGCATTTGGCACTGGTTTCCTATCATGTTGCAATCTTGGGTTCTGCCGGCTCAGGACTTCTAAATTTCATGTCTTTCTGCGCGTAAGAACATCTAGAATCTATATATAGGATTTGAACGCGTTTAGAACCATAATCACCGTTTCGCAAAATTCCCGAAAAGGGGCCTAAAATTAGAAGCAACGTGCCCAGATGTATTTTGCAAAGCAGGCAAAATGCATTCGCGCAGCTTGCTCCTTCCAAAACCACAACAAAAAACTCACTTGATAGCTGACTTTTGTGTCAAAGACAGAGGCCCCGTACGGAAGAAACCAAAGTCCGAATGCATTTTTCGCCTGTGCCCAAATGCATTCAGCTGTGTTCGCTTTGAAAAAGTGCAGAAAGAGCACGCGGCGTTGAAATGTGGAAAGCAAGACCAAATGCGTTTTTCAGGCCTGGCAAAATGCATTCGGCAGCGTCTGGTCATCCATGTCTATTCGGTTATCCTTGCTCCATTTCAGCATGAAAAACAAACGAAAACAAAACAAAAGAATAGGTTGGTGTTTTACGACCAACATCTACCCGACATGCATTTCTAGGGCATCCCAAATGCATTTTTCGTTGCCCGAAGAATGCATTTGGCACTGGTTTCCTATCATGTTTAGTTTTGGTTTCTGCTGGCTCATGACGTATTCGATTCTTCTGATGTGTTTTCTGTGCATAAAAGTAGCTATAGTAATTGAAAAACTTGTTTAGAACAATGTTCGACATTTTGCAGGAGTACCAAAACAGACCCAGAATCAGGAAGAACATGCTCAGGTGCATTTTTCAAAGTGGGCGAAATGCATTCGCGCAGCTTGCTCCTTCCACAACCACAATACAATTGAATTAAGAGCTGATCTTTTGTCGTAAAGACAAGCTGCGTACAGAAGAGGTGAATGCGCAACTGCGTTTTTCGCGCGTGCCTAAATGCACTCAGCTGTTTTCGCCCTTGAAAAAGTACAGAAAGAGAGAGCATGGCGTTGCAAATGTAGAAAGCAAAACCAAATGCATTTTTCAGGCCTGGCAAAATGCATGTGGGCAGCGCTGGGACATCCATGTCGATCCCTCGTTTGGATTGGGAAAGGGTTGTTCCGACCCCTGGCAGCTCCAAAAAGAAGCTTGAAACCCACGCCTCCATACTGAGCCCAATTTTTCTGATTGTAAACTCGGCCTGCCGAGTTCTACGCGTCGCGTTATTGTTTCATGCCGCTTTCCCTTGATCTACAATCTTACTGTTTGGGGTCGTCGCCGGCGTAATTTAAACGTTTTTTGGTGGGCTTCCTATGTAGCATGTCAGCAGAAACGTGTGAAGACAACTCTTCCACCCCAACAAATCGAGCCTGTTCTCTTGAACCTCCACAAACTAGTGCCCTAGAACCTACACCAGAAACCTTGACACCTGCAACTTTTCTCCCCCCCCATCCAAGGGCCTGCACACTGGGTGCCGCCGAGAACTGAGTAGTCTGTGGGACCTTCTGGAGTGCTGAGGCAGGCGTCCAAAAGCCCAAATCCTTAACACTGGAAATTCTGGGCAGGGCCCTTGAAAAACATCCTACAAGGCGTTGTAGACCCTCGTTTAGATCTCAGCGCCCAAAGCTCCCGAGGCCCCGAAGGTTCTGAAGCCCGGATATCTCTCAACCGCAGAGAAGCTCTCCAAACCTAAACGAGAAACCCTGTGAGCCCCTAAACCCTGAACAACCACCCGAACCCATTCCCGAGCTTTCGGGGCGCCTGTGCGTAGCCTCCGGCCTTTGGAAGCAAGAGGATCGACAGGGTGCAGGGCGTGGGGTTTTGGGGTTTAGGGAGGTTTGGCGATTCTGCTGAGTTTAGGGAAAGTCTGCCAGGCTTCATAGGGTGTGGCCTGCCTGCGGTTTGAGCGTTGAAGGATGTAAGTAGCAGAGGGTTGAGGGTGCAGGGTTATGGGCTTGGGTCCTGGGTGGTGTAGAAGAACGTCTCCGCTGCTTCTTGGAGTGTTGCGCCTACATGTTTTACCTCTAGCTGGAAGCCCGAGCACACCGCCGTGAACTGTATGTACGTGTGCTGCCATAACCTTTGAATGCACCGTGGGTTCCCCCCACCTCCCTAAGGACCCTTTTAACAACTTAAGTCGCCACACTTGCAACACCTTGCCATGACAGGAACTCAAAAAGCCAAGCATGGCCACCTCGGAGAACGTCGCTCTAAGAGGACATTGTGAGGCCCTTCTCTTGTACGGTTATAGTTGCCAGAGAGGGTGGGTGATTACAACTCTTGCGCAAGCAAAACCCTACAACCGTCAAAAACTTGAGGTCCCCGCCGCCGGCGGCAGTGCTGGCGCGGGGTCAGGGTCGCCACAGCAATCTTGGAAACGTTTCGGGTGTAAGGTTCAGGGTTCGAATGGTTAGGGTGCTGGGGTTTCGGGTTTAGGGGGGTTTAGGTCTTTTAGTTTTCGGGTTTGAGGTTTAGGGTTTAGGGTTTAGGATTTAAGGCCTTGAGCATAGGCCTTAGGGGGCTTCCCGAGCCTTTTTGTGTGGCAAGCGCTGGCGCGCTGAAGTCCTGACAGCTCCACACCGTAGATCGGGAGCTTTCAAACCCTAACTGGGTTTAGGCTTTAGGGTTTAGGGTTTAGGGTTTGGGGTTTACGGTTTAGAGTTACGGCTTAGGGCCTGATCCTAAAGCCGAAAGTCTCAATCACACGTCAATCCCAACACTTTGAACCCTGAATCCTGGACCCTCATGCCCTCTAGCCTGCCATCCTAACACACTCTGGATCTGGGCAGGCGACCGACAGCGGAGCAGCAATCCTTTCGTGCGCTTAAAACCGGATTGGCATCAACTAGTTCATGGTTAGGATAGTTCATGGTTAGGATAGTATTAAACATGTAAATGTCTATTCCTGCTTGAGAACCCTGAAAAATATCAAATGTTTCCCCACTAGGACAAATTTAGGGGTACAGGGTGCAGGGAAAAAGGGAACCCTGACCCTAGATGCCCTAATCCTTAACACCTGCATCCTGAACCGTAAGCCCTAGACCCTCAACCCAGTACAACTTAGCCTGTTGATGGGTTTCCTCGCCGGCAAGATACGGACACCTTGCTCAGTCACAAAAACGGTATAGGAGAAGCATCAGAGGAAACAGCTTGGAGATCTGCCCTACGGATGGTACATCTCTGAACCCACTCTGGATCCACACTTCCACTCGACCCAAACCTTATGAAAGCCTGAAGCCGTCAAAACGAAACACAACGGCGTGCATTCCGGATCATCAGATCGGAGCCTACGAACTCTGAATCTACACCGAATGGCATTCTTCTGAGTACGAACTGATAACAGTCAGAAGAACGAGAATTATATCGGTCTATATATATATATGAAGATATGCATATATGTGTGTATATACATGTTAAAAATGAATATTTCTATGTATGTGTATGGTCCTCCACAGTCAGCAAAAAGGCTTGGCGGGCCCCCGTGTCAAACCCCAGCTGAGCCACAACACCGGGAGTTCCAACCCTAAACCCTAAACAATCAACCCTAAACCCTAAACCCCTAAACCCTAAACCCTGAACCCTAAACCCTAAGCCCTAAACCCTAAACCCCAAACCCCATTGCAAGCCGAAGGTCGAAGTTCTGACGCCTCGGGGCGCCGCCGGGGGCCGCGCCCGCGGCCGCGCTGAGGCTCGCCGGGCGCCAGACGTCGAAGACGAGTGGGTGGGCGACGGTCTCAGGTGGCTTGGGGTGCCCTAGGGTTTAGGGTTTAGGGTTTAGGGTTTAGGGTTCAGGGTTTCGGGGTTTAGAGGTTCAGGGGTTTAGGGGGTTTAGGGGTTTAGAGGTTTTCCGGTTTAGGTTCTGAGGTTGTGTTTAGGGGGCATTAGGGTTGTAAAAAGACTTAGGGTGCGCGACGTCGGTGATGGCAAACCTACCAAGGGCTTGCACTTACACGACTACTACGACGCCAGAGCCCTAACCCTAAACCCTAAACCCTAAACCCTTAACCCCCTTTTCACCCTAAACCCTAAACCCCTAAGGCCACCCCAAGGCTCCGGAGGCCTAAAACATCGTCCCCAAACCTCTGAAAGCCTCGGGCCCCGCTTAAACCTACACCATCGGGAGGATCTCGGGCTGAGGGCACCCTTAAGACCCTACTTGGAGGTCCATGGTACTTACTAACCAATTATAACTGTACTTCAAACTGTACTTCAAACTGTACTTATAACTGTACTTATAGCCATATTAGGGCGCTTAAGGGGCTTATAGGTAGGTTATAAGTACAGTGATACTTGGGTAATATTTAGTACTATGAACCTCCAAGTAAGCCTCCCAAGACCAGGCCTGGTGGGAGTTCACGGCCCGCCTGCCCCGGTGCCCAGGCTGTGGGGTTTGGGTTTCGAGGGCGTAGGGTTTAGGGTTTAGGGTTTAGGGTTTAGGGTTAGGGTTTATAGGGCTGAAATAACACACTACGCCGCCACCCCCCCCCCCCACCCCAACAGGGTCAAGGTTGCTCACTGGGCTACTGAGTGATGTGGGGTTCAGGATGTGGGGCTTTGAGGCCCTCAGCTCCAAGCCCTAAGCCTACAAAGCCTCCTGGTTGCACAAAAGCCCCAACCCTCAGCTAAGCGAAGAAACGACGCAATAGCTCTAAGCCTGTTAGGGCCTGAACTCCGAAACCCTAAACCCTAAACCCTAAACCCTAAACCCTGAACCCTAAACCCTAAACCCTAAACCCTAAACCGATGCCTGATCTCGTCGGAGAGCTGTTGCATGTTCGACACGGCGTGGCCGTTCACTTGCAGGATGTGGTCACCCACCTGGGGGTTTCCGATATTAGGGTTTAGGGCTTAGGGCTTAGGGTTTAGGGTTTAGGGTTTAGGGTTTAGGGTTTAGGGTTCAGGGTTTAGGGTTTAGGGTTTCCGATAATAGGGGGGGTACCTTGCTGGGGTCCTTGCTACAAGGGAATCCGACCATTTGGGGTCTACATTAGGGTCTATTTTGCGTAAACCCCCACCTGCTTCCAGAAGAGGCGGGTTTGGGAGATCTGGAGCTTGGAGTTTGGCGGATCTAAACTTTGGGGCCCGAGGGGATTGCATCAGCATACTCTCCAATGGTCAGGGGGTACCAAGAAAGGGGCCCGAAATGCAGATCTCCAGAGTTTGGGCGACACAAGATTCTGGAATCCCCAAAGCCCTAAGCAGCTGAAACCAGCACATGGTCCTTTTCTGGGGGCATCCCAAGTCCATGCTCCGCGATGAAATATGAGCCCAACACGGGTGTAGGGTTTAGGCTTGATGGTTTAGGGCTCAGCACAGCAAGCTGCGCACATGGCACAGTGAGCGCCCCCATTCGAAGTACAGATACCAACAACTGAGCAAAAGTCCCAGCGGACTCCCGTCAAGGGAATCAGGGCACAGCGTGCTTCTACTGGAAACCAAGCCCCTAAACCCTAAACCCTAAACCTAAACCCCTAAACCCTAAACCTTAAACTCTAGACCCTAAACCCTAACCCCTAGACCCTAGACCCTAAACCCTCACCCAGGATTCGTAGCGCCCCAACAAGGCCCGGCCTGCCAACCCCACTGCGCGGCGATGGGATTGCTGATGGAGGAGACCCAGCAGTTTTGGATGATCAGCCCTAACCTCACGCGGGGGTTAGGGTTTAGTGCTTAGGGTTTAGGGTCTAGGGTTTAGGGTTTTGGGTTTTGGGTTTGGGATTTAGGGTTTTGGGTCTATATAGGGTGCAAGACTTGGGCTTTGGCTTCAGATTCTTCGTCCTCTGTTGGGATGCCCTAGAAGCAAGGGACCCATATGATCACTGGTGTTCTACTCTTTCGGGGGATCGGGGCTTGCGGCCTGCGATGATCACTGCTCCGGGGGCAAACGCCCCAATCCCCAAAACCATAGCGTGCAATCAGGCACCCCACCAAGGGGAAGGCATCCCGAAAAAACCAAAAGCGGCTTCAGTTTACTTACTTGGGTGTATCTCGTGGCCGTCTTACCCCATGCATCACAATCCCAAAAAATAACGCTCGGCCACGATTTAGGGATCGGGGACTTCACAGCCACGACACTGTCAGGCCTGAGCCTTACAAACCTTCACTACCCAGCGGTTAAGCTACAGCGGCTGCCCCTAGACCCCAAACCCTGAGCCTTAAACCTCAATCCCTAAACCGTAAACCCCAAACCCTAAACCCTCAACCCTGAACCCCAAACCCCGAGCCTTAAACCTCAAAGCCCATCCCTCGGGGGTCTTCCCCTGGAGCGGCCTGCCATCGTCCATGAGCTTTGGCACGGAGATGCGGGTGTACATACCCGGCCCCTGCATCCCGATGGGGTGGGATCTTGAAACTTTAGGGTTTAGGGTTTAGGGTTTAGGGTTTAGGGTTTCGGGTTTCGGGTTTCGGGTTTCGGGTTTAGGGTTTAGGGTTTAGGGTTTAGGGTTTAGGGTTTAGGGTTTAGGGTTTAGGGTTTCCTTTCCTTACTATAGCTCTTTTGTTGGGGGTTTTGGGATCTACATACTTTATGCGATCCCCCTAACTCCTGAAGGGGTGTATATGTACCCCGATAGTGCTACCTGCATTTACGTCTCACCCCCTCTGAAGCAAACATCGGGAACGAGGAAGTGGAAGACCCTAAACCGCAGGCCCTAAACCGCAGCCCTAAGCCCTAAGCCTTAAACCCTAAACCCTAAACCCTGAACCCGAAACCCTAAACCCTAAACCCTAAACCCTAAACCCTAAACCCGACCTTAGGACTGTCTCGAAGGGGGTAGGCTTTGAGGAGAGGCTGCGGGCTGCGGGGGCCTCAGGGGGCCTGTCAGGGTCTGGGCTGTGGATGGAGGCTTTTGCTTTACGGATCACCGCTTTTGGTTTAGGGTTTAGGGTTTAGGGTTGAGGGTTGAGGGTTTAGGGTCTAGGGTTTCGGTATTAGGGTTTCGGGTGTATGCTGTAGGCTTTAGGGGAGGTCCCCAAGATAGACCCCCATATTTGTAGGATCCCCTTAGATGAAGGACCCCAAGAAGGTACCCCCCTAATTTCATGAGAGGGTGTCCCCTTCAATGCCCTGGTACCGGCCCCGGAACCCGCTGCCTGGGCTGCCAGGAGCGGGGCCGCGGAAGCTTGGGACGAGAAGGAGCTCGGGGGAGAACTCTGCAGACCCTTGGCTCGGAGGTTTTGGGGGGTTTGGGGGATTGGGGGGATTTGGGGATTGGAGCTGAAGGCTTGGGCTTTGGGGCGCTTGGGAGGTGCGTGAGTTCGGGGCTTTGGGCATCGAGGGTTTAGGGCTTAGTGCGGCTTTGCGGGTTAGGGTTTAGGGGCTTCGGGGCTTCAGAGTGGTGGCTGCTCCTTTGTGAGGAGCACAAAAAAAAAGATGCTGCCTTTAACTTGAATGTTCATGGCACATATGTGGAACCCACGTACCAGGCTTCAGGTTTGAAGCCCGGGCCATGCGTCCTGAACCCTAAACCCTAATCCGAACCCTAAACCCTGAGCCCAGGTTTAGGGTTGCGAGCCCAAACCCTAAACCCTAAACCCTAAACCCCAAACCCTAAACCCTAAACCCTAAACCCTCTAAGCCCCCAGAACTCAGCCGGGCCACCGCCGTGCTTGGCGGCGTCAGTGCCACCGGCGTGGGGGCCACCGCCGGCGCGGGGGGCGGGCCGGAGCCCACTGGGGGCAAGCTCCGATGCTCCTAATTTAGGGTTTAGGGTTTAGGGTTTAGGGTTTAGGGCTTAGGGTTTAGGGTTTAGGGTTTAGGGTTTAGGGTTTAGGGTTTAGGGTTTAGGGTTTAGGGGTTTGGGTTTAGGGTTTTGGGTTTAGGGTTTAGGGTTTAGGGTTTAGGGTTTAGGGTTTAGGGTTTAGGGTTTAGGGTTTAGGGTTTAGGGTTTAGGGTTTAGGGTTTAGGGAGGCTTTTAAGAATTTTAATGGGGTTTTGGGGGGTTCTTATGGCATAATTTTAAAGGGGGGGGGGGGGTTCTTATGGCATAATTTTAAAGGGGCCATAAAGGGAATACTAGTAGGAATTATTCCGACCCCTATATTAGGCTGCCGAGCTTAGGGCCTCTAAAAATTTAAGGGTTTCGGGGCTTCGGGATTCCAAAGCTCTTGGATGGTTCCAAAGGGTTTAGGGCTCTAAGGCCTCTAAGGTCTTGAAGGTTCGGGGTTTAAGGCTGAGGGTTTGAGGGATCGGGCGAAGTGTTGGCGCGAGCTCGGAGGGGGGCCTTTTTGGGTATGCTTAGAACGTTTATGACATTGGGTCTAGGATTTAGGATGATTGGGTGTAGGGGGCCAAAAGGCAACAAGTTTAGGGGCTACTTCGGTCTAAAGTGGGATTGATCCCGGCGCCCTCATATTTTGGCAACCTGATCCCCAAACCTTCTAAACCCTGAGCTGGAAACAGCCCTAACGCTCATCCCTAAACCCTACCGGGCCCTAAAGCCGAGAATCTTAACCCTAAACCCTAAACCCTCAGCCCTAAGCCCTAAACCCCTAAGCCCAGACGCAAGCCCCCAAAAAACTAAACCCTGAGACCCGACAGGCCTGAAACCCTGCAAATGCCCTAAAAAGTCGCGCTGACCGACCCGGACCCTACTTAACCTTCTGAAAACGACTCTTTGAACCCTGAACCCTGAACCCTAAACCCTAAACCCTAAACCCTAAACCCTAAACCCTAAACCCTAAACCCTAAACCCTAAACCCTAAACCCTGAACCCTTCCGCCCCCACTCCTCGGGATGCAGCTCCCAGCCTGAATGCTCTAGGGTTCAGGGGTTCAGGGGTTCAGGGGCTCAGGGGTTCAGGGGTTCAGGGGTTCAGGGTTTAGGGTTTAGGGTTTAGGGTTTAGGGTTCAGGGTTCAGGGTTCAGGGTTTAGGGTTTAGGGTTTAGGGTTCAGGGTTCAGGGTTTAGAGGTTTAGAGGGGGGTTTAATGGGTTAAGGCTTCAGGGCTTGAGGTTCAGGAGTTCAGGGCTTGAGGTAAGGCCTCAGGGTTCGAGCCCTTGGCGCGTCGAGGCTTACGAACTTGGCAGCCAAGTCATACGAACTTCGGTGGGTGATGGTGGTAGACGATATTCGCACCCCATAACCAACGATGCAACGTGGCCATTCTTTGCAGTGAATTTGAACCGAGATGCTTTGATCAAAGATAGCAGCGTCTATCCGAAAGTCATATTGGGCTTCAACAGACTGCTTGGTGTAGTTGGAAGGACATCTTCGTTGTGTAAATACCCCACGTAGCCCTTACCAAAACGCGAGACTCCACTGGTTCAACCCTGCGCCCTGAAACCCTGAAACCCTGAAACGCTTTCAAAATTCCTCAAAAACCTCGTGAACGTGTTAAGCCCTAAACCCTAAACCCTAAACCCTAAGCCCTAAACCCTAAACCCTTAACCCTAAACCCTAAACCCTAAACCCTCTGGGACGCCCCGCGACGGCCGATGGACTCGAGGTGGCCGGGGCCCGAAGAGCCCGGCGCCGAGAATGCGGTGGGAGAGAAGCCGCCGCGGTCTGAATCGGCTCTCTTAATTCGGGCTTGGGGTTTGGGGTTTGGGGGTTTAGGGCTTAGGGTTTGGGGGTTTAGGGTTTAGGGTTTGGGGTTTAGGGTTTAGGGTTTAGAGCTTAGGGTTTGGGGTTTGGGGTTTGGGGTTTAGGGTTTGGGGTTTGGGGTTTGGGGTTTAGGGTTAGGGTTTAGGGTTTTGGGGTTTAGGGTTTAGGGTTTGGGGTTTAGGGTTTAGGGTTTAGGGTTTAGGGTTTAGGATTTCGGGCTTAGGGTTTAGGGTTTATTGCTGTAGTATGGCACAGAAGCTCTGAAGGTTGAGATGCCGAGAAGCCGAGAAAGCTTCGTACCATGCGAAAGGCAGCTATGAGCCGATTGTCAAGGGCCATCTAACGCTTTTCCCCCACCCCACGCCGTCTCAGGCGGCAGAACCACCCTGACCTCTTCCTGAGACACTCACTTCAATTGCCTTTCCAAAATCTTCCTCCGTCCAGGGTTGAGAGGTCCAACGCAGCCGGGGGGTCCCGGAGGATTCCAGGCAGTTTCTCGGGCCCTCGGATCATGAGTTTAATGAGGAACCAGAGAACGGGCCGTCGATGTCGAGGGGCTGATGCGGGACGCGCGCGAGGAACGCTGAGCTTCTAAGGCCGACAGCTCCCCAAAATGTTGCGTTAGGGTTATCAAAGGTGCCCGTTGGGGTCCTGCTTGAAAGGTGCCGTACCATATACGGACCCAAAAAGGGAACCGAATCTAGAGAAGTACTCTTATGGTGGTGGCGGATGCAGGGTGTGTAGGCTTTTGTAGGGTTTGTAGCGCAGGTTTGTGGGGCTTGCAGGGTTCGTAGGGTCTGTAAGTGTTTGTAGGGTTTATGGGGTTTATAGGGCTTAAGGGTTTCTGGGGTGGGGTCTATAGGGCTTGTAGGGCTTATAGCGGTTAGGGTCTACAGGTGCAGGCAGCGTACTTTTTAGGGTTCATGGGATGAGATTTGAGTTTGCTTTTTGCTTCTTCATTGAGCGGGAAAGCACGCTTAACTAACTTGAACCGACTGTACTGCTGGCAGAATTTGTCATTGCTTGGCAGCTTAAGTTTGCGTACTTCCAGGTTTTTTCATAGTGTCTCCCCACACGGAATGGCCAGAGTTGATCTCGCAACAAGTAGCTTAAACCTCTTGAAAGTAAAGTTGGTCTTTACAAGTAAAGTGCAAAAGAGGCTGTGTGATGAAAAGCATACTGCCGGCATAGAATCAGTGGTGGAAGACTGAGACCACTTACAAGATTACGAATAAGAACTCTGCTACAAACGCACAAAAAAACCCTGAACCCTAAAACCCTAACACCCTACAACCCTACAACCCTAAAACCCTACAACCCTAAAACCCTAAAACCCTACAACCCTAAAACCCTAAAACCCTACAAGCCTAAAACCCTAAAACCCTACACCCTGAACCCTAACCCCCAAGCAAAAACCCGGCCTTGGCCCATGCCCAGGGCTGCGCCGGAGCCCGGGGCCGCGGAGCCGAGGCTCCAGGAGGGGAGGTTGGCCATGAGCTTCAGAGGGTTCAGAGTGCCAAGGGCGTTCGAGGTTTCAGGTTCGAGGGTTTTAAGGCCATTAATCTTCAGAGGGTTCAGAGTTCCAAGGGCGTTCGAGGTTTCAGGTTCAAGGGTTTTTAGGGCCATGAGTGAGAACTCCTTGGCTTTTTGGGGTCCGGGCTGGGATGAACTCTAAGCCCCCTAAACCTTGAACCGTAAAGAAGGTGTGTTGAGCTTATGGTTCGGTGCTTTCCGTAATTGGAGTTTCGGGTAACGCCTCTTGTCCGTGAACTTCTGCTTCAGGTAGGGGAATGCCGAGCAGACAGGCCTTCCTCTCTAAGCCGGGAGCGACATCAGCAGCTTGAGCCGTCAAGAGCAAACAAGTTTTAGGCGCAAGGCTCCGAAGCTAAACTTGCTGGGGCTTCATCTGAACCACGGGCTCGGGCTACACGAAACCAAGCCCCGAGATGACCGCGCATGTGTATATTATGTATATATATGTATACACATACATGCATACATACATATATATATATATATGCTACCCCCCCCCCCGGGTTATCCACGCTTTTTTGTGGTTATCCACACTTTTTGTGGTTGCGAGCCAATTAGATCGTTCACGGGCCGCGGTGACCCCTGAACCCCCCCCCCCTCCGTCTGTCCAAACACTGGGCACAGCGACCTTCTCCCCTCCCCTCCCTTCCGCTCCGCTGCGCTCCCTGGTTTTTGCAAAGGCTTGTTTTCAGGGCTAAATCTCTAAACCTAAGTCTTATAAAAAGAGAGGCACCGAAACCCTATAGGGTTTAGGGCTTAAAGCCGATAGGGTTTAGGGTTAAACCCCTTTAGATCCATAGGGTTTCAAGGTTAAGCAAGTACACCTAAACCCTTAACCTTTAATCCTATACGGTTAATATGTTTGAAGTTTTTAAGATCTAGGTATTTAAGCCTAAGCCCATGGAGTTTAAACCTTAAGGATTTACGGTTTAGGCATCTAAACCTGCACCCTTTAGGGTCAGAACCCTGAAAGCCTATAGGGCTCTACAAGGCTGAAAAGTTTTAACCGCATAGGCGCTGAAGGTATACATGCCCAGACCTTAGGTTTTCAAACCTTTAAATCCCATAAAGTCTAAAGGTTTAGGGTTTTTCAAGGTATCTCTAAAGCCCTCACGGGATTAGCCCGATAGGGTTTAAACCCTATAGGCCTATAGGGTTCAACAGTTTAGGGCTTTAGGTTTAGGCATTGCCTATAGGATTAGAGCCTGAAAAACCCTATCAGGCTTGAGGCTTAATTCCCTAAACCTAAAATCCCACATGGTTATGCCTCTGTTTATAGGGCTTGGTGGAAATGCAAAGAATAAGCAGAATAAGTACCCACACCATGTATCGGGTTCAAAAGTTTAGGGGTCTTAAAGGTTTGTAAGCCCATGGAGATAAACCGTAAGGGCTTACGGCTTAGGCATTTGAATCTAAATCCCAAGCCCTTTTGGGTCAGAACCCTGAAAGCCTATGGGGCTCTAAAAGCCTCAAAGGTTGTAGCCCTATAGGCTCTGAAGGTATACATGCCCAGACCTTATTTTTTTAAACCTTTAAATCCCAAAAAGTTTATCTCTTAAGCCCTCACGGGGTTAGCCCGATAGGGTTTAAACGCTATAGGCCTATAGGGTTCACATGTGTATGGTTTAAGGTTGAGGCATTACCTTTAGGATTAGAACCTGACAACCCTGTATACGACTCACCTTTATCTACTATTTGATGGTTTTGTTTCCCCTGTTAAAGCTTCAAGGATTTTGAAGAATTTACAAAGACCCTTCAATTCTTGAAAACCCTGTAAACTCCTTAAAATATTGAGAGGCCTCTGGCTTTCAACATTTTAAGGATGTTAGGCCACTTAGATACTTTAAAATCCGTAAAATTTTGAAAAAATAAGTTATTTTGGGAAATGCCCGGCCCTTTTGAATTTTTAACAATCCGTACATTCCTTCAAATCCTTGAAATTTTGAAACAAAATAGCTATTTTGGGAAACGGCCCGGCCCATTTAAATATTCTAAATGTGGTTTCAGCACCTCTAGGGCTACAGCCTTCTAATCTTTAGAGCCCTCAAGGGTTTTAGGGTTCTGACCCTCAAGGGTTTCGGGTAGTGCTTAAAGCTTAGACCCTATAGGGCTAAACCCTATAGAGCTAACCCCGTCAGGGTATTAGAGATAATCTCCGAAAAGCCCTAAGGCTTTGGATTGCGGAGCATTGAACTTCAATACTCCGGGATTCAAGATTGACCTTCAAAACTCGGGACCCTGGATTCAAGATCCCGGGGAAACTTTTCCCTGGAACCTTGAATCTTGAATCTTGAATCCCGGAGTATTGAACTTCAATCCGGAGCATTGAACTTCAATACTCCGGGATTCAAGATTCAAGATTCAAGGTTCCAGGGAAAAGTTTCCCCGGGATCTTGAATCCAGGGTCCCCAGTATTGAAGTTCAATACCCCGGATTGAAGTTCAATACTTCGGGACCCTGGATTCAAGATCCCGGGTGAACTTTTCCCGGGAACCTTGAATCTTGAATCTTGAATCCCGGGAGTATTGAACTTCAATCCGGAGCATTGAACTTCAATACTCCGGGATTCAAGATTCAAGATTCAAGGTTCCAGGGAAAAGTTTCCCCGGGATCTTGAATCCAGGGTCCCGAGTATTGAAGTTCAATACCCCGGATTGAACTTCAATACTTCGGGACCCTGGATTCAAGATCCCGGGGAAACTTTTCCCGGGAACCTTGAATCTTGAATCTTGAATCCCGGAGTATTGAACTTCAATCCGGAGCATTGAACTTCAATACTCCTTGTCCCTCATCGTGCTTGACTATTGAGGCCTTGAAATTTAAGTACACTATGCACTCTAGAAACGTCTCTACTGGTGTAATATAAACATACAGATAATCAACCAGATATAAATGAAGGAAGAAAGAAAATATAAGCAACACGCTGGGGCAAAGAAAACAAATTACGAACGAAAAAAAGAAATACGCAGTGCCAGAACAAGAAAAACACAAAACAAGCAGAAAAGGTGTGGATAACTGGGGGGGTACCATATATATATATATATATATACGTATACATATATATATATATATACTTATTTATAAAATATATACATATATATATATAGACATATACATATATATATATATATACAAATATTTGTTTGTGTGAGGGGGGGGGAAAGAGGCCAAGGCTGCTGCACACCCACGAAGCTGGATCGGCCATCCCCATCAGAAATCCACTTCTGACGGGGTTCGGGTTTAGGGTTCAGGGCCAAGTCTCATGGGTCCCTAAACCCTAAACCCTAAACCCTCAACCCTAAACCCTCAACCCTAGACTCCAAAAAAGGTGCGTCAGCAGTATTATCCCTCAGGCCGGTGCTTTGCATGGCCCGCAGCGATGCCTCCGGAACGCTTCGGAGGACCTTTGCCGAGGGCTCTGAACACACTGAATAGACTTTACTCATGCTTAGGAGCCTAAGCCCTAAACCCTAAGCCCTAAACCCTAAACCCTAAATAAACCCCAAATGGACCCTGGGGGGGGGGGTAGGGGGTAGGGGAGTGAAACTTGGTACCATCTTCACAGGACTCAAATGTTCAAGGTACAGTTCTGCCCCTCCCCTCCTCCACAAGTGCGGATTCCGTACCCCCCCCTCCCCCGAAATCCTTAAACCCGAAACCGCAACGCGCAAACTCTGGATTTTGGGTTTAGGGTTTTAGGGTTGAGGGGGTTGAGGGTTGAGGGTTTAGGGTGTTAAGTGAACCTGAAGCCTCAGGGCGTGCGAAGCTGGGCGCAGGATCACCCAGAGCTCAGCCCCCCAAACACCAAGCCCGCCAGTTCCCATGACGCCCCCTGACATCACTAATGTGGGGCCTTAAGAATTAGGATAGGGTTTTGGGGAAAAATCGTATGTTTTTTGAGGGGCCAGAAGGGAATATTCTTAGCACATATTTCGACCCCCATGTATTACAACTCGTGTTTGGTGCCTTTAGGCGGGTTGGAGGGGGGGGGCTTTGCAGTAACCGTAGGCTTCCGAGTCCCTAGCCCAGGACTCCCAGAAAAAGCCCCCAAAGTGCTCCGGGTTGAGGGTCCAGGGTTGAGGGTTTGGGGTTTGGGGTTTAGGGCCTCATGCACTTGCACCCCCTTTTTTTGTCTATCAGCCCCAACGCCCCTTAGCGCCTGGCAAAGGGCAAGTCGGCAATGTGGCCCTCATGGAGGCTGATACTTGCGGCCGTCCAGTTTAGGAGGTCATCCTGACTCCGGTTTAGGGTTTACGGTTTAGGGTTTAGGGGTTTGGGCTTGGGGTTTAGGGTTTAGGGTTTAAGAACCCCAAAACCTCCAAAGCCCCAGCAGCCCTTTTAAAAACCCTCAGCCTTACCAGCTCCATAGACCCTAGACTCCAAAGAACCACGCCACAGGCTTGCAACAAGAAAAACCCAGGGGCGCCGCAAAAGTTTTGGGTTCAGGGTCCGAAGAAATCGGAAGAACCACTGGGAGGGCAGGCTTCAGGGTTTGGGGTTTTACGAGGGAGGGGGGGGGGGGGGGCATAGGGGCTTCGCGCAGGGTGCTGGGGGTTTAGGATTCGGCCCGCTCTCTGGCAACGATGGCTTCTGTCGGGGGTATCCTGACTTTGAGCACTACAAGGGGAACCGGGCTTCAGAGAACTAGGCTTAGGCTTGAGAGTTTTTTTCTGGGAAGCTGTGAACATGGAAACCTGCACCCACACCCAGCGTCCCACGGCAGCTCCAGTCGGTTTGAAATCCTGGGGGCAGGGGGGGGGGGGGGGGTTGGGGGGGCTTCAAGAAACACATGGCAGCTTAAGGGCTTAAGGTTCGAGGTTCCGGGATTCTCGGGCTCTAGGGCTCTAGACTTCTGACATTCTGGGGCTGATCCCCCCCACCCCCGTCCCTTCAAGACCCCCGAAAGAAAAAAAGGGCGGATGCAGGGGTCTCAGGCCCAGGGCACGCAAAACCCTGGATTTCCTTTCCTTTCAGGTTTCCACATGTCTCCAGGCTTAGGGTGCTACCCCCCAGCTGTGGATTTGAAGCAAGCTCTCAGCGCCCAACTATGTCCCAGTTCAGAAAGCTATCGCCTAGTTGAGAATCTGTGAACGCCCTTGAAGCAGTGTCACAAGAGCTGTCCTTACAAACTCAACCCGAAACTCAGAGTTAGCCACAAGTCCTAAGCCGAGGCGCACCACCGGCACGCAGCCCTTCATCACCTCAGGGCTGGGGGGCTCCAAGCCTTGCCAGTTGGGTTTCGCCTCTAGGGCTGAGGGTTTGCCGGGCCTGGCTCGGATATCAAGCGGGGGGGGGCGTGGCTTTAGGGCGACGTGCTCAGACTGAGTGGTCTAGCGCAGGATACTCTTGCTAAGCCTCAGCCTCTAACCACGCAGGAAACTGCACTCCTCTTCCTCTAAGAAAGGCTGAGACATGCTCTAATTTACTGGCACCTTGATTGAAACTCCATAAAATCCTTAGATGATCTTGCCTGCAACCCAGCAGAGCCTCCGGACTTCAGGGGGGTTTGAAGCATATGGGTCCCCCAGACCCCCAACACCTAAAAGCCCAAGCCCCTACACCGAAGAAATTTCAGGCAGCGTTCAAGCACCCTTGAAATACCACCAAGTAGCACCCAAAGGTTACCCCCTTGGACCCGGAGTAAAACCCTAGAAACCCCAGAGCCCCGCCCCCAACATAGTATTTAGGACATTTAAGGGTTTAGGGCTTAGGATTCAGGACTAAACCCTAAACCCTAAAACCCTAAACCGGGGTGAAGGCACCACCCTAACACCCAAACCCAAGTGTGGCGTCCCCGCGGCCACGGCCGGTAGGCGCTGGGTGGAGGGCCAGTGGCCATCAAGCACCTCATGGGCTTCGGGTTTAGGGTTTAGGGTTTAGGGTTTAGGGTTTAGGGTTGAGGGTTGAGGGTTTAGAGTGTACAGGGTCCAGACACAAGGACAGGGAAAAGGATTTGGGGCTGCGGGGTTTGGGTTGAGGGAGCTGTTGGGGTTGAGGGTGCGAGGTTTCTGCGTGCGAGGGCAGGGCCGAGGTTGAGGGTTTAGGGCTAGTTGCATGGTTTGGTGCTCAGGTTTAGGGCTTAGGGCTTAGGGCTTAGGGCTTAGGACTTAGGGCTTAGGGTTTAGGGAGTTAGGGTTTTGGTTAGGGTTTAGGGTTTAGGGTTTAGGGTTTAGGGTTTAGGGCTTCGGGAAGTCTGCCTTGCCTTGAAGCCTTCGTGATGCACTGCACCTGGCGCCTCATTGCACCCGTGTTGACTCCCCTTCCCCCCAGCGCTCACTTCTTCCAAAAGGCCAGGGAAGTCCCTCTTCAAGGCCCCCAAAACTCTGTACTGTGCAACAGGGTTTGGGTTTCTAGTGGTCTTGGGACTTCGGGGATTTTTGGGCTTTAGGGGCTTCAAGGTTCTTAGGGCCTTCCTGAACCCCAGGCGAGGCCCTGGCGGGGCAGAACTTCGCACGACGCGCGGCCGCGGCAAAGGCCGCGTCTCCGTAGGCCTTCTCCTGAGGCCCAGAAGGCTAGGCTTTAGGGCTTAGGGTTCCTAAGGCGCAGAAGCTGTGAAGGTTGGGGTGCCGAGTGTAACCTCAAAACCTTTTGACCCCGCCCCACGCCATCTCAGGCGGCAAAACGACCCTAAGCTGGTCCTTTCTAGGGTTGAGGTCCGAGCTCACTTCTGTTGCCTGCTTCCAAGTTCAGGATTGAGGGTACTCCTAGGTTTCTCAGGGCTCCTGGGATTCCTAAATTTTAGGGGTTTTAAGGGTTGAGGGTCCTGGGGGTGGGGGTTTCGCGTCTACAATTTATGGTTCTCATTAGGGTTTAGGGCTCCTAAGGTTTACAGTTCTTAGGGTTTGGGATTCTGGGGCTGGCTTGCACGGAACTCTAAGCCTCGCTTGCATAGGCTAGTCCTGGTCATCTTGTCCCGCTTAACTTTACTCAGGGCTGTAGTACCCTACACCCTCAACCCTTACAAAAAAGAATCAGGGTCTGGTTCGGCTCACAGCTTAGGATTCTAGAGCCCGGGGAGAGGGGGCTGGGTTTAGGATGCCCTCCGAGACCCTGTGCCGGATCTTGGGCCGAGTTGTCTGAACCTTGCGAAAGAACCTCACATCGCCCCTGAGAGCTAAACCCTAAGCCCTAAGCCCCAAACCCTAAACCCTAAACAGCAAAACCCTAATATAGAGGCCTTAATAATTAGAATAGGGTTTTGGGGGTTAGTAATGGTACATTAATCATAAAGGGACCGTAAGGGAATACTATTCGTAATTATTCCGACCCCTATATTCACCCTAAAGCTGCTGGGGCCCGAGCCCCGACCAACATCCCATGTTCTTCTCGGGCGCGGCGGTTCCCCCATCTCCTGGTCGCGGTTGGGGCTTCTGAGGGCTTAGGGTTGCAGATCCCCTCACACAAAGGCCTCCCCTGCCAACGCTGCATGCCCCAACGAAGAACTCGAACCAGTTCAGCCGACCAGGTGAGCGTCCCCCGTGAGTGCCTCACTGTCGTGCCGCAGCACGCTGGCCTCGAAAGGACTCTTCGGCAGTCCCTCACACAGCGTGCCCCGCACCCGGCCAGCGGTGCGCAAGCTGTTGAAGCTTCAGGACTCCAACAGCCTGTGGGTGAGGCGAAGAGAGTGCATAGAACGGCACCAGAAGTTTGCCGTGGTACACGATGCGACCGCGTCATTGCGAAGTACGACAAAGGTTTGGACGGTCCTGGACGGCTTGTGCAAACGCATCACGCCGACAGCCACCAAGAGAACACAACGGAACTCTTTGCAGCACGCTGCGTCCAAGCCGACAGCAACCTGCACGATATGCTTTTGCAACGAGGTGGTGGCGGCGCTGGTGGTGCTGCGGCTTTGGAGCGGTGGGCCCTACTACAACCAGCGTTCAACACACGATGTTCTTCTTGGAGATGCTGCAGAAGCAGCTGCATGCGCAGCAGATCCCCTTCCTTGGGTTGCTGAATCAACCGAGGCCACAAACCGTCAGAAACCCTTCATGGAATGTTGAAACCAGTGGGCGGAAGGTGCGGTGCGGACTGTGCGGCAGGCACCGCCCGCTCGCAATGGAATGTTGCATGCCTCAAGCAAAGGCCTCCCCTGCCAACGCTGCATGAGCCGATGGAGAACTCGAGCTAGTCTCCGGACCAGCGAGAGTCCCCCGGTGAGCGCGTTAGCCCATTGCCCCACTGTCGTGCCGCAGCACGCTGGCCTCAGAAAGGACTCTCGGAATAGTACCTCATGCAGCGTGCCCCGCACCCGGCCAGCGGTGCGCAAGCTGTTGAAGCTTCAGGACTCCAACAGCCTGTGGGTGAGGCGCAGAGCGCATAGAACGGCACAAGCAGTTTCCCCTTGGATGGTCATAGGCGTCTTGTGCAAACGCATCGCCGACAAGCACCAACAGACCAGAACAGAACATGCAGAAGCTGCTGTGAACTTATGCAAAACAGAACTACCCCAGCCGTAAAGGCTGCACCCCAACCCTACAGGCTGCAGGCCGCGACTGTCCCTTCCGAACACATACGCAAGGCTTCCATCACAAAGAGGCCAGGGACTTGCGCAATAACTTTGCCTTCAAGTTAGATAACTGCTTCGAATCCGCAAATGCTGCTCCCTCCTATGCTTATACCTTCTCCCTAAACCCTAAACCCTAAACCCTAAACCCTAAACCCTAAACCCGACTCAGTCGACGCACGGAACAAACGCGCCCGTCTTGGCGGGCATGACTTTTCCCTCGAGCCAAGGCGCATCTTGCGCTACGATTGAGGCGTAGGGGCCGCTCTCTAAGAAGGTACTACAGGGGCCTTAATAATTGAGCTGTGATCTAAATTCTTTCATCCCGAAAAAACCGTCTTTGCAAAAAAATAAACTTTCGCAAAACTTTCGCGGACCCATCGCGGTGCAGGTTTATGCTATTAGCCCAGATCAAGGTCTAAATCCCTAAGCTTCAACAAGCCAAACTTGAGCGTTAAGGGTTGGGGTTTAGGGTTTAGGGTGCAGGGTTCCAGGCTTCGGGTTCAAGTCAGCCAACACGCACCTCAGATGAGCGCTGTCCTTGGAATGGCTACCTCGACTTACGCGGGGCTTACGCGGAACTTACGCGGAACTTTCGCCAAATATCCAGCCCTGAAAACCGCTTCCGGATCCCCTTGCATGGCTCTGCGGGTACTTCGGAGCCATCTGGGCAGTCTAGCAGGAAACTGAAAGCCTGGAAGCTGGTGGCAACATAGAACAAGACCTTGGGCTACGTAAGAACTTTCGCGAAAAAAATCAACTTTCGTAAACCCAACGCGGATCTTTCGCGGAGGCATATCTTAATCCCGTATGGGTCACTGCCTACTAAATGCCACACAAGGACCTTTAGATCAACGCTCAATTAGAACAGGGTTTAGTATATTTATCAAGGGACCATGAGGGAATAATATTAGTAATTATTCCGACCCCTATAGTACACCTTTGTCACCTGCACGTAGCCGACTAGAAACAACTCCCAACTGAGTCATAGTTGTCGGACCCCTAAACCCCAAACTAACCAAATGCCCAATCTTGGACCTGGCCTCACGAGCACAGCCCGGCTGCACGATGTGTTCGCGCCAGCAAAGAATGCCAGGAGAGGGCGTCGAAAGCCAAAACGCACCTGCAACGTAAAACTGTAAACCCCAAACCCTAAACCTGAAACCCTTAAACCCTAAGCAGGGGTGGCTCCGGAAGTTTGTAGCTTGGGGTTTGTGGGAGCTGAGGGTTTGCGCCTATGGCGCAGGATGTTACAAAGCACGATGCAGGAACGCCTTCGACTTGATAGGGTTGAGAGTTGAGGGTTGAGGGTTGAGGGTCTAGGGTTTAGGGTTGAGGGAGGGATGTAGTGGTGAGGGTTTGGGCTTCCTTCAGGGATACGGGTGGACACCTCGGATGACACCAACACCCTAAACTTTACACATGAGGGCCCCTTTTCGGGGGCTACCTTTTATGCAGGAACCCTGCCGAGAAGGGAATGAAAGGTGTACCGGCTTGTTTGGTGTAACCATCGTGCTAAGGGAACGTGCACTCCAATCAGACCCTAACCCCATCAATCCTGAACCCTGCAGCGCCCCCAAATCCTACTTCCGAAACCGGAGGAGAGAAAATGAAAGGGCTGCCAGGGCTCAGGATCAAGGTGTCTGCCCATGAACCCTCTCAACTACGTGCTCAAACTTTAGAGCTGCAAACCCAAACAACCCAAATCCAAAACCCTGAAGGCCTGAAGGGTTGAGAAGGGGTTTAGGGTTTAGGGTTTAGGGTTTGGGGTTTAGGGGGCCTCGAAACCCAACCGCCTGCTTGCTGGTGGAGTTGTGGGCGATGTTCCAAGGCACGACGATGTCAAGTGGACCCAGCCTCGGACCCCTCTCAAGCACTCGGCAGGTACCTCTTGTGGATACGAGAAGTCCAAGATCAAGGGCCCAAAAGCCACATACACATGAGGATCCTACGAAGACTTTTTTTCGGAATCCCCTGATAGGGGCCCTTTACCCCAATGGTAGGATCCTTATGTTTATGTGGTTTTTTGGGCTTCGATGCAGTTTTGTCCGATGGTTTGTACGAGTACCACGCAGCCCTGTCAGACAGTCCATACAAATGCCTTTAATACTCTACTACGAAAACCTGTACATCCAAGTTTAGATTCACAAGCTTGTACGAGCAGCTCCTTTTCAAACCCTCTAGCCTAGACCCTAAACCCTGAGAAGCCTAAACCCTACACCCTAGACCTTAAACCCTAAACCCAAAAGCCCACAAAAACCCAACCCCCTGGCGCCCAAGCGGCGACACGGCGCTGCGGCAGTGGGCCGCACAGGCGCAGGCGCGCCGCCGCTGCGGGCGGCCCAGGCGTCGGCCGCCGGCGGTGGTGACGAAGACGGCGTGAGGAACCTGGGATTGAGGGCAATGGAGATGTGAGATGGGAGATAGGGAGATAGGGAAATAGGGTTTAGGGTTTAGGGTTTTAGGGTTTAGGGTTTAGGGTTTAGAGTTTAGGGTTTAGGGTTTAGGGTTTAGGGTTTAGGGTTTAGGGTTTAGGGTTTAGGGTTTAGGGTTTAGGGTTTAGAGTTTAGGACTCTACCAGAAAACATCCTGAGCTGTAGAGAATCTGCCCCAAAACAGCCCCGAGCCACAGAAGCCCCAGCAGCCCCGAACAAGCCACGCCCGTGCAACCTAAACTTTCCTAATACCACCCCAGAAGCTATCGCGTGAAAGCGCTTCAGCTCATCTCGCCCAAACATGTTCACAAACAGCAGCTGGCAGGCAGGGTATCTCGCCTGCTGGGAATTCAGAGGCTTCGGGGGGCTTAGGGTTCGGCTTAGAGAACAAGGCTAAGGGCCTTGATCTAAGCTCTCAAATACGAGGCTCTGAAACTTAGGGCTTAGGGTCTAGGGAACTATTCTGAGCCCTTCTCGCGTCGACATGACGGTATCTTCCCTACAGTCTACAGCATCGGCCGTTCTCAAGCTGAAGCTGTCGCCCTCGCGCCTGGCAGTTGCGGACTGATGGGTTCTGAAGTGCTGCGCGGGCGACGTAGAGCGCCAAGTAGCGATCGACGTCCTCCTCTGGTCTGTGGGCTTAAGGAGAGGGGGGTGGGGGGGTACTTGTAGCCTGAAATGGGGGTGAGGGGGTAGGGTTCAAGGCTTACTTATAGGAGCTTCTAGGATTTTAGGGCCGGTCCTGCACCGCACCATGCAGATGACCATCTCCGTGCACGGGCAACCAAACGCCTGAGATGGAGACCGTCCTGAACCCTACTTCGTACCCTGTACGACTTCTGGGAAAGAACAAGGATCCCTTTAGGGAATCTGCTTCATACGTTCTGTAAGCCGCAAAAAGCAGAAGCCTCTGAACTCCTTCACCCCGAAGACCCGAAGAACCCAGAAGCCCCAAATCCTGAAGCCCTGAAGTCCTGGACAAGGAACCCTGAAACCCCTCAAACCCTGAACCCTCAACCCTCAACCCTCAACCCTCAAACCCTAAACCCTAAACCCTCAAACCCCTCGGGCCAACCTTGCCCAGGCGCCGTGCCTGGCCGAAGACTGGACGGCTGCCTGCTTCCACGAGAGATACCTTGAAGTCCGGCGCTTACGGGCTTATGGTTTAGGGGGTTTCGGAGGTTTCGGGGGTTTCGGGAGGTTTCGGGGGGTTTTCGGGGGTTAAGGGGTTTAGGGGGTTTAGGGGGGTTTAGGGGGCTCAGGGGGCTTGGAGGGTTCGGGGTGTTTAGGGGGTTCGTACAGGAAGGATTGTCGACTTTTGTGTTTTTTCTTTTTTGGTGGGGGCGGGGGGAGACACGCGCTTGGTTCCAGGACTTTTATGGGGCTGAGGCCTGTCGGAGTGCATCGGGCTTCGGGTTCAGGGTTGCGGCTTTCAGGTTTAGGCCTGTTGAGGTACCCTAAACCCGAAACCCTAAGCCCAAAACCCGAAACCTTCAACCTTCTGTGGGGAATTAGGGTTAGGGGGTCAGGGGCGGCTTGGTGCTTGGGCATCCAGCTTCTCAGGCGCCGAATGCCTCGATGCGCCAGTCGTCCCAAGCTCGGTCCCCGGATTGGGGGGAGGTCTATGAGTGGCCAGGGGGCCCCGCAACTTCCCTAGCTAGGGAAGCCCCTAGCCCTAAGCCCTAAACCCTAAAACCCTAAACCCTCAACCCTAAACCCCCAAACACCTTCTGGGTGCAGGCCCGGCGACAGGTTCATGGCGCAGTGGGGCACGTACACGAAGTCCGCCAAGTCGGGGTCCTCTCTGCGACGGGGGCTTAAAGCTTGCCCTAAACCCTAAACCCTAAACCCTAAACCCTAAACCCTAAAACCCTACAGGCTTAGGCCTCAAGTGCCCTTGGCATGTTCGAGGCTTAAGGTTCCGGGAGTTTGGTCTGGGGGCTCCGACCGTACGCTGAGTATAGGGCTCACCCTCAACCCTACAGCCCCACAACCTCAATCCCTGAATCACTGCACCTTTGTTGGGGTACGATTAAACATGATCAGTTTTGTTCCTGCTTGGGTTTCAGTACTCATAAACATGTAAGATGGTTTTCAACAACGACCCAGTGAACCCCCAACCCCACAACCGCCCTAAACCCTAAACCCTAAACCCTAAACCCTAAACCCTAAACCCTAAACCCCCCCTGAACTCGGAAGTTTTGAGCAGCCCAGGCTCCGGCGTCAGCGTCCCGGGTAGGTGCTCCAGGAGCAGTTGGCGGAACCATCTCTCGAGGTGGTAGGCATACCCCCACTCCTTAAGGGTCAAGGGGTCAAGGGTTCAGGGTTTAGGGTTGAGGGTTTAGGGTTTAGGGTTTAGGGTTTAGGGTTTAGGGTTTAGGGTTTAGGGTTTAGGAACCTAGCACGCGTGTTTTAAGGAGGCAGAAGGGTCGAAAGCTTAAGGCCCGAGCCTCAAAGTATCAAGGAGTTCGGGCGTAAGGTTTGGGGTTGAGGGGTTTAAGTCAGGTCAGGCTTTGAAAGCTTGGGGCTCAACTTTAGAGCTGATTCCCCACTCCTCCGGCAGCTGGAGGCATGGGCTTTTTGGGGCCTAGTGTTTTAAGGTTTAGAGTTCAGGGGGTTTAGGGGAGAGATTTGATACGACGATTTCCTACGATCCCTCCATGTGGGATTCGATCTGCTGGAGAGCGACTGAAACTCCCTTCAGGTGGTTGAAGAGACGTAGCCATGCTGCGCTCTCCCTGAAACCCTCCTCACGCCACAACATTCAACCTTCGCACGGCACGGCCCTTCTTTAGCACACCCCAAAGCCACTTCCAGCTGGGCTTGACCAAGAGGTAGGACCCGCCAGAGGAGTGGGACTCAGGCTGTTGAGGCCTCCAAGCCCTCAAAAGCAAAGCCATCAATCAAGAAGCCCCTACCCTAAACTCTGATCCCTAAACCCTAAACCCTAAACCCTAAATCCTAAACTCTAAACCTAAACCCTGAACCCTCCGAGGCTCTTGGTCGCAGACCTCCTGAGCTCAGGAAGTCCAAACTTCAGGGTTGGGCTTGCGTACTCAGGGAGGCTTGGGGTCTCGGGTTTGGGCTGTAGAGCTTGGCACGCGAGTCTTCTCCCTAAACCCGAAACCCGAGACCCTCAACCTTATCTCTCAGGTAGCCCCAACTAAAAGGAATGAACAAAGGACCCCGAACATCCTTCAACCCTGAGCCCCAAACCCCTACATAAACCCTGACATACTAACACCCGTGCAAAGGCGGGTCCTAGTCTAGGGTTTGTAAGAGCTAGGCCGGCCTGGGATGAGTTGTACGACTGCAGCTGCATGGTTCAGATTTTACATGGGTTTAAGGCTTAGAGGTGCCCCTAAACCCTAAACCCTAAACCCTTTAAACCCTAAACCCTAAACCCTAAACCAACCCTAAACCTTAAACCTTAAACCAACCCTAAACCCTAAACCCAGGGCTTCGGGATTAGGAGCTTCGGGGGCTTGAGGGCATTGGCTTCGTGGTTCAGTTCTTATTTTCCTCTGCCATGGCTGCAGGAAATCGAGGATGAAGTTTCAGGAACTGCTTTGAGCCCTGGGAAATTCCCATGCGCAATAGCTACCCACACTGGTCCAGAACCTCGGAAACGAAGCTGAAACGCGCAAGACCTCGAAACTCCCCAAGCCTGTCGCGCAACAAGATACCCTCAGCCTAGATCCAACCAGAAGCAGCAAAACAACAGGGCGTGAAACACATCCCAGCTCCTCAAAGCAACAAACCCCAAACCCATACCCTAAACCTAAACCCTAAACCCTAAACCCTCAACCCTCAACCCTCAACCCTCAACCCTCAACCCTAAACCCTAACCTAACCCTAAACTAAACCCTGGAGGCCCTGAACCCGAGCCTGCCACAGCTCCGGCAAGGCGACGTGGATGCGCAGCCCTCGTTCGAGTGAGGCCTCCAGAGGACTCGTTTCGCGGCGTGAGTGGCTGGAGGGGATTCGGGTTTAGGGTTGTAGGTTGTAGGGTTTCGGGCTTTGGGGGCTTCAGGGGGGGCCCAAGCCCTTCCAATGCCAAAGCACTCAGGGCCCCTTTACAGTCCTTGCTTGCAAACACCTCGACCCCCCTTCGAACCAGAGATGTTTTAGGGTTTAGGGTTCAGGGTAGCCGTGGGTCGAAAATTAAAGGCCACGAGTTAATTTTCACGGCCCCGTATGACAATAGCAGGTACGCCCCAAAAGATGGGGGGGACCAGCCAGTCAAGGGCTTTCGGATACGGGGCTTCGGGTGTGGGGTTAAGGATTTGAGGTTTAGGGATTTAAAGGCTCCCCGCCTGGGCACTGTGCCAAACTCTCCGACCCTAAACCCAGGTGCCTTGGCGGCCCACATCGCCGGCTTCCAGAGATCCATGGGAACGACAGCTCATGGCGGGAAAGCCGCAGTTGCACGAGAGTTCAAGCTAGGGTTTAGGGCTTAGGGTTTAGGGCTTAGGGCTTAGGGTTTAGGGTTTAGGGTTTACGGTTTAGGGTTTAGGGTTTAGGGTTTAGGGCTTTGGGCTTAGGGCTTAGGGCTTAGGGCTTAGGGCTTAGGGCTTAGGGCTTAGGGTTTAGGGTTTGGGGTTTAGGGTTTAGGGTTAAGCGTTAAGGGTTTAGGGTTCAGGGTTTAGGCTACGGGCTGAGGGGTTACTTGGTAGGTGGTACATACACACTCAGGGCCGCCAAAGGCCTAGTGCAATATGGGAGCCTTAATAGCTGGCAGAGGTCTATTTTGGGTGGCTGTTTAAGATTGTTTAAGTATGTTCAAATAGGGACCATAACTTCCGACCCCCTATGATAGGCCCGAAAGGGCTTTGGGGGGGTGTTTGAGGCTCATGGGTTTTTTGGCGATGCGTCGCTTGAAGGTCCGAAAGCTACAGTCATCAGCAAGTGCCCATGCTTCTTCTTTTGAATGTTGAGCATGGCAGATCCTCATTCTGACCTAGTTCATGTTTGATCCTATGTTGTGTTCCATGCTCCTTTCAGTTTCCACGTCCAGAAGCTTACGCCTTAAGACACATCGATGATCTTTGCCACGTCATGAACTTATCTTGCTTGAAGTGTTGCTAGGTGTGGAGGGGAGGAGAAAGAAAATTGGGGAGGGGGGGGCATTGCATCCCCACTGTGCTGAGAACTTACTTTCCTGTAACCTTACATCTTGAGCTGTCTTTTTACATGTCTTGGAACTCCACCGCTGCCTCTACCTTCGTCCCACATCTGCTTGTCATAGGTTTTGTAATAGGCGGTGCTAGGGGACTCAGTCTTGATAACAAAAGCTGCAACCCTAAACCATGAATCCTAAACATCAAACCCCAAACCCTCAACCCTAAACCCTAGACCCTAGACCCTAAACCCTCCCCTCAACCCCGGGCTGACGATCCTCCATTTTCGACGCAGGAGCCCGCAAGCAGCCATCCGAAGAAGGCTAGGCACTTCGCCTCGCGGAGGCTTTAGGGTTTAGGGTTTAGGGTTGAGGGTAGAGGGTTGAGGCTTGAGGCTTGAGGCTTGAGGCTTGAGGGTTTAGGGTTTAGGGTTTAGGGTTTAGGGTTTAGGGTTTAGGGTGTAGGGTTTAGGGTTTACGAACCTTGCCGGGATTGTGGTTGGGGAATCCGAGTTGCAAAGTGACCCCGGGCACGCAGCTGCCACATGGCACCCCCAATACCTCAAACCCCAAAGCCCAGGGTCCGGAGACCAGGAGGTCCACGGCAAACAGTGCCACCTAACACTCCTTACCTCAATACTCAGCACCAAAAAGAGCTGACACCTGAGCAGCCCTGACTCGCAACAGAGGGATGCCCACCGGGTTCACGACCCCTGAAACGTCAGGACGGATCCGGGTATGGCTTAACGTGCTGGGCATTTGGTCAGTTCTCCCAAAAGGGACCATGATTTAGAGAAGTCACCATATGGCACACGCCCTTTTGAATCCCCGCGGCGGGTCTGTGCGCTACCTCCGACTGCTGGCATCACCTTGAGGGAACCCCTAGGAGACTCCTTCATGGTTTCCCTAACCTGCAAGTTGTCAGTCGAGCGAGAAGCTTGATCAGCTAGGTAGCCAAGTGTCCGCGGGACTACGACCTGTAGGGGGCAATTTGACTATCGGTGTGAGTGCTAGGGTGTCAGGGTTTGGGAGTTAGGGGACTGGGATTTTTTGCGTCCAGGGTTCAGGGGCGTCGACATGTCAGCCACAAAGCACACTGGAGTGAGCAAGAAGCTCAAAGGTAGTGGATGTCGACCTGAGCAGTACACACATGCGAAATTACGGCCATGTAAGAGACGGAAGAGCATCACCCTAGAAGCACACCACGGAAGCACAGCAGGCATTTTGCTTTCTCAAGGGGCTTCTGTCAAAGCTCTGGGTTTCTTCAGTGCATACACAGAACGTCAAGTTACATGAGAGCATTGCCGCTGCTTCTTTCAAAGCTCTGGCAAGATGTGTGCTGAAGATCTCTGAGAGATGCAGCTGAAAAGAGCTCAGCGGCCAGTGTTGGCCGCCGGGCGGCGCAGCACGACAGGCTCCGTGACTTCAAGCGGCATCTTCAGCTGGGTGCGGAGCTTAGCCTCGAGGTCAGGGCGCAGAGCGTCAAAGCGGATCAGGAACTGGGGCTGGAAGCGGGCGGGCTCGGTCGGGGACCTGCCGACGGCAGGCTTCCACAGCTTGCCCCGGCATTTCCGAAATAAGGTGTTCAATGGGTACTGTATGTCGTTTCCTCGGAGGACTGGCAACCCACGCTCCTGCCACTCCTGCCAAATGCGGCAGATCCTCCACCTTGCTGATGTTACAACACAGGGCTGGCCGTGGCTCGGGCGGGCAGAAGAAGTCGGTGCTGTTGGCGGTCCAGTGCTGCCAGGCCTCCGCGCGCATCGGCAGGAACTCAGCTCTGGAGAGTCGGAAAAGGCGGTCAGCCAAAGAAAGGAGCTCGGGAACGTTGGCTCCATGGTAGACTTCCCAGTTAGAGCGAGACCGGTGCTTCGGGCGAGTATGTCTGGTAAGCGATGGAGTGGAATCCGCTTTCGAATTCCCGGAGCGTGTGCTTCGTGGGTGAACAACAGGACCTTCATTGCGCGCCAGCTCGATGCCTGTTCCACGGCGCAGCGCTTGTGTCGGCGAAGGACGCTTTCCAAGCAGCCGTTCGCTCGACTGTTGTGCTCCTGCATATACACGCCGACTATATGGGTCAGTCTCGCCCGGTCGCACTGCCGCAGGGAAATGCGACATCCCAGCACAGTCAGAGCCTTGGCAGCAGGAGCGGAGTCGAGGGAGGAGCTGCGCGACCAGGTGGGTCGCGCTAGGCACACCGAAGGCTGCCGCGTAGACCCGCTTCAGCGCCTCCCATGTCATGGCGGGGTCATTCAGCTTCTCGATGTACTCGGCTTTGCACACGCCAGCGCAGAGCGCACGGTAGCTGGCTAGGGCGGGCAGAAGAAGTCGGTGCTGTGGCGGTCCAGTGCTGCCAAGCCTCCGCACGCATCGACAGGAACTTCCGGAGAGTCGGAAAAGGCGGTCAGCCAAAGAAAGGAGCTCGGGAATGTTGGCTCCATGGTAAACTTCCCAGTTAGAGCGAGACCGGTGCTTCGGGGTGTCGCGGACTTCGGTCCATACATCTGCATTGTAGAGTAAGGACGCCGGGTATGTCTGGTGGGCGATGGAGTGGAATCCGCTTTCGAATTCCCAAGCGTGTGCTTCGTGGATGAACAACAGGACCTTCATTGCGCGCCATCCTGCATATACAGCGTGCTTTTCCCGACCTTCAGCATATATGGGTCAGTCTCGCCCGGTCGCACAATCCCAGCACAGTCAGAGCCTTGGCAGCAGGAGCGGAGTCGAGGGAGGAGCTGCGCGACCAGGCGGGTCGCGCTAGGCACACCGAAGGCTGCCGCGTAGACCCGCTTCAACGCCTCCCATGTCATGGCGGGGTCATTCAGCTTCTCGATGTACTCGGCTTTGCACACGCCAGCGCAGAGCGCACGGTAGCTGGCTCGGGCGGGCAGAAGAAGTCGCTGCTGCGGCGGTCCAGCGCTGCCAGGCCTCCGCGCGCATCGGCAGGAACTCAGCTCTGGAGAGTCGGAAAAGGCGGTCAGCCAAAGAAAGGAGCTCGGGAAGGTTGGCTCCATGGCAGACTTCCCAGTTAGAGCGAGACCGGTGCTTCGGGGTGTCGCGGACTTCGGTCCATACATCTGCATTGTAGAGTAAGGACGCCGGGTATGTCTGGCGGGCGATGGAGTGGAATCCGCTTTCGAATTCCCAAGCGTGTGCTTCGTGGGTGAACAACAGGACCTTCATTGCGCGCCAGCCCGATGCCTTTTCCACGGCGCAGTGCTTGTATCGGCGAAGGGCGCGACCCAAGCAGCCGTTCGCTCGACTGTTGTGCTCCTGCATACACAGCGTGCTTTTTCCGACCTTCAGCATATATGGGTCAGTCTCGCCCGGTCGCACTGCCGCAAGGAAATGCACAATCCCAGCACAGTCACCTTGGCAGCAGGAGCGGAGTCGAGGGAGGAGCTGCGCCAGCCTCGACACGCGTTTTACATGTTTTTGTTTCGGGATGGAGCGGTGAGACCGCATCCAGGAAGCGGTCTCACCGCTTCAGGGTTTGGGGCGGTATAGACCGCATCCATCTCGACATACAACGCGTCTTTCAGTAGCCCGCCCAGGCGCCCGTCTGTGAGTTCCGCGGCCTCCCAGACGAATGGGGGCGGCGGGAGGTTCGGGATGTCCTCCACGTTGATGACATTCGGTGCTCCCGCTCCTGTCCTGGGGGCTCCTGCTTCTCCTGTCCAGGGGTCTCCTGCTTCCACCCTGCGCCGCTTGGCTGGTGTTGGAGTTGCATAGCTTGTGGCCTCACGCCCTGCCTGCTGAGGCTGCTGCTGCAAGAGCGAGGAGAGCATCTCACGGGTACTCTCCACCTCTTGCCTCACCGTGGTCTGGAAGGCCGACGCTAGCTCCTTCACCGTGGTCTGGAAGCTCTGGGCAAGCTGCTTCAGGAAGGTCACGGTGAAGACTCGGTTCTTGTCCATCTCCCGCTCCATGAAGCGCACGCAGACTTGCATGGCGCCAGCCACCCGGCCGCCAGGGACTCCTCCAGGGGCTCCTCCGAAAAGTCGTCCTCACCTTCACCAGGGAGTCTGATAGGTCTCTGCGTCCTGAGACGGCAGGGCCTGCTGGCACCACAAGAACTTCTCCAGCGGCGTGCTGCGCATCGAGCAAGTGCCCGACATGTGCTTGGTGTAGACCCTCTTGCACTTCGCACCGGATTATCCACTGCAGTGCCAGATGGCCCAGTTGCCAGCCTCGCCTTGTCCCGGCTGGCGCGCTGGTTGCAGGCTTCGCTCCCGATGGCAGTACCCACACTTGCTTGGCAGCTCTGCCGCGTCCATGTCCTTGAACAACCCATATCCACAGGCATTGCAGAAGACAACTAATGCATCTGCCATCTGGGTCTCGCTGCTCGCTGAGACTGACATGCTCTCTACCCTAGACCCAGGAAACCCTCAGCTGTCCTCTTGGACAAGTGCAATGCTGCGCGTCACAAGCTCACATGTATTCAGCAAGAGATTCTATACGCGATTATACCACGACTCTTCAAATCCTCATGCAACATGTCAGAGTGACGACTCTACACTGCATGGCTGAGATGCCGACTTCTCAAGAAGCTCATTCGACGATCTTTGCGTCGGTCAGGCGCTCCGTTAGCTTGAGTCATCCAGCCTCAAGAGGATGGACGACTGCTCTAAATTGTGGACCCTTTTTGGTGTCCTAGACTAGATGCAAAAACACGCCAGTAGAGAGGGAGGTTGTAGTGGATTAGGGCTGTTCGACGCAAGGCTATGGTCTCTTAATTAAGGTTAAAAGCCTGGGTGCAGGGTTGGTAGAGTACCGGGTGCCAGGATTTAGGGTTTAAAAATACCTCGTCGAAGAACTCAGGATCTCCCCAAACCGCCCAAACTGCCCAAACCCCCTAAACCCCCAAACCCCCCCCCAACAAAAAAAGAAAACTGAAAAAACCTAACCCCACCCCCCCCCCCCCAATCATTCCGCTGAGCAGCAGGTCCACCACAGGCTCAGCCTTGGCAGCACCGCGCGGCCAGCTGCAGGCTGACCTGGGCCCAACCACGAAGGCTTGACCAAGGGGCTTATAAGGTACAGGGTCTGGGGTCTAGGGTTTAGGGTTAGGGTTTAGGTGAGGTTGCTGGGGGATTACTGGAATACTAGGGCTCAGGGTTGAAGGCCCCAAGTTCAGAGCATCACCGGACTCAGGCAAGCCGCGCATAGCTGGGGAGCTCCTCCTGCATGACGTGCATGGCCACAAGCTCCCCTGCAGCGTAGGCTTAGACTTACAGGCTTTTCGGCTCTTTTAGGGATGTTTAGGGCCAAGGGTTTGGGATTTAGGGTTTAGGGTTTAAGGCTTAGGGTTTAGGATGGAAGGTTGACTCGGGCATTGAGCTCCTGCACGAAACTATCCTTGCCCAACGGATGTGGCTGTAGAGGACTAGGCCGTTTGAGGGGGCGCGGGCTACTCATGTCCTACTTGCAACTAGTCAGGGCGTAGGGTTCAGGGCTAAGGCTACAACACTGCACCTTGAACCCTACTCAAGAACCGCACCAAACACCAAGCACTCCAGAACCCTAAACCCTAAACACTCGCTCCACTGCCCTCAAGCACCCCGGTAAAGCCTGCCCAAAGCCCTAAGCCCTCAAAGCGCTAGGCCCTCTGAGCCCTAAGCCCTGACAGCAACCTAATCTCTAAGGCTTAAGCCCTAAGCACTAAACCCTCTGCGTAAGCCCTCGAAGCCACCCCTAAGCCCCAAGCCTCAAGCCCTCAGGCCTTCAAGCATTTTAAGCCCTAAGCCCCAAGCCTCAAGCCGGAAGCCCTGAGCCCTAAGCCCTGCGCCGGAAGCCCTAAGCTCCAGCCCAAAGCCCTAAACCCTCAGCCCTAAGCCCTAAGCCCTAAGCCCTAAACCCTAAACCCTAAACCCTAAACCCTAAACCCTAAACCCTAAACCCTAAACCCTAAACCTAAACCCTAACCCTAACCCTAACTCCCTCCCCAAATCAACCATGGCCCCCACCTGCTGCAGGGGAGCCCATCAAGCCGTAGGTTCCCATGCCTGGTTTAGGGTTTGGGGTTTGGGGTTTAGGGTTTGGGGTTTGGGGGTTTAGGGTTTAGGGTTTGGGGTTTGTGGGGTTTGGGGGTTTGGGGTTTGAGGTTTGGGGTTTGGGGCTTGCGGGATTCAGGGCTTGCAGGGTGGAGGGATTAGGTTTTGGGGTGTTTAGGGTTCAGGTTTTGGGGAGGTGTTTTGGGGGTTTACAGTAGGGCTTCAGGGGTTTGGGCCTGCAGGGCCAGGGCTTTCGGGGCTTTAAGGCTGCTGCAAACGCTAGAACAAAACCATAAACCCTGCAGACCACAGACCCAACAACCCCCAACCGCCCCTCCAAACCCCCAAAGCCCCAACACACTGAGGCTCCCAGCCACCACACACGAAGAAGTTGCGGCAGCCATGTGGGCCGATGAGCGGGCGTCCGTCCGGGGTGTTGGTGTAGTATCCTGTCAGGGTGTCGGGGGTTCCTGGGGGGTTCAGGGTTTGTAGTTGAGGGATCAGGGTTTCAGGCGCAGTTTGGAACTCGGGCCCCTGTGGCCCTGTTTCGGAGAGCTGCTCACATTTCGCATCTCCTTCCGGCCAGGATGGCTCCATTAGCCGTCTCATAAGTGTGGAATGCATGGGGTAGAACCACCAAGCATCTTTGCCCACACGGGCGAGTCATCCTACTGCCCATAGGCCCTATGCCTTATGTAAGCTTTGTGGTCTAAACCCCTAAACTTTAGGCCCTAAACAGTAGGCTCCCTCAATGATGGTCTCTTTTTGGGCACCGATTCTACGACAAGAAAGGGCCCAAGGATTCAGAGAGCCGCCTGAACACGCTCTCTTCCCTCGAAAAGGGGGCCTCCATCCACGACGGTGTCCCGGCCCAGCTGGCCCTCGTACTGTGCCAGCGTTGGCCTGGAAAAACACCACTTCGCCACAACTCTGATGAAGGCAACATGTCAATCGGAGGTAACTTAGGGACCGAAGATATAATATACCTTCGAACATCCCCACCATCTTTTGGTAGAGCACGAGACTCTGAAATTGGGCACTCCAGGGGGTTGGGCATTCCAGAAAGACTCTGGGTTGGGCGCTCCAGGACACTCTGGGGCTGGGCACTCTGGGGTTACTCTGAAACTGGGCATTCCGGGCACACTCTGGGTTGGGCATTGAAGGGAGAGGGCACTTCAGGGAGACTCTGGGGCTGGGCATTCCGGGGACGCTCTGGTGGACTCTGGGGCTGGGCACTCCATGGACACTCTAGAGTTGGGCACTCCAGGAAATCTGCCAACTCCAGGAAATCTAACAACCCACGTGACCTCTCCCAGCCTAAGCCGTGAACTCGCCTCAACTTGGCCTCAACCCTCTCCAGGCCCTAGGCCCTAACCGCCAGTATCCGAAGCTCCCTGAGGGGCGCACACCATCCGCTGCAGCCCAGCCAGGCAAAGTTCCGGATACCTGAGGGTTCAGGACTTAAATCCTGAACCCTAAACCCTAAACTCTAAACCCTAAACCTCCAACCCTAGAAGCCCAAAACCCCTAAAGCCTCAAAACCCTGGAACCCCTAAAGCCCTAAAGCCCTAAAACCCTAAAACCCAAAAGCCCAGCCCTACCAAAAGCAAGCCGCGCCGCATGTCAAGAAATGACTCTACTGGCATCTCTGGTTCCTCGCGCGTGGCGCCGAATGCGAACTGTACCGGACCCGCAAGACTTTGCGGCTAGGCGGGGGAGGGGAGGGTTCTCTACAACCTGGTCCTTCCTGGGTACCCTTTTATCTAAAATAATGAGTTGGAGGATTTGAAGCGCCGGTCCTTGGCGATGGGCAGGTGCTTGTGCAGGTGCTCCCACAGCATCACTATCCAGCCATTGCCTGCCTTGGCGCCGCACCCCACAAACAGCTCTGAGGCGAGGGTTTCAGAGAGGCCCTAACAATTAGAATAGGATTTTGGGGGGTTATGATCGTATAATGACAAAGGGACCATAGGGGACTACCGTTACGAGTAGTATAAGCAGGACCTAGCATCCCTCTGAGCATGTCGGGGTGCTGGGCGGAGGTGTTGACCTCCCGGCTGCTCACCAATCCAAGCGGATGCGTTCACCTGATGTGCACAGGGACCTCAACAACGTGCAATGGCAAAAGGGGGCGAAGTTCTCAATCACGAGCTTCAGACTTTTGGATTGAAGGTTTGTAGAGTATTGGGATGCTCCGAAACCTTGAACTTAAACCATCCTAACTCCCAAGCCCGAAGCCCAAGCCACACAACATCCTGACGAAGATCCACATGCGAGATCAGGCATGGACGAAGAGAGGAAATTCTTAGAATCCTTAGAGCCTTAGACATCAAAAGCCGCACCCACGGAACCCAGCAACCATGAAGCCGTGCCCTACACCGCAAGCCCTGAACCCCCTAAACCCCCCGAACCCTAAACACCCAATCCACTGAAACCCCAAACCACTGAAACCCCCCAAAAGCCCCGAAACCCCTCAGCTAAACCCCAGCACATCGCACCCCTGGAACCATTGGTTCGGGCTGCGGTCCCCCCCTCAGCAGTGTCATCCATCTCGAGGAGTCCCTGCTTTACCTTGGTTTTGGGGGTCTAGGGTTCTAAGGGTTCATCGGGTTTTTAGGGTTCTTAGGGTTCTTGGGGGTTAAGGGTGCCCTACGGGGTGTATGGGGACCGCTTGGATACACCGGGATTTTATAAGGTGACATGGGCTTAAGGGTCCCTCCCGGGGTTTCTTAAGGTTTCTGTGGGCACTTACACAGCCGCGCGGGCGAAGACCACCTCCTAGAACCCTGACTCCCAGCTCGTACAAGAAACCTGGAAGTCTAGAAGAGGGCGCTCGCGCGAGCGCGCGAGCGCGCGCGCGCGCGAGCTTTCTGTCAGGAATCCGCTTCAAAATCATGAGGGGCCCCAGTCAGTTGATTCACCCCTGCTACTGGCTCTTCGCGAGGGAATGAGGTACCCTGCGCAGGCCTTTAAAGGGCTTATATAGGGGGATCTGCAGGTGCCTAGATCCCTTCTTCCCTGCGAAGAACCAGTAGGATTGGCCCACTTCCGATCTGGCCTCGTCATCCCAGTCCAGTGTCACCTTGTCTCGCCACACCATGAAGGGCGCCAGGGTCTGTGGGATGACAGCCTCCATGAGAGACCACGAGAAAGAAAGAATCGCTCGTTTCAGGGGGTTTCAAGGCGTTTCGGGGTTTTAGGGGACCTGAACCGTGGTCCCTTTCCTGATGAGCACACGGCCCAGGCCGCATGATGAGAGGGTTCAGGGCTCAGAGTGCTCAGGGTCTTGCGGCCTGCTTATGATTTCAGGGTTGAGCCCAGCTAAGGCGCCAATCATCGGACAGCTGAGACAGCTGTCATCCCAACCTGCCCAGGCCAAACCCTCAACCCTCAACTCCGGATCCTAAACCTTGAGCGCTCCCTCATGCACGTCTCTCCTACGCATGCCGTGCAGGCCGGCCCCCCTCCGTTCCAGTTCAGATTCAATACGCCAACGATTGAGCGCAACAGGCCCTGAGCCGCTTAAGGCCCTAAATTCCCTAAATTCCCTAAATTCCCTAAATTCCCTAAATTGCCTAAATGCCCTCAACCCTGGAACCCGCAAAACAACCAAGCACAACATCCTGCATCCAAACCCAAACACGCTGAACTCTCCAGCTGCCACTTCGCGCCTTTGTGTCATGCAGAATCCTCGGCAATCACACCACACGCCCATCGGTTTGGGGTTTCGGGTGTGGGCTTGGAGATGCACAGCCACCGGGCATTTCTTGCCCTGCCGGCTGGCGCGCACTACGTGCATGATCAGCGGCGCAAGGAGTGAGGAGCCCAATTAGACTGGGGATTTTGGTGCTTAGGGTTCTTGAGCTGGGTTTGTGTTTGAAAGGGCCAAAAAGTTGCTGGGTATGGAAGGCACAGCACATCCTAGGGTTTAAGGGTTAAGGGTTTAGGGCTTCGGGTCTAAGAGCTGATCCCAGGCCTACTTGAACACACGAGGGCCCACACCCCCTCAACCTTTAAAAAAAAACAACAAACATCTCAACCCCCATTCCCTCAACCCCAAACCCCCAAACCCTAAACCCCAACACCCCTAGCCTAAACCCTAAACCCTAACACCCCCAGACCACGGGATTCAAGTTGGGTGTCACCTTGGCGTGCACTTCGTTCACGAGCGGCAGAGGCGAGCCTGTCTTTGGGTCTCCGAACGCTTGAAGAAAGGGCTTTCAGAGTCAAAGCTCAGCCTTAGGGGTTTGAGGGCTTGACCCGAAACCCTAAACCCTAAACCATAAACCCTGTGTTGCTCAAAGGTGTTCAGGGTTTCGGGGGTGCTTTTTCGGGCCTTTTTGGGTTTTTGCGGCCCCAGCCCCGGCCTCGGCCCAGCAGCGCGCTGATGCCTGACATCCAGGCACCGCCGGCGTTGACCACCTTGGGGCTTTGGGGTGCTCAGTCAGACACGGAACAGACGCATATATCTCTACACATCTATATATATATATATACATATGTATGCATATGTATAGGTTTTTCGTGTATGTATGTGTACATATATATATATATACATAGGTGCACATATATACATATATACATATATACATATATACATATATACATATATACATATATACATATATACATATATACATATATACATATATACATATATACATATATACATATATACATATATACATATATACATATATACATATATACATATATACATATATACATATATGTATACACATACATATAGACATATAAATTTGTAGTCTCGAATATCTGATATGTGCTATGTATGGAAATAGTAACGACGAATACATGAGTACACGCACCACCCCCCCCCCCACCCGCCCCTCGCCCCCGCCCTGCTTCCCGTCCCTCTCCTTCCAAAAAGATGAAAACCGTAGCGAACGAAAACACACAGGAGATAACAATAACAAAGAACATTAATATCATGTATACACAGTTGCACTGTTAGACTGCAATTGCTGCATTCACTTGCCGTAGGGCTTCTCTCCTTCGGAAATCCAAAGGAAAGACAAGATAGCTACCCGCATCAACAATTAGAACAATCAGTATAAAGCTTGTTACAGACATATAATTAAGAACAAACGAAGGAAATCCAAAAAGCTAAGACTGTTAAGTATTCGAGGGATGAGGTAGGATGGCATTCATCTATTATACGTCCCTAGGGAAACGACAATACTGTAAGCAGATGAAGCTTGAACCTAAACCCTACACCCAAGCTTACTTAAGCCCTGCATCTACGCTTCAAACTACAGCCAAGGGATGTTTGCCCAAAACATATCCCAAGCCACAACCAAAACTCTAAAGCCTACACCTAAACCCCAAACCCTAAACCCCTAAACCCCTCATCCACGCCCCATCTGCCATTTGTCGCCAGCTGCCGCGAAGCCACGGCATCGCAAGGGAGGCGCTTTTCGGTGCCGTCGCTCCTTCGGGCGCTGTCGGGTTTAGGGTTTAGGGTGTAGGGTTTAGGGGTTTAGGGTTTAGGGGCTTAGGGTTTAGGAGTTTAGGGTTTAGGAGTTCAAGATGTGGGGTCGTGGCGGCTTGAGGGTCTTCAGGACGAGGAGAGTTCTCAAGGCAAGCGGAGGCTCAGCACCACGCGCGCGGCGGCCACGTCGCCGCCCTCGACGTCAAAACCCGCGATTCGGCCCCGGAGCACCGTCGCGTCCTTCTCGCGGGCCTGCGGGAAGCACTGTTTTGGCTTGGGGCGGTCCCTGTCAGGGGTGTTCCGACTCAGTACCCCCCTGTAGATACCCTTCAAGATCGGAGTCCTTGTTTTCAAAGAGGTCCCAAACTCAGAGCAAAAATCCCTCCAAGATCAACTCCAAAGCCGAAGGGGCATTGGGCCCAGGCAAGGCCTGGAACCCGGAGCCATCAGCTCCAGCCGATTGGGCTTCGGATTCACGGGAGTTCGAACACAATGGAAGCCGAACGCACGTCATAAGGGTACCCTTCTTTTTCCGTAGGTTCGTAAAGATGATGCAGCCCAGGACGCCGAACAGCCCCCAAAAGTTTGCCCCGAAGCCCCCAACCCTAGACCTTACACCGGATACCCCAAACCCCAAACCCTAGACCCTAAACCCCAAGCCCTAAACCCTAAACCCTGAGGGCTTCCTTGGGGGAAACCAGCGCACCTTGGTGAGCATGCTCCGGCCGAGCCCCTTGCATCACAGCTCGCGGGTTTCAGGGTTTCGGCCTTAGGAGTTCAACGGTTTCGGGGGGGGGGGGAAGCAGGGTCCGAAGGACAGGGTTTCGGGTTTTGGGTTTTTGGTTTAGGCTTTAGGGTTTAGGGTTAAGGCTTTAGGGTATTAAGTTTAAGGCTGCCTGGCTTGGCGCTTTGGCTTCTGGAAATTGTAAGGACCGCTTCATGGCTTGGAAAACTCCAACCAGGACCAAGAAGAAGGGTTTAGGGTTCAAGGGTTCGGGCATAGGGCTTAGGGTTTCTGAGCTGCATCGTGCCTTTCTGTGGGGCTGCGCGAAACCACGGTCCCGAATAGGTTTATTGTGTAAGTCTCTGCAGCCAGCTGCTGAAATTCTGGTTTACGGCCGTAGGGGTCCCATTCTCTCACCAGGAAGCATTCGAGCAGCCCAAGCCCTTTCAACAAAACTGAGTTCACCCTCCTTCCCACATCCCGGCCCCCAGTTCCTAAACCTAAGACCTCCGACCTCACCACGAGCGCATGAGGCACGAGGCCTGAAGGCCCTACACCCTTCAGTGTTTTGGATGGGGATCAGCTTCACTTACTGCATATCTTGGGGGCGAAAGTGGGGAAGCGGATACATATTCTAGGCAGCAGCATCCCCCCAACGCCAGAAATCTAAACTCTGAAGCCCCTTCTAGCCTAGACCTTCCAAGCCCAAGACCCCTAAACCCCAAACCCCAAAACCACCACACCCGCAAAAACCCCAACACCCCAAAACCCCAAAACCCCCAAAACCTCCCAACCCCTAAACCCCAAACCCCCACACCCTCCCCAAAGCCCGAAAAAGGGGGTGACCTGTGAGTCCAGCCACCCGCAGCGCCGCGCGTGGAGCAAGCCCTTCGCCTCCTCTCTGGTTGCGATTTTGGGTTTAGGGCTTCGGGTTTGGGGTTTAGGGCTTAGGGTTTAGGGTTTAGGGTTTGCCCTAAACCCTGAACCCTAAACCCAGCAAGGCTTGGAGTTTGTGGGTCTGGGATTTAGGGCTTTGACATCAGCAACTTCCGGACTCATTTAGCAAAACCTCAAAGCCCTACATTTCCAAAACACCGGGGCCGATTCAATTAGGGCTGGGGACGCAGAGCCCGATGAAGTAAAAATGGGCATGTAGGGCTGTTGCTGTTGCCATTCCGTGGGGATTCACAATACCCAAAGCCCTGAGCCCTAAGCCCTAAGCCCAAAACCCTAAACCCGAACTCCTAAACCCCAAACCCTAAATCTGAAACCCTAAACCCTAAACCCTAAACCCTAAACATGAAGCCCTGAACGCAGCCCAGCCTTTGCGACGAAGGGAAAGATGCTCGAAATGTTCTCCGGGCCTTGGATGCAAGGCTTGGATGCAAGGCTCGGGGGTTTAGGGTTTAGGGTTTAGGGTTTAGGGTTTAGGGTTTAGGGTTTAGGGTTTAGGGTTTAGGGTTTAGGGTTTAGGGTTTAGGGTTTAGGGTTTAGGTTAGGGTTTAGGGTTTAGGGTTTAGGGTTTAGGGTTTAGGGTTTAGGGTTTAGGGTTTAGGGTTTAGGGTTTAGGGTTTAGGGTTTAGGGTTTAGGGTTTAGGGTTTAGGGTCTCATGCTTTGAGGGTTCAGGGCTTTAGGGCTTCTAGGGACTATGTCCCAAACCCCCTCGCAGGAAATAGCAAAAGCGCACAAATCTAGAATCCAAAGGAAAGCTGAGTACACTTCGGCCCGAAGCCCCAAACCCCAAACTAAACTGTGGACCCTAAACCCCAAAATCTCAGCCGAGATCTTAAACTGCCCACAGGCAACCCCGAAGACGATATCAGTGCAGCAAGGCCGCCGCGAATGAGGTCGAAGCCCACCAAGTTTGGGTCGCGGAAATCGTCTGTAGGTTTCCTCAGTGGAGGAACCGAGCTGAGCAGCTAGCTGTCCTGTATATTGCGACGGTTTCATCCGTTCAGTGCTCCCAGGACCGGGCCCAGGGTTGTAGCAGAGGCCTGCTGCTCCAAACGCCGGCGGATCAAAACAGGAGGCAGGGCGTCGGGTTGGGGTTTGGGGTTTCTCAGGTAGGTCAAGAGAGACCACGGCCCCCCTTTACCTCCACTCCCATGCAAGCACCTTCCAGGCGGCCGAGTCTCTGGTACGAGGACAAGTCTCGATGTCGTCGTACAGGGCCCGCGCCATAGCTGGAGGCCTTGTCCGCGAAAGCCTCAAAGGCCTCCCACATTCAGGCGCACTGAGCTGCGGCATCTACTAAAGCCACCCAGAAAGCATCCCAAAGAAAACCCTTCGCAAATCCGAAGATATGTCATATATAAAATAATCATATCAGGTATTTTTCCATATAGACTATGTTCTGAAGTCCATATTATCATAATTTACATGATAAACCCAAAGCCACCCCGAAGCGGGACCAGTAGAAGCACCTACAACGGTACCGACCCCCCTTCCCCTTGCCCTCAAAAGCCCCCGTCCTCGCAGCCCTCGTCCGTGGCCGTGAAAAAGCCTGGGCTTGGGGTTGGGTTTAGGGTTTAGGGTGTTGGGTGTAATGGTTAGGGTTTGGGGTTTAGGGCCTAAGGTTTAGATGCAAGTTCTTGCAATGCCCCAATCAGTGACCAATCATGGTCAGGAGAAGTCTGGGCAGCTAAAGCCGGGACGGGAAAAACCAAGAACAGCGCAAACAGAAGAAAGCACAGACCTGCAGAGGGGCAGGGGAGCAAGTTGACCAAAAACAGAATTGCACAGCGTTGAGACATGCTTCGGCTAGTCGTGATTGCACCAGCACTCATGTTTGCTTTATTTCCCTTGGTGCTAGACCTGGGGTGCAGTCTTATCACCTTGGACCCGGCCCAAAACTCCGAAGCAGTCAATTGGAAAGCTTGTAGGTGGGGCAGAGGGGTGGGACTGCCAAGAACAAATACAGAAACTAATAACAAACCCCAAACCCCAAACTACAACCCTAAAACCCTCAACCCTGAAGCCCAAGAACCTAAACCCCTACAAGCCCCAAACAAAGCCCCAACAATGGGCCGACAAGCCTGAAACCCTAACACCCTAAAAACTAAAACCCTAAAACCCTGAAACCTTAAAACCCTAAAACCCTAAAACCCCTAAAACCCTCTAAAACCCCGAAACAAGCCCCACGGCCGAGACGCTGTAGCCACGCCTGGTGAGGCCGATCTCGTTGGCCTCGCCAGCCTCGTTCTCTGGGTTGCTGCTTTAGGAACTTCAGGGGTTTGAGCGTTAAGGAACTTTAGGGGTTTTAGGGTAAAGGGTTTTAGGAGCGGTCACGGGAGGAGGCAGTTCAAGAAGCTCCACCTGCCGGGCGCTTTTGGGCTGAAGGCTTGGGAAGGGTTTAGGGTTTAGCGGGGGAGGGGGGTCAGGATTTAGGGTTTGGGGGGTTTAGGGCCGTTTCGGGTTTTGGAGGATTGAGGGTCTAGGGCTGAGAGCCTCGGGTTTAGGGTTTAGAGTTTAGAGTTTAAGGTTTAGGGGGTGGTGCAGGCTGCAGCAAGGAAGTCCCATACCGAGTTTCGGGCTTCCGGGCCTTGTGCCCTTCCAAAGAGGCTTGGAACTGAACAACCTAAACCCTACAGCCTAAAGCCTAAAGCCTAAACCCTAAACCCTAAACCCTAAACCTAAACCTTATATACGGTTCTGAAGCCCCCGCATGACAAGTAGGGCACCCGAAGCCCCAGGCAGTACGAGTAGCCTGGGACCCTAAGCCGGGAACCTTTTCGGGGGGCAATTCGGCTTTGCAGACCCCCCCAACCCCCACCCCCGAACTAAACTCTCAGCCGCGAAGCCCAACTTAGAGTTTAGGGTTTAGGGCTCAGAGTTACCCTACCTTAAACCCTAAACCCGAAACCCTAAACCCGAAACCCTAAACCCTAAACCCCCTTCAGGCGGGCAAGTTGCCAACTCCTCCAGGAGGTCCACTGACCGTGACATGAAGGGCACCAGCGCCGGGTCCAGGAAGAAGTCGCGGTAGCACTCTGTGGAAAACCTGCAGGTTTGGGGGGTTGGGGGTTTATTGGGGTTTAGGGTTCAGGGTTTTGGGGTTTAGGGTTTAGGGCGTAGGGTTTTTGGGGTTTGGGGTTTAGGGTTTGGGGTTTAGGGGTTTTGGGTTTGGGCTTTAGGGTTTAGGGAGCTTAGGGTTTGGATTATAGGAGTTCAGGGGCCAGCAACAGCGCAACACCCCTCCGAGCATCTCGAGAAGCGGAGGGCGGAGAGAACCTAAACCTTTAAAGGTAAGCCTAACATGAACTTTGAACCCTTAATACCCTTAACTCCTGAAAGCTGGCACACAACCACCTCAATCCTCACCTTCAATCCTTAACAGCACGAAGGCAATGCAACATGGAGACGTGACTCAAGCCTTCGAAGATGTACTGTTCCTTGCAGTCTCGCTCGCTGAGCCCACTCATAACATGCCCCAACGACCGACTTGAGGCCGTGCGGCTGACTGGTTGCCGTCAAGGGCGGGCGCGGATCCACGATGGTAACCTTCATGTGGGGGATAGGATTGGAGGGACCCTTGGGGATATAGACCCTCTGAATAAGGTCCCTGTTTAAGAGAGCCACAAGAGGGTTAAGAAGGGTTCCCTTTGAAGGGGCCCCCCTTATCCGTGCAGCGAGGGGGGGGGGGGGGGGGGGAACCCAACCTGCAGCCCAGCGGACACTCTGACTTGCCTTCTGATTTGCAGCTCTTCATACCTCGATCCAAGTATCTAATCCTCTCCACGCCTACTTCTGAGGGTGGGACAAAACTGGTCCTCAGAGGCCTAACTCACTACCGGCAAACTCTTCTCTGTGGGGGGCTGCGTTGAGGGTTGCGGGATGAGGAGGTGCCCCGGAGTTCGACGTTTAGATGGGTGGTGAGCCTACCGCGATGCAGCTCCTGCTGTAGCCTTGTTTCCTAAAGCCCGTAACATCCCGTAACCCTATCCCAAACTCCGAGAAGCCTAAACCCTAAACACCAAAACTCAAAGAAGCCCTTATAGGAACCCCAAGCCCCAAAGCTTATAAACCCTCATAGGATCCCTAAGCCCCAAAGCACATTTGCAGGATGCCATGTCCGAAAGGCGCAGGGTTGAGGAAATTTGGTTTTGGGGTCTAGGGTTTCTGGTTTGGGCTTTAGTGTTTAGGGTTTAGGGGTTGTTGAATCTTGGATGTTTGAGGGGGGATTGATCAGATGCCTTCGCCCCGCGCGCACTTAGGTGCATGGCCGCGCTTGCACCGGCGACACCGCATCCTCCGATCACCACCTGCACATACCAAGAGAGAAATATCGAAGCAATACCCTCAACCCCCTGCAAAAGGCCCAAGCTTTCAGTCCCGAACCCTGGGCCACCTTTTGGGTTCGATATGGGGGTTCACGAAAACAAGGGACCCCTCAGGTAGTCAACAAATCGCAGGATTCCCCGATATAATAAGGACCCCAACAAGGTACCCCCTTGGAGGTTCATGGTACTTATTATCCAATTGTAACCGTACTTATAACTGTACTTGTAGCCATATTAGGGCACTTAAGGGGCATATGAATAGGTTATATGTACAGTTATCATTGGGGCTGAGGGCTTAGGATTTGCAAGGCTTACATTTCGCCCCACCCCACCCCACCTCTAAATCCTAAACCCGCTTGCGGTTTTGAAGCTGGACTTGCTGACTGCCACTTGCCTAAGCCCTAAAACCAAGCCTCAACCCTAAACCCTAAACCCTAAACCCTAAACCCTAAACCCTAAACCCTAAACCCTAAACCCTAAACCCTAAACCCTGGCTGCCTCCGGAGCAGACGCGAAGCCGCGCCGAGCACGGAGCGCCGGATGGAGGCGGCGAGCCAACATGGCTTTTTGTTTGGGGCAGGGGGGTGGGGGGTAGTTGAGGGTTTGGGGTTTAGGGTTTAGGGTTCAGGCCCTTTTTGGGGTGTTTCGGGTTTAGTCGGGGGTTTCGGGGGTCAGGGTGGGCTTTGGCGTTTGGACTTGGGGGTCGTAGCGTCATAGGCTTGGAGGTGCTAAGGCAACCTTATGAAACTCTGCGGCTAGGGATTCAGGGGACCTTAAACCCTAAACCCTAAATAACCCTTTAGGATTGAGGGTGCTGCAGGTTGAAAATGCATGAGGCATGCGTGGAATCTGCTTGGGCGCAAAGGCTGGATAGGGTTGGGGGGGGGAGGGGGGGCAGGCTTTTAAGGCTTCGGCTGCATGCAACGTCAAGAGCCCTAAGCCGAAAAACCCGCCGGCCACAAAGCCGAAAGCCCCTAAACTTTGCCGTCCTGGCCCTCATATTCCCTTGGAAAATCTTTAAAAACAGGTCCCCAAACCCAAGGGTACAACGCTAGGGGTCCAGGGCAGGGTCCCGTGAAAACCCTGAACCCCGTGAGAACCCTGAACCCTAAATCCTATACGCTCGAGCCGCTTTTCTCCGCGAGTCAGACGTCGCCTCCCCCCTCGACGACTCTCGCACGGACGCGGAGGCAGAGTTTAGGGCTTCAGGGTTGAATTAGGGCCATATTTGGGGTTTAGGGTTTAGGGTTTAGGGTTTAGGGCTTAGGGCAATTTAGGGTTTGGGTCTGGAGTGGAGTTGAATAAGGCCGTGGAGGCGCTCATCAATGCAGGGCTTAGGGCTCCGCGTGCTTGCTGTGAGTCCCCTACTCAGCTCCACACAACCCTGAAGACCAAACCCTGCCCCCTTGTCAGGCCCCCATCAGCTGGCTTCCCCCAACGCCTTGACCAACCTTGGTCCAATCCACTTTGGGCTTCAACGGGGGGCCCAAACACGGACAGCTCGTACACACCTACTGCGTTTCCAGTTCGATCGCACGGCATCTTCGAAGAACAGGGTGGGGCGCGCAGGGGGTGCAGGTGAGGACCAATGGGCACTGTTTCTCAAAAGCGAATCGATTTTCTACAGGGCGAGGGACAAGGGGGAGGAGGTGGAGAAGAGGAGAGGGTGTATTCTGGCATCCGGCGCTTCGGGGCGTCACGTTATGCCCCTGGAGGTTTCTTGGCATGAGGGGAAAGTGTATACGGGCAGTGCCGTGGAGCTTTTGGGCTCGGGGCTTAAGGTTTGGGGCTGCAGGTTTTGGGGCTTTACCTGATTTGCAGGCGCCCGACTTCGCGCGCTCCTCCTCAAGCTCGGCAATCTCCCGGCGCGCCTTCGCTCAGGGCGGAGGGGAGGGGTTGGATGACGCCAGCCTCCGCACCAGACAACCCCAACCCACGAAAAAGAAAAAGAGGTTGGATCCAAGAGCCCGACAGCCCTGAAGCAAGCCATGCTCCTGGGGCTTGAGGGTTGAGGGTTTGGGGCGGTGGTTTAGGGTTGTTTGGGGCTTAGGGTTTTAGGGTCTATAGGGTTTAGGGCATTTGGAGTTTTTTGAACTCCCTCCTTCCGCTCTCGTGCACACACCCGCCTCCGCCCAAGCGCCCCAGCCCCCACATCATAGAGGCCTCCCAACAAGGCCCCTAGACCCCTGAACGCCTAAACCCGAAAAACAAAAAACCCTAAACCCAAAGCCCCAAACCCCTAGACCCCACACACCTGACTCCTAAACCCTAAACCCTGTACCTTAAACCACTACACCCCTAAACCCTAGACCCTACACCCTAAACCCTAAACCCTAAACCCTCCCGCGACCCCCCAGCGCCTTATCGTATCTTGCATCGGCCTTGGCGGCCTCAGCAAGGTCCGTGTCCTGGGATGAGAACCCTAAAACCTAAACCCTAATTAAGCCCTCAACCCTAAACCCTCAACACCAAACCCTAAACCCTAAACCCTAAACCCTAAGTCACCGCCGGGCTCTCTGGGTTTCGGGCTTCTAGGGCAGCTCAAGGCTTGAGGGGTGAGCGGTTTAGGGTGGGTTTAGGGTTTGGGGTTTAGGGTTTAGGGCTTAGGGTTTAGGGCTTAGGGCCTAGGGCTTAGGGCTTTTAGGGGTTAAGGGCTTAGGGCTTAGGGCTTAGGGCTTAGGGCTTAGGGCTTAGGGCTTAGGGTTTAGGGCTTAGGGCTTAGGGCTTAGGGATCAGGCTTGCTTAAGGGTTCAGGGTTTAGGGTTCAGGGGTTCAGCTTTGCTTGAGGGCCTTGGGCTCTGGGGCTTTGGCTTTAGAGGCTTGTTCTTGGAGGTGGCAGGCTGCCCTAAACCCTAAACCCAAACCCCAAGCCCTAAGCCCTAAACCCCAAGCCCTAAGCCCTAAACCCCAAACCCTAAACCCTAAACCCTACACCCTAAACCCTAAACCCTAAACCCTAAACCCGGAGAACCACACAGGCCAGGAGTCCTTTGCCTTGCGCTGGCTGTCGCGCAGGCGGGCCACCTGGGCCATGAGCCGGGCCGGTCTTGGCACCAATCCTTGGAGGCGCCAGCGCCCGAAAGCTCGAAATGTCTCGGCGCAAGGCCTTAAGTTGCCCTGTTGGGTTTAGGGTTTAGGGTTTAGGGTTTAGGGTTTAGGGTTTAGGGTTCAGGGTTTAAGGTTTCAGGTGAAATCTCGCCAATTTATCTTATATAGATGTTGAAGGCCTTAGGGGCTTCGGGGGTGCAGGGTCTAGCCCACGCCGAATCTTCAGGCCACTGACATTTCTTGAGGGCTGTCGAAGCCTGTCGGAACCCGAAGAAGTGCGGCAAGGCGGCCCGCGTAGGTCTTGAGAGTTTCCAGGCCCTCCGGGCAGAAGCACGTAGGGCTGAACCCTAAACCCTAAACCCTAAACCCTAAACCCTAAACCCTAAACCCTAAACCCTAAACCCTAACGGGGAGTAGGCTCGAGCTTATATCTTTCAGGCCTTGGGATCCAGATGTCAGGTCTTCAGGTTTTGAGACTTCAAGGTTTTTAGGAGTCTGGGGTGTTAGGGCTTTAGGGTTTTAGGGTTTTAGGGTTTTAGGGTTTTAGGGTTTTAGGGTTTTAGGGTTTTAGGGTTTTAGGGCTGCGGGCATTCGGGCCTTTGCCGGCGAGTGCTTCATCAAGTCCTCCCAGTATTCGAGGACGGCATCGCGCAGGTGCACCTCGCCAGTTCGATAGGGTTTAGGATTTAGGGTGTAGGGTTTTTCGGGTTTAGGGTTCAGGGTTCAGGGTTTAGCGTTTAGGGTTTAGGGTTTAGGGTTTAGGGTTTAGGGTTTAGGGCCTTTTAGGGTTTAGGGTGTAGGGCTTAGGGCTCAGGGCTTAGGGCTCAAGCCCGGACTCCTGCCTGTTGGAGCTGCTCGCTGAGCTTATCTCGTTGCTGCCAGGCATTCTTGATGCTGCCCTTGAGCTTGTTGGTCGTGGCCTGGTTTAAGGGTTTAGGGTTTAGGGCTAAGGGCTAAGGGTTTAGGGTTTAGGATTTAGGGGTTCTAGGGGAGCGTAGGGATTTGCAGGCCCGGCTGCTCAAAAAAACCCAACCCTAAACCCTAAACCCCAAACCCACATGGCCTCCAGCTTCTCGACGCTCTGTTGCGCCTGGCGGCGGCGGCTTTCCTGCTTCTCTCCTCAGCTGATTGGCTTAGTGGTCCTAAGCTTCCCTAAACCCTAAACCCTAAACCCCAAACCCTAAACCCCAAACCCTAAACCCTAAACCCTAACTAGGAAAGGCAAGTTGAGGCTTGTACCCCGAACAAACAGCTCAACACCCTAGCAAACATCCCACAAGGAGCCTCGAAGCATCTAGCCCACTGCAAAGGCTTGTGAGAAAAAGTAGCACAAGCGCTCAAAAGCAGCACGAAGCCCTAAACCCTAAACCCTAGACCCTAAACCCTAAACCCTACACAGCTCTACTACTGAAAGGTGGTGCTCGGTTCTCGCACGCAGTCTGCCAGGCCCACTTCGCCGTCTGCACCTCGCCTCCTTGGATGAAGGTTTTTGGCTTCGGGTCTCGAGCCTAGGCCTCTCATATGGTACTTTGAATACGTCTACATGAATATATTATTGCTATATTGCTATATTGCAAGACGACTTTATTGTTGTGGTACCATACTACCATAGTACCGTAGTACCATGTTACCACATTGCCATACTACCACATTACCATACTACCACTACCATCTTACCATGTTGCCATAATACCATATTACCATATCGCTATATTGCTATATTGCGAGATCAGGCTATGACTATATCGGTATGCCATGCTGCCACTCTATGACCAGGCCTTCGGCTCGTTTTGCCTGAAGCCTACCCAAAAAATGATCCCCCGAAGCTTGCAAATCCGGAAGGGGGTCGCAGTTCCTTGAGCCTCTCGCGGAGGATGCACATGGCCGCCACCTCTTCGATGGGGTTTCCCTGAGCCGACCGGTTCATTTAACTATGCTTCGAACCGCCTAAAAACGACTCGTTCGCTAGCACTTCAAAGCTTGACCCTAACCACAAACTTTAGTTCGACAACTGTCTAGTTGTAGGACGGATGCAGGAGTTTTGAAAGGGCTTAGGTTCTAGGACTAGCGGGGGTCCCTCCAGAAATCAAAGTCCGTCACCACTTCAACCCTAACCCCCACTTCAACCCTAACCCCGCGGCCTTGACTAAGCTCATACCCTAGCCCTGGCCGGCGAAGTTCAAAACAAACTCTAACAAAAGTTGAAACATGAAAGTACTGCCGGGCCACGTGCGTCTCAAAGTCGTCATCGTCGTCTGAGGCATCGACTGGCATGATCAGAATTTCAGGAGCGATTAGGGATCAGGGCAAGACCAGCAAAAACCGTGCGCAACAATCCAAAGCTCAAAAACCCAAAAACCCTAAACCCAAAAAACCCTAAACCCTAAAACGCTAAAAACCCTAAAACCCTAAAACCCTAAACCCCCAAAACCCTAAAACCCTAAAACCCTAAAACAGTAAAACCCTGGACCATAGAAGGGTGTAGGAGTAAGGGCTTAGGGACGAAGATTGACTAGGCTTTGTATGTTCAGGACCTAACGGGCTTGCCGTCTTAGGGTTTAGGGCTTGGGCTTTGGGCTTAGGGTTTAGGGTTTAGGGTTTAGGGTTTCGGGTTTCGGGTTTCGGGTTTCGGGTTTAGGGTTTAGGGTTTAGGGTTTAGGGTTTAAGGTTACCAGGGCTTTTGCTTCATTTGGGGGCCTGAGGGTTTCGGATTTTAGGTACTGGGGGCTTCGGAATCAGAAAGGTTCCAGGCTCCCCCATGTGCCCACCTGCCGTGACATCTGGGCAGTCCTCCCGCTTTCTCTTTAGCTCGGCCACGGCTTTCATGACCGACGCGTCCTAGGGTTTAGGGCTTAGGGTTGAAGATGCTTGGCCCCTCGTTGAAGGCACTTGCATCGGACCGATGGCCCCTTGAACACAAACAAGGTCAAGGTCGAATTCCACCCAGGTTCCCCTTCTCCGTCGGCAAAGGACAGGTTGAACAAGCCTGGCACGAAAGTTAGGGCTCCCAAATACAAGGGCTTCCGTGTGGCTTGGTCTTCGGGCGTGTGCCCTAAACCCTAAACCCTAAACCCTAAACCCTAAACCCTAAACCCTAAACCCTAAACCCTAAACCCTAGGGTTTACAAGCAGGGCAAGGCCGAGGAACTGAGCGCTTTGTTGTGCCATATCCGCGCCGAGCATTGCCCGCATGTCTCCGCGCTGCTGAGACACTCTTTGTGAAACCTGAGGACTTAGGATTTGGGGTTTAGGGTTAAGGGTTTAGGGTTTAGGTTTAAGGGTTTAGTGTTTAGGATTTGTTGAGGGTCTCTAAACAGGGGTTGTGTGTTGACTATGTAAAACCCTGTGAAGACTATCAAAGCGTTCCCCTGCTTACCCAAAACATGACCCACTGAAGCGATTTGGGAGTTTACGATAAACGATAATAAGGGACCTCTAATAGAGACCCCCGAACAGGAGCATCTAATAAGGACCCCAAGAAGGTACCCCTAAACCTTTAACCCTAAACCCTAAACCCCAAACCCCAAACCCCAAACCCTAAACCCTAAACCCTAATTTCGTAAACCCCCATTTGGCTTGACCAAGTCCGACACCCCTCAAAGCCGTAAGTTTCCGTACGATGTCTCCCAACTACGTTTCGGGTTTAGGGTTTAGGGTTTAGGGTTTAGGGTTTAGGGTTTAGGGTTTAGGGTTTAGGGTTTAGGGTTTAGGGTTTAGGGTTTAGGGTTTAGGGCTCAGGGCTTGGAGGGTTAGGACTAGGGCTTAGGGTTTTAAACGCGCTCACCCTACCCCCTGCGGTTGCCTCTGATGCGAGCCATAGCCATAGTTGAAAACTAAGTCTGGGAAGGAGGCAATTTGAAACAGGGTTTAGGGTTCGGGGTGTGCCGCAACGCCCCCGCCCACGTAAATAGACCCTCAACCCAAGCGCCTGTAGCACAGGGACTTAATTACAATGGGTGTTTTGAATAAGCCAGACTAGACTAGCACCGGGGCTAGTCGTTCTCAGCCGATAGTGATCTTGGTATGAAGTTTTGGGTTGAGGGTTGAGAGGTCTAGGATTTAGGGTTTAGGGGTTAGGGTTCAGGGCTTAGGGTTCAGGGTTTAGGGTTTAGGGTTTAGGGTTTAGGATCTTCCTGGGAAGCCCCAGGTGCACGTGGTTGCAGGAGTTCGCCACCAGCGGCCCACTGAGTGGCTGGCGGCAAGCACTGCACAGCGCCCGGAGATCCGCCATGGTTTGGGAGGGCTTGGGGGTCTTCGGGGTTGGGGGTCTAGGGTTTAGGGTTTTGGGATTAGGGTTCAGGGTTAGGGGTTAGGGGGTTTTGGGGTTTTGGGGGTTTAGGGGTTTGGGGGCTTGGGGGTTGGGGGCCTGGGGGTTTGGGGTCTGGGGCTTCGGCACTTCTCTCAACTGCGCTTGGAACCCCTTGACAGCGTTAACTCTTGATGGTCCCTCTATCTGAACTGGGGCTCTAGTAGGGTTTGCGGAAGGTTCAGGGCCTGGGGGCTTCTGAGCCCAAGAGGCCTGTAGCTTCGGACATCCAGACCCCCACGGCCAGGAGCGCGGCGAGGCACATGTGAGATAGGGTCTCGAGCTCGGGGCTAAACACCGTAAATTAAGCCACTCACAACCCTCAAACCATAAACCCCTACACCCCTGAACCCGCAGCCGCAGTGGGGTATAATAAGAAGCAAAGTGCGCGAGAGTACGAACGCCATTAACAATAAAACTTCTGAATGGAGATCATTAGTAGCATCGTCGTGTTTTTCTAAATTACCGAGGGAGAAGATTACAATGAAGTTTACGTGCACAGCGTGGCGATGACATTGGCATTAGTACGTTCATGACATTCACTACACTCACTCATATCGCCCTCTCTCACCGCCAAGTAAGAAATAATGAGGGGAATGTACCGTTCATGTAATACAGTAATCGTTTGTCTTTTGCTCAGGCTTGTCATGTAGGCAAACTACCCCATAAATTAACAAAAAAACACCAAAAACAAAATGGCGAAGTAGAGACTGCTGCATTTTGGAGGAATCTTCCGCACTCCATCAAGAGTAAGATTCCAGTCGCCCTGCAACCTATGAACCCAAATCTCCGGCGCCTCTTCCCAGAACCATATGCAGCCATGGCGGATCGGTGCTGCGATTTGGGGATGCGACCTAGGTTTGGGGTTTCGAGTTTGCAGGATTTCGGAATGGGGGTAGCGGGGCTTGAGCCACTTTAGCTCCATGAAAGGCTAAGCTTCAACCAAAGCCCTAAGCCCCGTGGCTCGAAAGTCTCACTCGCTCTGATCTTCACCAGCAAGGTGGCTGTGGGTTGCTACGATTTGCTGCAAGCTGATGCTTGAACCACCTCGGCGTGCGATGACCTCAAACGGTGAGGGAAAGGGCAAAGGCTCCAGATTCACTGCTTCACCTGTCTACCGCGGCTGCTGGCAGAGACCCCCCGCTCCTGCCATTTTTGGCCGCATGTTGATGACAGAAGACCGAAGAGTATGTGTCAGTTTCGATTCTAGCACTTGGCCACACGGCTTTACAATTCGATTCACGGGCGAGCTGTACAAGTCCGAAGACAACTTTAAAACTGGCCCCTCTTGAGAACGGCGGAGAAGTCACATACATCGAACTCAGCGTCACTACAGTACCCTGAGCTCCGTGCTCCAGTGGACCCCGGTCACCGCCTGTGCACCATGCATCCATGAAACCAGCTATGTGCAACTTCAAGGACGGAACACCTTGCTGCATAAATACGTGCTGGGCTCCCCGGATCGCAAGAAGAAAGAACCAAAAAGAAGGTAACGCAGCAGACCTCAGACCACCCCCCAAATCCTGAACGGCGCGAAGATGAATTTAGCTGCCTCTCAGCGCGCCCGAAGACCCAAAAGCCGAAACCCTCGCAATCCTCACACCCCCCCAACCCTTAGTCTAGGCTGAACTCGGAACCCGGTGACACGGCGCACAGCTCAAAACTGGCAGCTGCAACCTGGAAGATGTCGCGTGCATGCGAACACTTGGTTGGTGCGCACCGACCCTGTACTACCCCGCACTGGTTTAGGATTTAGGGTTTAGGGCTTAGGGGTTAGGGTTGGTTTTCGGTTTAGGGTTTAGGGCTTAGGGTGTTTAGGGTTTAGGGCTTAGGGTCTAGGGTTTAGGGTTTAGGGTTTAAGGTCTAGGGTCGAGGGTCTTAGGCTTTCGGGCTTTCGGGCTTTCGGGCTTTACAGTCTGATGATTCTGGGTGTAGAGCGAGTTGTTACTTTGGGTTTGGCACGTACCGGGCACTGCGCGAGAAACACAGAAACACAGAGCCTTATGAAACAAGGTCTTCTAGAGACTTTGCCTTAAGTTTGCAAATCCCAACACCCTCACACCAGTCTCCTAGCCCTTTTCGTTTTAATGTCCTGAACCCTACAACCCAAACAGAAAAACCCTAAACCCTAACACCCAAACCCTGAACCCAAGTCAGAGGCTTGGAAGGAAAAATCCGGCTTTGTCTCTGAGGGGTCGCCTGCTTCCGCTGGAGGGCTCAGGGGCTTAAGCGGGCTTGGGCGCTTGGGTATGGGGAGTTTGGGGGAAGCGTGGGGCGGGGGTGCCAAAATAGGCCGTGTCTAGAGCTGCTTTGTAAGTCAAAAGTTTGCGGCCGATGGGATCCAGAAAGCACCTGCAACCTCTCAGACCACACCCCAAAACCACCTAAACCCGCAAAACGCGAAGGGGGGGTGGGCGGGGGGCTCTGATCTGACATTGTTGTATCATTGTCGGTTCTCAGTGCTTAGCGCTTAGTTTAGGGTTGGTCTGGTATCGCAGGCTAGAGTTAAGGATGCGCAGCGGTGCGGTGCAGCTGCTCCCAGCTTATCGACACGTAGGGGAGCTGGCCAGCTGCCAAGAAAACTAGGCATTCTCAGCAGTAGGCCGCTCCAAGAAGGTGATTCAAAGTACTCCTCAAAACTAGTGTGATTGACAAAGCACCATGTCTCCTCATTGCCCCCCAGGCCTCCTCTGCGGCGTCAAAATGCCGGCAGTGCAAAATCCCGCGCTCTCCGGGGGCCACAAGTGGCCAAACGCCGGGGCTCTCAGTGCAAGTTTCTGCCCCCCGATAGCGGGGCTCCCTCTCTCCCAGCATGAGCAGCGGCATTTTGCGGGAGTGTCTGGGAAGGCAGGCGATACTCGCTGAATCCACACACGGTCCACCACGTCATCCTGCATCCCAGGACGTGCAACCGGCGGCGGATTTCCTCAGCGAGGCAACCGCCCGGCGCTTTGTGAAGCTGTCTATATACTCTCTTGGAATTTGGCATTCCGGCTGGGGTGGGCCGTCCACGGGGCACAAATGCCCTTCAAAAGTGGTCACACAACGACCAGTAGCGGACATGGATAGTGGGCTGTTGGTATTGTTATCGGTGCTGCTTCTCATTCTCGACTCGTGGACGCCCAGACCCTTCCGAAATGAAGCACCTCAGTTCTGCGATCTACCCAAAATTTCCACGGCCAGGAATCTGCCAGCAGCTACTGTGCAAGCCACCTCAGAAACTTCGAAACGTTCTTTTACTTTGCACACTGCAAAAGCTTTCGACAAGCCCTACACTTCAACCCTAAAACCCAAGCAAAACTCTTTGAACCCAAAAGCCCGAAGTTTTATGCGCATTTGCGGAGGTGGCTTTCGCGGGAAGAGGCAGCTGCTGAATGCTGCGGAAGAGGGCGGCAGATTGAGCATCTAAGGCACACGGAAGCCCCTCACCTAGGGAAGCGCACGGTGTCACGGCGTAGAGTCCGTGCCACGCGACCTATCAAAGGGGACAGTCGAATTCTGCACAAATTCAGATATCTAGCAGCGGAAGCCGTTGTCTCGCCGTCAGCGTACAGCCTCCAACTCTGGTGGAATCGGACTGAGGATATCCTCTATTGGCTAAAGGCTTCTAAACGGTATGTTCTACACCAAGGGTCTCAGGAGCCTTTGGTGAACTGCATTGCTGGGGCTGCCAGAGTGAAAGGTCTCTCGTGGAATCCTCTGCGGCCTGTCGAAATGCAGGGCTTGGAAAGTGGTGATGCTGTTGACAACTTTTGACGACGCCGATCTACGACACACATGTATATGCGGATATGTGCGTATAAATATATATATATATATACATATATATATATATACTTATTTTTTATGTATTTATTTATTTATTATGTATTTGTTTTTTATTTATTTTTATATTAGTTGTTAATAACTATTTGCTACCCCCCCCCCCCCCCAGCGACCTACCCTTTTTAGGCCTTTTTAGGCCGTTTTAACAAAAAGGGACACAGAAGGCCCAAATGTCGCGTAGTTAATCACCGGGTAATGAAGGACAGTTACTGGGACACCCACCTCACAGACCCCGATAAGCCAGCATTGGAAGAATCTACATTTTGAATCTGAAGCAGACAATGCTGTTTTTAGATGTTTAGATCAGTGTTTTTCTATGCAAATTGTGCGTTTCAAGGGCAATTAATGTTTTGTTTAGCAACTAATGTATTTATACAATTGTGTTTGTACGAGGCAAAGTATTAATCAAATAGTGAAACATTTTCTTGGTTCTATACGAATTTAGCTACTAGAGTAATTATTAAGCAAAGAGCCCAATTTGACTCAAGTGAATACAATTTAAAGGAGCATACTCAACCAAGATACGAAATAAACACCATTCTCAACCGAAAAATGGCAAAGTGTGCGTTTAAAGTGCAAATACTGTATTTATACAATTGTGTTTGTACTAGGCAAAGTATGCTCTCTGAAAAGTACACTGAAACACCTTATGTTTACATATTCATGAATCGTTTTTGTTTTTGAAATAATCATTTTATGCGAATTTAGCTACTAGAGTAATACTTAAGCAAATAGCCCAATTTGACTCAAGTGAATACCATTTAAAGGACCATACTCAACCAAAATACGAAAGAAGCACCAAATTCAACCAAAATATGGCAAAATGTGGTTTAAAGGGCAAATAGTGCTTTGTTGAGCAACTAATGCATTGAAACAGTTGTGTTTATACCAGGCAAAGTATTATTGAAGTACTATCTGCAAAGTCAAATGAAACACCTTATGTTTACATATTCATGAAACAATTTTTTTGAAGTATTCATTCTATGCGAATTAACTACTAGAGGAATTCTTCAGCAACTAGCCCAATTTGACTCAAGTGAATACTATTTAAAGGACCATACTCAACCAAATACGAAATAAACACTTGCGGAAATGGAAAC